GATTGACTTGCGGCACTTGCCGTGTATCGCCTTCTCCGTCATTTTCTTTTTTTCTCGTCGATTTTTATTTCCCGGTCCCCCTGATCAATGGTGCAGATTGCAGGATAGACTAGCAGGGCTCTGCTTACATATTGCCTCTTTAGGAACAAGAGACGAGGCGGAATGAGTGGATGCGAAGACCCGTAATATTGCCGGTACCAAGGTACGGAGGTAGTTCTTGGGCTTGCAAATTGCAGGCTTGGCTTAGTAGTGCTTCCACTCCTCGCATCAACAGAGCACTATGACAGGTGGGCAAAATGCCCGACTGGACACGAGGGTAAGTGCCGTGTAACATCATAACATTGACCCTGGCAAACAGCGCATAAGGTCTGGCTTTTTTGCTTTTTGTACTCCCGGTGTACCTAGTTTGCTTTACATAACTCTCTTACCTGTGCGGTTAATATGGCTAAAAACAGATCCTGTCCACTGTCACTTCGGCGCTTTGTTTGAAATTGATGGCGAATCAATTGCCAGTTTAGATCCAAACGGAAAGGAATAATCTACAGTGCTAAGGTTCGGTTTATTGTGACTTATTCCGTCATCCCATCAGCACCGGCTTTAACTGAGAGCCATATACAAGTAGTACAACGGTGAACACACTGCACTGTAACCGCTGGACTCGATGTATGAATAGCTAAGAAGAATTCAAATACCCCGAAATAAGTCCAATCGGTGTCCAAGTGAGCTGCTTCCAATCACTATTCCCCGTTGACGTTTCCTTTTCGTCTTTCTGCACCAGAAGTCTAGCTCAGACAAGAGGAGATCATGTGCGGAGTCCATCGGGTAAGTCTTACATCACCTTCACAAACTCTGCCTGAAGACCCATATTTTACTCCTCAGTGAGATCTTGCCGTCCCCACTCAGCCGCGCAGATGTGGTCTAGAGCCCATTGACTCTTGAGCTCTAGTCAGGAGAGGCTAGGAGTCGAACCATTGACGTGTCAGGCAGAATTTGTCAACCATCAGGTGAGGTCTGTCCAAGAACGCATTATCCCAGATCCGTACCACTGCCCGATTGAGTTTGACGACAAGGAGACCTAAAAGTACGGAGTCTCCGTCGATCTCAAGATAATCCCTGTTAGGTGGCGTGTTGGCGGCACGTCGCGACGGCAACATGTCTCAGTGGCCTCATCCTCACCGCATGGCTAAAGTCCCGGATACAAGTTCACTTAGTAGACACTGTACTCTGTAGACTCGGAAGCTACCAAGCATGAAAGACATCGTGACAGACGGTCGATCGGAGGGGGCGTTGGGGCGGCAAATGGAACGTGCTGGCATCTCTTGTCTCTCTTGATTTCTGCAGCCGCTGATGCACTTGGGCCAGCCAGGCTTGAAATGTGGCTGCCGCTTAGGGAGTGTTGAAGCCGGGGTTCAAACGCGCCATTATTGACAGCCAGTCGGTCTAGAAGCCAGCACAGAAAGATGGATTGACGGAGTTGTAGAATAGGGATGAAGGACCACACAAATGATTCTAAGTGACAGGGTTCCTGCCTTAAGTCCAGGTCGAAGACCAGGCATTCCGTTGACCTGTACAAAGTACCTCATGAAGCCACTGTGCAGGTACCACGGAGTAGGCGGGGAGACACCGACGCAAGCCGAGATTTGGGTGCTTCCGTATCGGCAGGTTGTTTGTTCACCACCTAATATTAGTACCCATTATTAAAAAATCGTTCATTCCACAAATCTTGCTTTATTGGCACCTAACACCTTTAGGCTTTGTCTCCTTAAGACACGGAATAGTTCCAGCAGCACTGAGCAGTGATCCCGTCCAGAAAGTTAAAATTCATGGAAATGGCCCGGGTGTTTGCTCCGGGTCAGGTACGCATCGCGGAAGCTAATATAGTCTGGTGCAGTACCTTGTTTTTCAATCTCTGTGGAGATCTGTTGTTGAGTGTTGAGATCCTAGATCGTAGTGGTTCGAAGTCGGTTAGTTACGATTTAATGTTTTTCCTATTAAGAATAAATGATATTATATACTACAGTCACACGACATTACCCCGTAGTGCCAGCTACTTGACGTGTCATATCTACTCTTTTCAGTGACTGTCAAAGTGTCAAGGAAGATTTGTAGAACAGCTTGGAGTGGGACCCACCGCCGATCATAACATCATGATAGTATCATAGTTCGTAATAATATTAATTTGAGAGAGATGACAGGCTAGACTGGCGCTACAGTTGTTTTTATGTTAGCGTCCTGCCAAATCTAAGACATAGCAAACAGATCTAAGGAGGCTAAGGTAACTTTGGTAAGACTTCTTTAGTACCCTAACCGGGTATAATTTGCTTGCAGTTCCATCAATTAATGTCTACTAAGTCACTTAACGTTTTATTCAGAAGGGTCTCCGACTTCTACCCAGAGTACATGGGGAGTCTATGATGACCATTAATCTGCAGATAGAATGACAATTTCTGTTATCAGAATAGATTGATATTCTCTTCACAGTGCATGGAAAATGCATAATTATGTGCTTCGGTTCTTTCCCGAACAGCCGGATATTTAGGAGCGATCCTCAGCCAGTAGATCTTCAAAGCGGGTTAGAATATGATATGTCATGAACTGGCGGTGCGAACAACACTTGGGTAGGGGATCTCCGATTTTAGCAGAAATCGGGCGCTTATGCCACCTCTCCGTGGCCCTCCCCCGGCTTATGCATGTCAAATTAAAACACTGACGCTCAGGAGGAAAAGCTACTAAGCGAGCATCGCTTCCTGGTCTCCCTTGCATAGTATTAGTTTTAGTCCCGGATACTCTAGTTATCATTAATATTATTAACAACAACAACATGATAAATAATAATATCTAATATCGCATAATGTCGAGATCAAAGCTTCGATTTCCAGAGGTGGATAGAGACGGAAACTTGGAACAGGCATCCCGATGGATCTTATTGGTATTGGATTTGCCCGGCATCATACCTGTTCATACGGGGCCACTTCAGTTCGTGGAATGTTCTCCAAAATTACCTAAAAACGATAGGGATCAACCTTAGGACTGCAAACACGTTTTGTTGGTATCTAGACTAGACGATTACCTGTAATCCTGTGGATAATGAAGTATTTTCTTTTGTCCCGTTGAGTCGGGATCGGACATTTGCATTTTACACATCACTATCGCGGGATCAACATCGGCACGCAAAAGCCGAATGTTCAAACATACCCGGAAGAGGTAGCGAGCTATCTCATGACATGCAATCAAGGGATATGCTTCTGCACAGTATCTAAGCGAGAGAGACGTGTCAAAATCGATCTTCAGGGAGTAATAATAATAGTATCATTGTAGGCTTTTGGATTGCAATCTCTCAGGGTCACTGTTTATGAGTAGGTCAGAGTTACTAATGACAACAATAGATGGCAATGTAAGCGGCTTGTAAGGCGCTGTGAAACTTGATTTTCTTTTTCCTTTTCGAGTATCAATCGTTCTTTTGACTTTCCTTCTATCTCTATTCGAGAGACTAGCGAGTCATTCTCCATCATAGCTCCGACCCACTAAACCAGTCAGTGCCTTGATACTCCTCAGACTTCGAGTTGTATTTTCCTTGTTTCTTCAGTAGATGGTTTTAGATAGTTCTTTCTACGCAAAATCAACGGCCAATAGCCTAACAGTCTTTTGTTTCCATTGCAAGAAGCCGGGTCATGGGGATGAGGAACTACACTGGAGTGGACCGCTCCCGATCATGACCAGGCTCGATCCAGTAATAATAGATACCGGGTAGGATGCTGAACCTGTGTCATGGGGCTGAATGTGGTCATTTTGCTGGTATAACACTCTCTAGGTAGACCTTGATTATACCTTCACCAGGCAATAATAAAAAGAAAATCATGGTAAAATCAGCTCTTCTTGTAACTCAACACCGTAGTAGCTAGCGTGGACCCATTAGTCGTCATCATCGGACTTCCTGATTGGGAAAGTAAGGTACTCTCTTTGTCCTTAGGTCACTGTACCTCAGCAAGCTTCTTCCGGGTCTGAGCTTTCAAGCTCTCAGTTCGACTCGAGTCCAGATCAGACCCGGGATCCTATTTTTCATCCACTCGGAGTGTTGTTCTTATCCAACAAGGAGGCTACGTGTCGACTAAGCCCTGAACTTCTACTGTGATTCGATCAAAAGTACGGAGCACTAGTGGGCCGTCTCCTGCTAGATACCTCCTACCGTACGTACTAGGTACCTCCATCAGCCGGACCAAGAACATCCTTGATTCTTGACATACCTCATCGGTATCGAGATTTGGTTCCAGACCGCGGATGAACGCCCCCCAGATCGTGACGGGGAATATGCAAACAGGGGCCTTCCTTGCCGATCTTCTCGCTTGCAGCTCATCGTGAGTGGCAGATGGTACCCATGTTTCTTGTAACCCCTGCAGTTCTTTTCTGCCATTTTTCTTTCGTCAGATGTATGATACGCCACCTTGTGGAGTTGCCAGCTTTCCAAGGCTATGCGGCTTCCATGTCCATGAGTCCATTAGTTCCACATCTGGGCCCTTTCCAGGGTGGGTATCTCGCAATCTATTGATCTTGTTTCTCCGACCCTCCTGTTCCTGTGGCCACGGGTCTGAAGCAAGGAAAAGGTGATGCAAGAACACGGAGGTAACAGGAGGGGATCACGGCTGATCAGAGCCCCCTGACGCCCAAAGCGGCGGTTCCGTGGCTCTCAGCCGTCAGGTTCATTGCCATGAGGCAAATGGATCTTCGTATTCTATAATTATAGTTTGGTCAGATTGTTGAGTTCTGGGCAAGAGCACCGAGAAGCTGCGTCGCTAGCTCCACGAGCCTAATTCGGCCTGGGTCTGTAGAGAGATGCCGATGACTTGATGACCATATCGAAGCCACGAGTCTTAGCTTCCACTTTAAAGAAAGACCAAAGGACGTGCGGCTCTCTCTTTCGTCAAGTAAAGTTCTCTGTTGCTTTAGACATTGAACACCCTTTTCTTTGAGCGGCCTCCCTTAAGCAGATATTGTACAGAACCATGGCGCAGTCAACCGTCCCATGCTATTTACCCAACTTTGGTGCTACCTGTGATGGCCCGAAACGTCCTATCTCCTTGAAACTGCGAACAGATGCTCTCCAAAGCTCTGGATTGCTATCTGCATGGCGCGAGGGCCAATTGAGCCAATTGTTACAGGCCTCGTGGGCCCTACTTCTACATCGCTACACAGGCTCTGAGGATATCTGCTTTGGCTATCACCAGATTGGTAACGAGTCTCAAGATCTACTACAATCTTTGGAAGATGTGGATCCTGCCCTTTGCAAAGTATCAGTCAAAGAAGGCATCTCCCTTAAGACGTTTTTCGACCAAATCAAGACACATTACTCTCCCGACAGCCCTCTCGAGATAGACAGAAGCTCGCTCACAGCCTCCGAAAATGCTCTGCTTTACAACACTATTTTAATGATACGAATCTGTCATGATTCCAAGGGAACTTCACCCGCCATCCCACTACCATCCAGCCTGCCAATAGCGCTTCCTCAGGAGGTAAGTACTGAGAGACTGGTCCTTTATCTTCCCGTGTGGCCTTCTGAAACATATATGCAGTGTCGGGTTCGACTTCATGTCAAAGTCCTGCAGGACGAGGTAAATATTTTCTTCGAATGGTGGAACAATGACATGCCCACCGCGCAAATGAAAAGCATTGCTGGTGCTTTTGAGCATATCCTAGCAGATCTCCTTGCAGCAAACGATACAGCAGTGGACGATATTGACATCTTTCCAGAAAATGATTGGTCTCGGGTATGCAACTTTAATTCAGTGCTTCCAGAAAAGCACGAACGCTGCATCCATGAGGTGATCTATGAACGGACTCTTCTCCAGCCAGAGAATGAGGCGGTCTGTTCCTGGGATGGTAGCCTTACCTACAAAGAATTGGATTTGCTTTCCTCCAGGGTTGCATATGATCTTCAGGAAAGAGGAGTTGGCCCAGAGGTCTGCGTAGCCCTCTGTTTCGAGAAGTCGGTAAGTGCTACAGATTCCCAAGTGATATAACTTGCCGCGTATCGTCATTTCATTATTTGACTTGACATACTTGGTCAAACTCCGGTTTGAAATTGCAGTGATAATAGTTAGTATAGAAATGGAATATCGTGGCGATGCTCGCTGTCCTGAAAGCTGGTGGTGCTTTCGTACCTATGGACCCAGCTCATCCTACAGCACGATTGCAATCCCTCGTGCAAGGCGTGCAGGCGCGGATTATGCTTTGCTCTCGATGTCAAGCAGACAAGCTCCAGACGGTGGCCGAAACGCTGATACCGTTGGACGAGGAAACCGTCAATGGCCTTCCTGATCTCCCCACAAGTACTTTCTCCTCAACGACAGTGAAGAGCTCAAACGCCGCATATGTCATTTTTACCTCCGGCTCTACTGGACAACCAAAGGTGCGTCTCCTCCAATTCCACTTCGGTCACCTTGGTGCTAACCCCAACACAGGGCACACTGCTGGAGCATAGAGCATATGTTTCAGGTGCGCTGGCTCATGGACCAGTCTTTGGCCTCAATCCATCAACTCGGGCTTTGCAATTCGCATCGCATACCTTTGACGCAAGTTTAGTCGATATCCTCAGCTCGTTAATATTCGGTTCTTGCATCTGCATCCCTAGCGAGGAAGCACGTCTGAATGACATTGCCGGCGTGATAGACGAGATGAAAGTGAATCACGCATCACTGACACCATCATTTATTGGATTCCTCGATCCTGCAGCTGTTCCAGGGCTAGAAACCCTCGTTCTAGCTGGCGAAGCAATGTCTCCGCAACATTTGTCGACATGGTCTCATATCAAGCTTGTGAACGGATACGGCCCAACAGAGAGTTCTGTTGCGGCTGCCCTCAATGCTAATATGTCTCCTTCATCAGATTGCAGGGATATTGGCTTGCCAGTCGGAGTGCGCTGCTGGGTCGTGAACCCTGCGAACCATGACCAGCTTATGCCCGTTGGTTGCCCCGGTGAGCTGGTTCTGGAAGGACCGACGCTTGCGCGATGTTACATCAATAACCCACAGAAGACGAACGAATCTTTTATTTTCAACCCTTGCTGGACGAAGCGAGATCCTAACGGTGGCTCAGACCGAAGGTTTTACAAGACCGGTGACTTGGTAAGATACAATTCCGAATCTGGATCATTAACATATATAGGACGGAAAGACGCACAGGTCAAGTTCCATGGCCAGAGAGTTGAGCTTGGGGAGATTGAGAACCAGCTGAGCGCGGACACGGACATCAAGCACTGCATAGTATTGCTTCCCAAGTCCGGGTTCGCACAAGGAAAACTCCTGGCCGTCCTGTCACTATCCGCTGGCCTTGGAGAGGCACTGGAGACCGATGCGGTGCCCCTTAAGCTTATCGAGCATCGTGAGAAGCTTCAATATGTCAAGGACATTCGGGAACGATTATCAAGTAGGCTGCCGACATACATGGTGCCCGGAGTATGGCTATGTGTCGAGACTTTGCCGATGCTCGTGTCCGGTAAACTGGACCGAAAATCTATTGCGACCTGGGTTTCGAACATGTCAGACGACCCAGAAGCACATGTCACTGAGGCCGCCAACACTCGCGCCGCTAACTCGACGGAGGATCAACTGGCGTCGATTTGGAGTCGTGTGCTCAACATACCCAAGGACCGCATCAGCGTTGACGAAAGCTTTTTGAGTCTAGGAGGAGACTCCATTGCGGCGATAACCTGTGTTGGCCATTGCAAGAAACATGGCATTGGCCTCACGGTGCAGGAGATACTTCGCAGCAAATCGATCAGAGAACTAGCCACGCGCGTCAAGGGAGTGACTCAACCGGTAGCCTACCACGAAACTATCGAGGAACCTTTTGGGCTTTCGCCGATACAGAAACTGCATTTCATGGTTCGCAAAGAAGGACAGGGCTATTTCAATCAAAGCGTGCTCACTCGCATCGACCGCAAGATCAATGACCAAGATCTGCGCCGCGCAGTCGAGGCAGTGGTCATGCGTCATTCCATGCTTCGAAGCCGGCTAGTCAATCCCGGTACTGGCAGTTCTCTACAGCAGCGCATTACTGAGGACGTCGCTGGCTCGTACCGCTGGCGAACGCATTATACGACCTCGCAGAATGAGATTGAGAATGCTATTGCGGAGAGTCAGTTGTGCATCAATGCCTTCGTGGGCCCTGTTTTTGCGGTTGACTTCTGCTATGTTGACGACGAGTCGCACAATCTCCTATCCCTGGTGGCTCATCATCTCGTCGTTGACATAGTCTCGTGGCGTATCATTCTGGAGGACTTGGAAGATTTCCTGCTAAACCCCAAGGCTTCGTTCTACAGAACAGCTCGCTTCCGTTCCAGACATGGTGCCGCCTGCAAGACGAGCAATGTGAGTCTCTGGCTTCCGAGAATGGTGTGCAGTTAGAGGATCTTCCTGCTCCAGATCTTGCCTACTGGGGAATGGAGCGTCGTCAGATGACGTATGGCGATGTGATCTGTGAGACTTTCGAGCTTGATTCCGATAGCACTCACTCGATTTTGCTTGAATGTCATCAGAGTCTACGAACAGAGCCGGTTGATCTGTTCCTCGCTGCGCTTCTCCACACATTTGGACAGACTTTCCCAGAGCGTACTTTGCCCGTGATCTACAACGAAGGCCATGGCAGAGAAGTGTGGGATTCGAGTTTAGACATATCACGGACTGTGGGCTGGTTTACGACCCTTTACCCAATATTCGTACACGAAATCTTCTCCGACGATCCGGCCAGAACTGTTGCCCGTGTCAAAGATCTGCGTCGGCAGGTGTCTGATAATGGCCGACAGAAGTTCGCAAGTCGCATGTTCACAGGCAAAGGACAGGAGACATGCCGACACCACTGCCCCCTGGAAATGACTTTCAACTACGTGGGGCAGCATCGCGATCTGCAGAAGCAGGACGGTCTTTTCCAGCTTATGGGACACATGGCTGGTGAGACTGGCCGGGGTGGAGGCGCAGCAGATTTTGGCGAAGAAACTCCACGATTCGCACTTCTGGAAATTTCAGCGCTGGTAGTGCAAGGTCAACTTCGTTTTACGTTTTCTTTCAACCGATTCATGCGGCATCAAGATAGCATTCGCGCCTGGATATCACGTTGCCATCAGCTGCTTGCTTCTCTCGGCCAGAAGCTGCAGTCTCTGGCTCCTCAGCTCACACTGAGTGATTTCCCAATGCTCTCTCTCACCTACGAGGAGCTCGACAAGATGGTGTCAGCGAAGCTACTAAGCGCCGGTATTAGCTCCCTTGATCTCGTCGAGGACGTGTATCCTTGCTCGCGCATGCAACAAGGTATTTTGCTCAGCCAGTCCCGAGACAGCTCGGTTTATGCTGTGCATGATACCTTCGAAGTGAAAGGCGTCAGAATCAAACCTAGTGTGGATCGGTTGATCGTCGCTTGGCAGAAGGTTGTTTCGCATCATGCGATGTTACGAACAGTTTTCCTGGAGAACCTGACAAGCCAGGACCTGTTTTGTCAAGTCGTTCTCAAGGAATACAATGCAACTCCCACACTGCTGAGATGCTCCGAAGAGCGTGATGTGCTGCCAACCTTTGACAATCAACAGCCCGTGAACTATCGTGCCCACCGTCCAGCTCATCGTTTCAGTATCTGCGAGGCAGCAACTGGCAAACTATTTTGCCGACTTGAGATAAGCCATGCCGCCATGGATGGGACGTCCATTTCTCTAATCATTCGGGATCTACAATTGGCGTACAGCGGCCAGCTTCAGGACGACCGCAAACCCATGTTCAAGGATTACATGCGGTACTTGCAGAGCTGCTCTCATAGTGCTGGCCTTAATTACTGGTGCTCTTATCTATCCGATGTCAAGCCGTGCCATTTCCCCGTGCTCAATGATGGAAGACCTTCCAACAAGCGGCTGCAAGCGATTCGTCTAGACTTCTCATCCTTGAAAGAGCTTCAGGCATTATGTGAAAACAGTGGCTTGACGCTTTCTACGGCGTTTAGTACGGCCTGGGGTCTCACACTCCACTCGTTTTGCGGTTCCAACGACGTGTGCTTCAGCTACATGGCTTCGTTGCGAGATGTCTCGGTCGATGAAATTGGCTCCGTTGTCGGACCGGTGATTAATCTTCTGGCTTGTCGAATGAAGGTCACAGAGGACGTCTGTCTCAAAGACGTTCTGAACCAAGTGCAAAACGATTACATGGAGAGCCTACCTTACAGACACACGTCCCTCATTGATATCCAGCATGCCTTGAAACTCTCAGACACGATCTTGTTCAACTCAGGCATCTCCTACCGGAAACTTCCGCCGCAGACCGTCAGCAACAGGGATGAGATGCGGCTTGTAGAGGTGGGAAAGATCCATGATCCCGCGGAATTCCCGGTGTATGTCAACATCGAGGCCACGGATGATGTTGCGTTCATTGACCTCAACTACTGGACGACCTCTCTGTCTGAAGGCCAGGCGCAGAATGTTGCCAGCACCTTTTTACAGTCCCTCGAGAATATCATTCACCATCGCGACGAGAAAATTTGCCGCTTGGATCAATTGAGCGCACAGAACAAACAACAAATCGCTGTCTGGAACAACACTCTTCCTAAGGCTGTGGACAAGTGTATCCATGAGATTCTCGAGGACAAGGTCAAGCAGTGCCCGGAAGCTATCGCTATTGCAGCTTGGGATGGAAACCTCACTTATGCCAAGCTCAATGAGTTGTCCTCGCTTCTTGCGTTCTATCTGACCAAGCTGGGCGTGGGACCTGGCCTCCTTGTGCCGATTGACTTCGACAAATCCTCATGGCAAATTGTTGCTATCTTAGCGGTTCTGAGAGCCGGTGGCATTTGCCTTCCAGTCGACGCAGCACAATCATATGATTTTATCGAAAAACTGTTGATTGATAAAGACGTTCAAGTCGCTCTTGCTTCCCCAAACAAAGCGCAGCTTCTGGAACGCACAATTCCTTATGTCGTGCCCGTGGGAAGGTCACTTTTCGACTACCTTCCTCGTTCCGATGATGTGCCGCACGTCTCACACAAGGCAACGGACCAGGCTTACGTTGTGTTTACTGGCGGTAGTGTCAAGGAACCCAAAGGTGTTATGCTTCAGCATCTTACGGTTATGACACGGGCCGAGAGCTTCGCTTCCGCTATGGAGCTGAATAAAGCGACCAAGGTGTACCAGTCCGCGACCTACACGTCTGACATGTTCCTCAATGTGCTTTTCGGTACAATGATGCGGGGTGGTTGTGTCTGTATTCCAGCCAACGATGAATTCAATAACCTCCCACGATCAATCAATGCCTCCCGAGCAAACACAGTCATTACGACTCCGTCACTCGCATCTCTGTTGCAGCCATCTGAGGTCCCCGAGGTGCAGCTTCTGGCACTATACGGTGAGATTCTGACAAACCAGGTCAGAACAATTTGGTCAGAAAGAGTTCGCATGCATTCTTTGTATGGAGCAGCCGAGTGCTCTTCAAGCTGCATTCATGCTTCAGACAGCCAAACCTCGGGTGAGACAAGGAACCTTGGACTTGCGGCCGGGTGCATAACTTGGCTTGTTGATCCTTCAGATCACGACCTTCTGGTTCCGATTGGCAGTGTCGGTGAAGTTGTCGTTGAGGGTCCCGTCATCGCTTCTGGTTACTTGCTGGACAACGGGCATGTCCAGGGAGGCTTCATTGAGGATCCTGTTTGGAGAACGAACTTTGAGCGTGACGAACCCAGCAATGACCCCGAGAAACATGACGAAAACTCAACACTGACCCGACGGATGTTCAAGACCGGGGACTTGGCCCGCTACAATTCGGATGGCACATTGGTCTACATGGGAAGAAAGAAAAGACAGACCCAGAGACTGCAAGCGGACGTATGGGAAATCCAGCAGTGCATCGATGCGTTTTCGTTACCTGGCCATCCTTGCGTTGTGGAGACGTTTCGCTGCTCAGATGACGATGAATCCATGGAGTACCTGGCCGTCTTTGTCCAATTCGCGTCAACTCACTTGGAGAAGACTGATGGCCAGAGATCTGCAATCGGACAGCCGTCCTCGCAATTCTCCGATTTTGTCACCAAAATGCACACGCACCTACTGAGTGCCCTGCATGCTACTCAAGTTCCGAGGTTGTACATTCCGGTTCCTAGAATGCCCTTTACATCAACTGGTCTGCTTGACCATAGGCTTCTGAGCAAAGAGGCTCAGGACCTTCCTGCACGGACACGCCTCGAATTTGATCTGAAAAGCTTCCATGAGTTTTGGCGTGTTGAACTAGCCAATCCGAAGACTTCCCCTTCCCAATCATTCCCTTCGTCGACGAGTGCTACCCATAGAAGCTCTGCTACCAGCACGTACGAATGGAACGGCCACATTGAATGGCGTGATATCAGCGAATTGGAACGTGGAAATCTCGAGACCGCGCTTCTTGCCGCATGGGCCCTCACTATATCCGGCTACGTTCGATCGGACGATGTCATCTTTGGAGAATTGCTTCTCGATCAGGAATCGTCCGGGCTGGATTCTATTTCCGAGAAAGCGGCGCCCACTGTGATTCCTAGAAGATTCCAACTCGAGGAGAATATGAGCATTGCGGAACTGATGAAAAGGATTCAAGAGCGCCTAGCAGCTGCTTCTCCCTTCCAGAGAGCTGGACTTCAACGCATCAGAAACGTCAGCGCGGATACTTCGCGTGCGTGCAGCTTCAATAACCTTTTCTGCTTTGCGAGATCCGACTGCGAGATGCAGACTCCTGCTCTCGCTTATCCCATTGCGATCTTCTGCAGTGTCGCAAAGTCGGAGCTTCAGCTTAGCGCTCGCTATGACGAGCAGGTCTTGTCTGCGCCCCAGCTTGAGCGGATTTTGACACAATTCACACGCTACGTTGAATACTTGAAGGCGGATCTTCTTTCTCAAGAGACGATCGGTGGCATGGCCCTCCGCAAAAATCAGACTTCCTACTTGTCCAGCCCTGATACTGCCTACTGGAGGAAGTACCTTGTTGATGTCGAGTCCTGTGCATTCCCTTCTTTGAACCCAGACAACGAAAGAAGTGGATTCAGCTCGGCAAAACTGGCGATTGAAAATCTGGCGGATTTACGCAGCTTTTGCCAGAAGATCGAAGTAACCGAGGACATCGTGCTACAGCTCGTTTGGGGATTGATTCTGCGATGCTATACTGGTTCAGAAGAAGTTTGCTATGGTTACTACCCTGCAACGCCACAACCTGAGGGGTCGAAGTACCTGAAAGTACTCCCGAGCAGGCTTCTTCTCAAGGACGACTTAGACCTGGGGTCAATTGCACAGCAGAGAAAGAGCGAACTGGCTGAAGCGATGGAGCACCCCATCTCCCAGATGGAACTGCAGCATGAACTCGGCCTTGACTTGTATTCGCTCTTGAACACTGTCTTCAAATTCGACCGGTTTATGGAGCTCCCCAGTGACAATAACGGCGTATCAGACCTGCTCAACGACACCGAGAAAGGCGTCTGCACTATTGCTGTCAACCCTAGATTTTCATCTGTATCGGCAGAAATCATCTTCGAGTACCGGACAGACGCCTTGTCAAAAGCCAATATCGCGAGTGTTGTTGATTGCTTCCAGCACATTCTGGAGGAGATTATCGACCATGACCCTGTCAGCCATAAGATAGGGGACATCAATTTCTTCAGCGAACGTGCTTGTCAACAAGTACGGGAGTGGAATGCTACGCTACCAGAGAGACCTGATCAATGCGCACATGAGATAATTGAGCAGCAGGTTCTGAGCCACCCTACTTCGCCTGCAATCTGCTCGTGGGACGGAGACTTTACTTACCAACAGCTCGACCTTCTATCAACTAAATTGGCAAGGCATCTTGTTTGCCTGGGTGTCAAACCCGATGTCTTTGTTGGATTATGTTTTGAGAAGTCCGCTTGGGCAGTCATCGCACAAGTTGCGGTTCTGAAAGCCGGAGGAGCATTCGCATCTCTGGATCCCACTCACCCAGAAGCGAGACTTAGGGGCTTGGTTGACGATATTGGCGCTCATATCGTCCTTTGCTCTGCCAAATATCTCGACAAGGCTCTCCAGATATCCCGTGCCGCCTATATCGTGAGCGAAGAAACACTCGGTGAACTGCCAAACGCATCGTCTGCTGCGTCGATGCCCCGGCCCAGCATCCACAACGCAGCCTACGCTATTTTTACCTCTGGAACAACAGGCAAGCCAAAAGTGACTGTTATTGAGCACATTGCTCTCAGCGTGTCTTCACCAGCTTTTGCTCGTAGCCTGGGAATGGACAAGACTACCCGTGCTCTGCAGTTCTCCAGTTATACTTTTGATGTGAGCATAATGGAGATTATTATTGTCCTCATGACGGGAGGTTGTGTTTGCGTTCCCAGTGAAGAAGAGCGCATGAACGACCTGTCCGGTGCCATTAGGAGACTGAACGCCAACTTCATCAGTTGTCCTCCGTCAATTGCAAACACAATCCAACCCAACAGTGTCCCATCAGTGAAAACTGTTGTTTCGGGAGGTGAAAAGATGACTGTGAGCCATATCGACCGTTGGTCCGACAGGTGTGTCATCAACGCGTATGGGCCGTCCGAGTCGACGGTTATGGCAACGATGAGCGTCAAAGTGGATGAAGCAGGAGTACGCGTCAACAATGATTGCAACTCAATTGGAGCTGCAACTTGCGGCCGCACTTGGGTGGTTGACCCTAACAACTATCAGCGCCTTCTGCCTATCGGGGCTGTGGGCGAGCTAGTACTTGAAGGCTGCAACGTTGCTCGTGGTTACCTCAACAATGACCAGAAGACGAAAGAGTCATTTATCAGTGAGCCTGCCTGGACGAAGGCCCCAGGCTTCCAGGGAATATTCAACCGAAAGGAGCGCATGTATCGGACTGGAGATCTTGTCCGCTATAATCCCGATGGCACATTTTGCTTCATCTCGCGCAAGGACACCCAGATCAAGTTCAACGGTCAGCGCATTGAATTGGAAGAAATCGAACAACAATGCATCTCTTGTCTTCCTGGAGGCACTCAGGTGGCTGTCGAGGTTGTGGAGCCCGAATCAAAGGCAGTTGCCAGATCCATCGCAGCTTTCTTTACCGTTGACGATCAATCTGGCCCAGACAGACCTGATCTGGAACCTCAATTGCTCGTTCCCATGTCGGAAACAACACGCGAAAAGGTCAAGAAGCTTAGGGAGGCCTTGACCAAGGCTCTGCCACCAAGTCTGATACCAAGGCTTTTCTTCCCAGTCTCCCGCCTGCCTGTCTCAAACTCCGGAAAGCTCGATCGCAAGAAGCTCCGGGCAACAGTTGAGACTCTGCCCAAAGACCAGCTCAAGCCTTACGTTACACTGACGGCTGGCTCTAGACAAGCGTCTGATGAGGGAGTTGAGGGGACACTCAGAAGCCTTTGGGAAGAAGCTCTGGGTCTTGCGTCAGGTTCGGTCAGTGCTGAAGACAGCTTTTTCAGCTTAGGTGGTGATTCTTTCTCCGCCATGAAGCTCGTTGGAGCCGCCAATTCTCGGGGGATCTCTCTCACATTTGCCGACGTTTACGAGGACCCAGTCTTCATGAATATGGCCAAGCGTTGCGGCATGTTGCAAGAAAAGTCCAGCAAACAGACCGTGACACCGTTTAGCCTGCTGCCTGCCTCAGTCGATCGTGAACAGCTCTTGGAGGAAGTCGCGGAGCAATGTGATGTGCCTCGAGCATCTATTGTCGATCTCTACCCGTGCAGTCCTGTACAGGAGGGTCTCCTCACTTTATCAGTCAAGCAGAACGGTGCTTATATCGCCCAGCCAATTTTCCGTCTCTCAGAGGGAATAGATCTCGACAAGTTCAAAGCTGCTTGGCAACAGGTTGTGGACGAGCTGGATATCCTGCGGACTCGTATTGTACATACTGAGTCTTTGAACTTCTTGCAGGCTGTTGTTGACAAAGAGGAGATCTCTTGGGCCTCTGCAACCACTCTGGATGAATTGATAGCTGAGAGCCCCGAGCTGCCAAAACACAATGGCGGGCGGTTGACTAGTTATGCGATTGCCGAATCACAGACTGGCCCGTACTTCTGTTGGACAATCCATCATGCGCTGTACGATGGATGGAGTATCCCGCTCGTCTTGAGAAGAGTGGAGGAGGTTTACACGAATTCTACAGCCAGCGCCCGAACGGTTCCCTACAGCTTGTTCATAAACTATCTGCTGGAGCGGAACACGTCAGAATCTGACGAGTACTGGAAGTCTCAACTGGCCAACCTATCCTGTTCTCCATTCCCACAAAGCAAGAATTCCATGCCGGACTCTGTCCGAGTAGGAAATCGGCATCACAGCAGCATGAAGATCTCTCGAGCCGCCAGCGGAGTTGATCTCACAATCCCCGAGCTTATTCGTGCTGCGTGGGCGATCGTCGTCTCTGCTCATACTGGATCCAGTGATGTATGCTTCGGCGAGACGCTCATGGGAAGAAATATCGACCTTGCTGGTGTCACAGTTATTGCTGGACCCGTTCTTACCACTGTCCCTACGCGCATTCAAGTCGAAAATGAGCTTTCAATCACCCAGTATCTGGAGAATGTGCACCATCTGACAACCACCATGCTTCCTCATCAGCATTCAGGACTGCAGCGAATTCGAAAACTCAATAGCGACACAGCATCGGCTTGCGAATTTCAGAATCTACTTGTCATTCAGACTGGGGAGGGCCAGCTGAACAAGGGCTTGTGGGTGGCTGAACCCAACCAAACGAGTGGAGACTTCTTCACTCATCCACTTGTCGTCGAATGCAAGGTCGATACTTCTGAGGTGTTGATCACGATGCACCATGACGAAATGGTGCTGAACAGCTGGCAGACTGAGAAGCTCATCGGTCAGTTCAGCTTTGTGCTCGAGCAGCTGCTCTCCATCAACAAGGGGGAGACAAGGAAGTTGAGCGAGCTCGAGATTTTCAGTCCACTTGATAGGAAGGAAGTCGCACTATGGAACAAGAGGCACCCCGACGGCGTCGAAAAATGTGCTCACGATATCATTTCCGAGAGATGCTCTACCCACCCCGATGCTCCGGCTGTCTGTGCTTGGGATGGCGAGGTCACATATAAAGAGATGTATGCACTCTCTTCGTCTTTCGCGTCCTATCTGGCTTCTCGTGGCGTTGGACCAGAGACTCTGGTGCCAATTTGCCTGGATAAATCTCTCTGGGCAATTATCACTATTCTCGGGATCTTGATTGCTGGTGGTGCCTACGTACCACTTGATCCTGCACACCCAACATCGAGACATGAAGAAATTCTCGCGGAAGTGGACGCCCGTATTCTCATTTGCTCCCCTCAATATCAGAGCCGTTACTCGGCTATTGTCAAAACGATAATTCCCGTCAGTAAGGAGACGATCAGAGCTTACGGTGCCCTCAATGGCCAGGCGAAGGGACCAAGCCGTGTCACGCCATCCAATATGGCCTACGCGATCTTCACCTCAGGAAGCACTGGTCGTGCCAAGGGTATTATCATCGACCACCGCGCACTTGCAAGCAGTGCTATGGCATTCGGCCGATTGTGCACTTGAATGAGACTTCTCGTGCATTCCAATTCGCGTCCCTTACCTTCGATGCGGCCGTTATGGAAATCCTAGCTACTCTGATGCACGGAGGATGCATTTGTATCCCAAGTGACGATGAGCGCCTGAATGATGTCGCCGGCGCCATTCGACGTATGAAGGTCACTTGGACTTTCCTGACTCCGTCGATAGCCAGCATTATCGAGCCATCAACCGTTCCCTCACTGGAAGTGCTTGCCTGTGGAGGAGAGAAATTGTCACGCGAAGTCGTGACAAAATGGGCGCATCGCGTCAAACTAATCAATGGATATGGACCCACAGAGACAACCATCTTCGCTGTCTTGAATAACGTATCCCCGACCACCGATCCTGCCTGCATTGGTTACGGAATACCTTGCACTTTGACCTGGGTTGTCGATCCCGAAAACCACGATCGGCTTACCCCATTGGGAGCCATCGGGGAACTTGCCTTGGAAGGCCCAGCTCTGGCAAGAGAATATCTGAAAAACCCCAAGAAGACCGCCGAGGCATTCGTGGATGAGCCCGCCTGGATGAAGCATTTCCGGTCGGCCCTGCCATCTCCGCGAAGAATATACAAGACTGGAGATCTTGTCCGGTATAACCCTGACGGATCGGTGGAATACATCAGCCGCAAAGACCACCAAGTCAAGCTCCATGGCCAGCGTATGGAGCTCGGCGAAATTGAGCATCGGCTACATGAGGACGACCGCGTCCGTCATGCCGTTGTTATCCTTCCCAAGGAGGGTCTTCTTAAGGGGCGTTTGGTCACCATTCTCTCTTTGAACTCTCTGAAGTCAGATTCGAGCATCATCTCCGATAATGCATGCGAGCTTATCAGCCGAGCGGATCTGGCGAGAGTCGCGTATTTTGAGCTCATCACGATTCAGAAGAATCTCGAGGCCCAGCTGCCCATTTACATGGTTCCTCAGACCTGGGCTGTCATCAAGAAATTGCCAATGCTCGTTTCTGGAAAGCTGGACAGAAAGAAGATTACTCACTGGATTGAGCATATTGACGAGCCGACGTATGATAGGATCATGCAAGACTATGACAACATTAAGAGGGGTCATGTTGAGGAGGATAGCGTCAAGGAAGATAAGAACACTTCGGTCAAGATCTTACAAGACATCTACGCCCAAGTACTCAACCTCCCTTCGAACAAGGTCGACCCCAACCGGTCGTTCGTGAGCCTAGGTAAGTGATCACTGTCCTTCTCACCAAGAAGCGAGAAAAAGAGCTAACTGGTCCACACAGGCGGCGACAGCATCACTGGAATGGCCGTCATTTCCCGAGCTCGCAAACAACGGCTTAACCTGACACTTCACAAGATCCTTCAAAGCAAGTCGATCGTTGAGCTGACTCAAGCAGCGGAAGTCAAGAGCTCGAGCATTCAAGTTGAGGAGAAAGCGAACGAATACTTTTCTCTATCCCCCATTCAAAACTTGTACTTCAAATCAGCACGCACGTTCAAGGAATCGGGTCGCTTCAATCAGAGTATGACTGTGCGCATTACTCGAAAGGTTGAGCCAAACGTTGTCAAGGATGCACTCAAGGCAATTATCAACCAGCACTCAATGCTTAGGGCAAGATTCAGCAGATCTGCAGCAGGAAAATGGCAGCAGCGACTTACCAATGTACGTGCAACTCGACTCACTGACATGATCTTGGAGAGCTAACGAGCCCACAGGACGTTGATTCATCTGTTCGCGTCGGTATCCACTCAGTCATGAGCTCCCATGACATGTTGAGCAAGATTGCCAATACCCAGTCATCTCTGGATATCGAGAATGGACCGATCCTTGCCGCCGATTTGTTCAACACTAATGGCGAACAAGTCCTTTTCCTTGTGGCCAATCACCTGTGCGTCGATATGGTTTCATGGCGTATTATCCTTCAGGACATGCAAGAATTTATCGAGACCGGCTCACTGTCTTCTGAGAAACCAATTTCCTTCCAGAGCTGGTGCGAACTGCAACTCGAAAACAGCAAATCAGAAGCAGATGAGGCCAAGCTTCCATTTGCCATTGAAGCTCCGAATCTCAGCTACTGGGGCATGGAGAGCGTGCCCAACCACTACGGACAAATCAGGATGGAATCATTCGTCGTGGACGAAGACATTACTTCCTTTATTCTGGGTGGCTGCCACGAGATGCTGCGCACAGAAACGATCGATATCCTCCTCGCGGCAGTTACGCAGTCATTCTGCCGGGTCTTCACAGATCGCAGAATGCCAACCATATATAATGAGGGTCACGGTCGTGAATCGTGGGATTCGAACCTTGATCTTTCACGGACTGTTGGTTGGTTCACCACATTGTGTCCACTGCAGGTCGACGAATGCTCAGGTAATTACCCTCTCAAAAAAAGTAAAAATAAAAATAAAATATCTAGGGTGACAGGCTAATATAAGACTCAGATTTCGTCGACACAGCAAAACGGGTCAAGGACTTGAGGCGGAAGATAAAGGACAATGGCCGATCTTACTTCGCTCGCAGCCTTCTCCAGCCCGACAATACCAATTCATCGGAGTTCCCTGTTCCGTTGGAAATCGTCTTCAACTATCTTGGGCGACTGCAGCAACTGGAGCGCGACGACTCGCTTTTCAAGCACTATGGAGAGGCGTTCGACGAGGAGAAGTTCAGATTAGCCGGAGATATGGGACCAGATACCCCCGGTTTGCCCTCCTGGAGATTTCCGCACTTGTCGTCAATGATAAGCTCCAGGTCTCGTTCACGTACAATCGACAGATGCAGCGTGAAAATCAGATATTCGAATGGATTTCAGAGTGCAGGAGAGTACTTGAGAGAGATGTGCTTCGCTTCAAGGACTCCGTGCCGGAACCTACCCTCAGCGATTTTCCCTTGCTCCCTATAACCTACGATGGGCTCAAGAACCTCACGAGCACAACGCTGCCAAGAGCAGGGATCAAGACCTGGAGTCAAGTAGAGGATATCTATCCTTGCTCATCAGTGCAAGAGGGTATTCTCCTGAGCCAGCTTCGGGATCCCAGTGCGTACATGTTCCATGTGATCTTCGAAGTGCGCTCTCCTGGAGGAAGTGGCAAGGTAGATCCAAGCATGCTTCGAAGCGCATGGTCAGCAGTTATCAATCGGCATCCGATCCTGAGAACCCGGTTCATCGATAGTAATTACGCAAACGGTACCTTCGACCAGCTGGTGCTCAGGCAAACCGAGGAAGGAGCGATCATTCTCCATTGCAATGATTCCGATGCTCTTGTCAAGCTCGATGCCGTCAAACTCAGTGACATCAACGCCCGGCGCAACTCACAGCTGCTGCATCAATTGACAGTCTGCAGCACCGATTCTGGACGAGTGCTTATCAAACTGGAAATGAACCATGCCATAATAGATGGTGGATCAGTTGACCTACTTTTGAGAGATCTAGCAATGGCATACAAGCATCAGCTGCCAGAAGGATCCGGTCCGCACTTTAGTGACTACATCAAGTTCATCCGCGGGAAATCTCAAGACCAAGCTTTATCCCACTGGAGACAATACTTGTCTGATGCTCGTCCCTGCCACCTGACGTTCTCCGAGGAAACAGGTGGTAGCCGTCAATTAGGATCAGTGATGGTGCCGTTCAGCAGGTATTCCGAGCTGCAACAATTCTGCGAGAAGAACTCCGTGACACTCGCAAATCTTACTCTCGCTGCATGGGCAATCGTCTTACAAAGCTTTACGGGCTCGGACGATGTTTGCTTTGGTTACCCTTCTGCCGGTCGTGACGCCCCAGTTCCGGGGATCCAAGACGCAGTCGGAATATTCCTCAACATGCTCTGCTGCCGAGTCAGGTTCTCACCACTGAAGACTCTGTTGGAAGTTTCAAAGACAGTGCAGGATGACTACATCAAGAACCTTCCATACCAGGATTGTTCTCTTGCAAGTATTCAGCATGAACTTGGGCAAAAAGAGCTGTTTAACACGACAATCTCGATTCAAAACCACCACGCTGTCTCGGAAGAATCTGGGAACGACTTGTTGTCCTTCAATGTACAGAAGGCGCACGACCCAACAGAGGTAAGTTCTTCACAGACTGTTCTAATGATTAACGGAAGCTGATTTCTGCAACAGTATCCTGTCACCGTGAATGTCGAGACTGCCAAGGGCCACGAAGGTATCCTGCTCCGATACTGGACCGATGCTGTGCCCGGAGATAAAGCAAACAATCTTGCAGATGCCATTGCCAACATTTTCAGCTGCTTTATTGATAAGCCGTCTCAGCTAGTCTCCGAGTTGGACCTCCGCGGCGGACAATTGATGAAGGGCGGTCAATTCATTGACAGCAAGTCCCTTGAGGAACTGATCGATCGCCGTGTCACTGAAATAATTAGTCAAATGCTCAAGGAAGGAACACTGGCCATACCGGCGGCTGAGAGTGGAAAGGGCCAGTTCAAGGGGACAACCCCGCCGAGCCTGTTCAAGTTACAGTTAAGGCGAAAAGCAAGGCTCGTGAAAGAGATCTCTCCGACTCGACAGCAACCCTCACCGAGGATCACTCAAAATTGATGGAACTAGAAAAGAGATTATGGAAACTTTGGTGCTCAGCATTGGGCCTGCCATCCGACACTATCCAACACCAGGCGAGCTTCTTCAAATTGGGCGGTGATAGTATAACTGCCATGAAGATGGTCAGCGCTGCGCGCGAAGATGGGCTGACACTGACCGTGGCTGATGTGTTCAACAATCCTGTCTTTGAGGACATGCTGGCGGTCATCAGTGCTTCCAACAGTTCGTCTGCTTCGGAACCTGACTCTCAGACCGACAGTGACAACGAGAAACCAGCTGAACCTCCTAAGGTGGTTGAGCAAGAGCGAAACCCACCACCACCAGAGATTTCACTCTTGAAGACCGTTCCTTTGAATGACAGCGCTCTTCAGGATGGAATTTGCCCGAAGATCGGTGTGTTTAAAGGAGGTATTGCCGATGTTTTGCCTGTTACGGACTTCCAAGCCATGTCAATTACGGCTACATTGTTCAAGTCCCGCTGGATGTTGAACTACTTCTTCTTCGACGGACGAGGATCGCTGGATCTGAGAAGGTTGAGGGAGAGTCTCTTGCGCGTTGTTGACGCTTTCGATATACTCCGAACAGTCTTTGTCTGTTTCAACGGCCAATTTTTCCAAGTGGTGCTCAGAAAGATACGGCCAAACATCTTTGTTCATGAGACCGAGAAGAGCTTGGATGAGTACACTGAGTACCTCCAACAGCAAGATCGCGAGCAAGAGGCGCGGCAAGGCGAACAGTACGTGCAGTTCTACATCGTGAAGAAGAAGGGCAGCAACCACCACCGAATCTTGATTAGGATGTCGCATGCTCAATTCGACGGACTATGCCTGCCCACCATCATGTCGGCCATCAAATTGGGATACGAGGGCAGTACTCTGCCCCGGCTCCTTCCTTTGCGAATTACATGCGCATGCTGTCGGGAGCAATCACTCCAGACCACTATCAGCATTGGACAAACCTGTTGAAGGGATCGAAAATGACGCAGGTCATTCGAAGGAACGAGGAGAATACCTATCGCTATATTGGTGCTTTCACGGAGCAAAGAAAGACACTGGAGATCCAGCCCTCGGTCCTGGAAAATGTCACCATTGCTACTGTCATGCAAGCAGCATGGGCGGTTACGCTGGCCAAGCTGTCCGCCCAGTCCGACGTCGTCTTCGGACTCACGATCAGCGGAAGAAATACTTCAATCCCAGGCATTGAAAATACCGTTGGCCCGTGTCTCAATGTGATTCCAATTCGAGTCACATTCAAAGAGGGCTGGACTGGAGTTGATCTGTTCCGCTATCTACAAGATCAGCAGATAGCCAACATGCCTTTCGAGGCCTTGGGTTTCAGAGAGATCATCAGGCGCTGCACTAACTGGCCCAGTTCGACATATTTCGCCACCTCCGTCTTCCACCAGAACGTCGAATATGAGGGCCAGATGCAGCTAGACAACACTACATACAGAATGGGAGGCGCGGGTGTCGTCGACAACTTCACCGACATGACATTGTTCTCCAAGTCATCCAGCGACGGCAAACTGGGCGTCTCTCTGGGCTATTCAGAAAAGGGCCCCATCGGCCCCAAATTTGCTGCCAAGGTCCTGAACATGGTCTGCGACACCGTGCAAAGCCTGTTGGCTAACTCCCGTGTCGGGCTTCCCTCCCCATCCATGCTCCGCTCGTTACCTTGCCAATCCGTCCACGACGTCCCCGGAATGTCCGACGAGATGTTCCTGTCCACACATCTGAAGAACCGGAGCATCTCGGATATCCTCGTCCACTCGGACGTCCTGACGCAGGCCTGGCAGCAAGTTCTCCCCCACAATAATGCCGATGAGCCTCAATCCTCCTTCCAGCTCGACTCGTCCTTCTTTGAACTGGGAGGCGACGTTTTCGACATGGCGCAGGTCGTCTGGCTCCTCGAGCAGGAAGGACTGCAGGTTCACATCGAGGACCTCCTTGAACACCCGACCTTCCTCGGGCAGATGGCTGTCTTGACACTGCACAACTCACGGAAGAGCGATTCCATGGAAGAAATTGTGCCCGTCGAGGAGATTCCTTTGCCGGCAGCGAGAACTGGCACTTCAAGTTCGCTAGGCAAAGCCTTGACTCTGGCGAAGAAGGTCACAAGATGGAGCGCACTGTCGGCTCGAGGGTGATCGGCCAGGACATTCCCATATAATTACTATTCACTCATTTGTATTGCCATTAGTTTTTGGCGTGCACATCGTTTGGTCTCACACATTTCCTTTGTCTTGGATACTTTACTCTCATACTTATAATGTTTTCGGTCATTCTGTGTATATTGGCGGTTTTAATCATTTGGGCTGCTGGATAATGTTTGCATATATGCAATGTTTAATAAATCTAGTATGTAATAGTATTTCATTGATTATTTACTTCAAACTTTTTCATGCACATGCAATATGCACAGGGACAAAGTGACACAGCATGCATCGGACATAGTGGTATCTCGTAATATCATGTGCAAATCAGGAACCGACAGAAGAAGAAATCAAGTCAGTAAAGGGTATAAGAAAATAGTAAAGGGTATATAAATGTGACCCGAAAATATGCAGGAATCCGAAAATATAAAACAAGATTGAAATGCAACGACTATCGGCCATGAACATGACCGTAAACAGAAGCCTGAGACCACTTCCCGCGCGCCCTGATCCGCGGCCCGTAGATGTAGAACAGGTACGGGATGGGGATGAGCGCGACAGCCATGAACCCCAGCGTGCTAGCCGCCCAATTGACGCCCATCTTGCGGAACATGATGCCCGCGAAGAGCGGGAAGCAGCCGGCGAACAGACTGCGGAGGAAAGTATTTGCCGCGACGGCGCTGGCGGCGTACTGCTGGAAGGTATCGATGAGGTAGTTGAGGGCGGCCTGGAAGATGGTGAAGAAGCCGAAGCCCATTGAGACGGCGCCGGCGTTAGGGCCGATCCAGTGGATGTTCTTTGCGCCTGTCCAGCCGAAGATGAACAGGCCGGCGGCGAAGAAGACAGATCCGACCATCATGGGTGGGAGGCGGGCCTCGGGGACGGGGAAGTTGTTGTTTGCTTTGAAGCGCTTGATGTAGAATCTCTGATTGAAAAGATTGAGGGCTGCGCCGAAGAGGATGCCGATGAGGTAGGCGAGGAATGGGAGGGCGCCGACTACTGGGCTCCAGCCGCGGACTTCCTGGAATTCGACGGGGAAGGACGCAAGACTCAGGTAGAGGATTCCGTAGACGAAGGATGCATAGAGCGCGACGAGGAAGCAGATCGGGGTGGCTAGCAGTTGGAAGGGGCGGACGAGGTATTTGTTGCCTAGTTCCTTGAGGGTCACGTCCCATTCTTCGTGCCGCGCGTGTAGAGCCCAGTTGCCGGTCTCGTATCGGAGCCGGCGGGCTTTGTAGACGAGGAGGACGGGTGCGTAGCTTTCGTCGAGGAAGATCACGTCCAAGACGAGGAAGAACATCATCATGATACCGGTGATCTTTGGTGACGTCTGTATTAGCTGCTGTGTACCAAGATGTATGCGCTGCACTCACGTATTGCGTCCATCTCCAGCCAAGGTAGCTCTGGACGATAGCACCGCCGACGATTGGCCCGAGCACAGGACCACCGACAACGGCCATGGCATACCCGACAATAGCGGCACCCCGCTGCTCCGCGGACCAGATATCGCCCAAGACGCCGCCGGTGTTGGTGACGGGAGCCGAGCCGAAGAATCCGGTGAAGAAGCGGGTGATCATGACCGTCTGCAGATCTTTGGCAGTGGCAGTGCCGAACGAGAATATAGCGGCGATGAAGTAGGGTATGAGAACGGCGGATTTACGCCCGTATACTTCGGAGAGAGGTGCGAATACAAGCGGACCGAGTCCTGGAGTCCATAAGCAAACTCGGTGGATCTTAAAAGGCAGTGACCATCACATACCGAACCCAAACAATAGTAACGTTGTCCCAAGTGTGCCAACTTCCTCTCCAACGCCGAATTGTTTGGAAACTTGAATCGTGCCGGTGGAATAACTATCTAAGTGTCAATATTCCGAATGCAGGGAACAGTCGTGGCTAGCGGATTTCCGTACATTGAACTTGCCCAAGTCGCACCTATTATTCGTAAAGATCAGTCAGACTGGTTTGTTTGCAATTGAGAGCGGCCTGCGCATACCCATTGTTGTCAGACCGTAGAGCACGGTGGTAACAGCCTTCTTCCTAAATCCCCAGTTCAATGGCCTGTATGGGTCATCAGGCCCGTCGAAATCCACAATGACATCTTCCGACGTTCTGCTATGCGACAAAGGGTGCGTGAAACGCGCAGTTTGTCCAGGTTCTCGACTTCGGATTCTCGATATCACTGACTGTGTGCGCTGCTCGAGTACTGACAGCCCCGACGCCGCGGTGGTCTGCTTTTCCAGCGCTGCGTTGTCGAGTTCACGGTGGCCGAAACCATTTTGTTCACTTCGAGATTCGGTATCACTGTCCGTGGTAGACGTGGAAGATGTGCGGGAGAAACGGTCGTTGTCGGTCATGACTTCATAGAAGCAATATGCGACAACGGTAGCAAGGTGCCCAGTTCTAAGAAACCAAAGAAGTACGCTATAAGAACATAGACAAGCGAACGTCCTATTCCTAGAGTTTGATCCAGATATCAAATTCCTTATGTGCAGAGTGGAAACGGGTATTTCCCTAGCAAAATTCGGCGCAAAAATGGGTTTGCCTTAAGAGGTGATAGCAGAGTTACGACGTCACCCAAATCTGTAGCGATCATATCTCGGCTCTCCCACACCAAGCTAAAAATAAGATGATTGAGTAACTAACGGAATCAATGGCACCAGCCATGGGGATTGGAGCTTGTTATAATCAAGACTAATCAAAAAGTCCCAAACAATTGCCATCGTGACAAGCCGTCTTAACCGGACCCTTTGTCCGTCAGAACGTTAGACTGGTCGGACGTCCGATAAGTACCTGACTCACGGCCTTTGCTTGACTCGCGGAGTAAGTGGGGGATTGAGTTCTCATAGCTTTAACTTCTGGCAGAGTCCTCTGGCGAGTGGATGCAAGACGACATTAGCATGCAATCCACCAGGCATCAAGACTGCAACAACATCCGCGACTCTATACCCTATCTCAAAATGAGATGATCCTTCGTACACAAGCATCAATGACAAGCGGCATATCCGTCGGAATTTTTTCCGAGCCCACGTTGAGTGGATGCTTGAGGAATGGATCGCCACCATCGGCGTCCCATAAAGTGGGACTCGGCAATGGAAGCAATCCTGATGGCTTCGGGAACGGGTAATTCGGCCATCGTAGAAGAGACGCTAAGTATGGATCGTCTATCGTCTCAATGGGGAATCCAATTCCGGCAAATGGATGGGAGTATAAAGTTCCCATATTGTCGTCTGGCCATTGATCGAATCAAGCAACATTTCTTAACTTCCTGGGAAAATCACAGATGAAGATCACAGTCGATCGCCGAAACGCCGCGATGTATTGCATATATCACGTGATTACATCATCCAATATATTGTCTATCGTGCTATTCTGCCATGACAGGCTTGATAAACCTGGTTCATTCCATCGTACAAGACATATACATTGATCATGCACGTAACCCCTAGACTGTCGGATGTGTGCTCTCCCATTTTTGCACTGCTTCCATGGCGGCCGTCACCTTGAGACCTATACGCGCATCAAGCTCGTAGCTCTCCCACTTTGCCGCCTTTTCCAGATACTCTTTGCACTTCCGTACTTTCTCTCGCTCGTACTGTAGTGCATCCTTCGCGTCGGCAGGCCCAGCGGATTCTTTGTCCGAGTCTTGTTTCGCTCCGCCGTGGTTGGCGATGTACGTCGGGCGTTCCATCCATAGATTCGCTGCCATTTCGAAGTGGGCCACTGGACAAATCCAATCGTCTTTTAGGTGGCCCTTGAACAATGTTCGGTCCTGGCCAAGGATATCCTCGAGCATTTCCTTTGCCTGGGCGTGTTTGCGCAGCGAGCGGTGAACAGCAGCTCGAAGTAACGTCAAGATCGCTTTCTCCTCTGGGCCCTCTCGTGACCAGGTCTTATTGGCGCTGGATTCACTCCAGGCCAGTTTCTGCAACGACTCTTGCAGCTGCTCGTCCGTCATACGGCTATGACCGTTCCAAAAGAAGATCATTTCCTCAATCGGGTCAATGCCAACCGCATCGACCAGAGATACCTTCCACTCCTTGGCGCGTGCCTCCCATTTAGCAAACTTGCGAGCCACAAATACATCAAAAGGCAGTTGTCGGGCCATGAAACGCTTCTTTCCCGCTACTGTGGGGGCCATTCGGAAATATTTCTCGGCCAATTCGGCATGCTCTGCGGCTTTCGCAGAGCCTGTCTCCTTCAAATTCCGGTATAACGAGAGATGACAGGACCCGGCAATGTAATAATACAATGAGCGGGACCAAGAGTTCAGGTCGACACACTTAAGTCAATGCGTTAGTAGGCCCGTCTTGCGATTTCTCCCTGTGCACAGCTCTTACCTCAAGGAAGGAATCTGCACACAGCTCATACTTGTGCAGATACATGGCGTTCAAGCTCCGCTCAAAAACCCTCAATGCCTCAACCTGTTTCAGGGGGCTGCGTTCCCCCCACACAGCAGCTCCAGAGCCCTGTCAAGATTTTTGTTGGCTCCACTCATCCTGGACTCCTCGAGTAGCCAAAGTTGACTCTGGGGAAATCGCTCTCTCATCTTCGCAAGTAGCAATTCCAGCCGCTTCTGAGGATAACCCTGCACATCCCCGTGTTGGCCGGGGATAGAATCGGGCATGATATCGCAATAACGGACGAACCCGTTGTAGTAGCCGAGAATGGAAAAAGCTGCAATACCACCGATCAAGTTGTGGAACTTACTGGCCTGCCACAACATTCTCAATCCTCTCTCCTTATCGCCGTGGAACCCAATAATACTGAGCAGCTTGCTAAAGGAGGGTGGCACCATTGAGATCAGCAAAAGCAGGACTCCAAAACAGAAATTGGAACCAGAGTGCACAAAGACATCAATCTGATTCTGGAAGATGTCGGAGTCAGGGTCATGGTCGAGGATATCGGCGTTGATCGGGGTCGGAGTTTGACCGGGATCTTCCGCAACGGGAGCTTCGCCTGAGAGATTCAAATCGGCCAACCTCTCATTTACATCAGTATCTCTGGTAGGTGCGGCAAGTGTATCCGCGGCCGCTTCTTTGACTTTGGCTGAGGAGATCGACGAGCTCGAGGACTGAAGGTTACTACAGCTGTGACGCTCGGAAGACGGAACGGACCCGGACGTTGTGGATTCTACCGGCGTCACAGTTCGCGATTCCTCCATGTATTTCTGTTCCATCTTCAAAATGGCATCAAGGGTGATGTAGGCTTTTCTGAGGCGATAGAATGCCTTTATGCTCTCTGTGAGGCTTTCATTCAGCACCCCGACTATGGCGCTCATGAGTTGCGCTATTGCCTGGCACAACGCAAACTCGGTTCCTGGCGAATACATCGGCGAGTGGTAGGTATTCGGCGCATGCGAGTTGTGCTGTGCCCTGTGCTGGTCGACGGATGCACTAGTCTCGGCTTCGTTCAGTCGCTCCGATGCTACAAACAGCGTCAGTGAGCGACAAACCCCCAACTGCAATTGACTGCAAGCAAGAACAGAAGGTAAACTCTAAGCCCACCTTGGCGCATGATATCCTGTTCAAATCCCAAAGTCGCCCGAATGAATGCGACCACTCCTCTCCCAAGCTGCACACAGGTACGAGATTTGGTCAGCACAAAGATGATGTCATATCTCGCAAGGGGTTAAACATACATTATGGAAGGTCGAGGTGCCTTCTGCCAGACCGGCTTCAGCGCCATCGACATCGTCATTGAGAATCAGAGTGGCAGCTGCATCATCGGAGCAAAAGAATCAGCTTTGTTCATATAAGTCGCATAGTCCAGGCGCATGACTGGAGTGCGCCGGTGTTGGTGGATAGGCCACCTGAGACATACCCCTCATAGCATCCTCAACTAATCGGCACCGAACGAAATGATCAGTCAAAGCGGCGTAACATAGATCAGAAGGACACTCACGATCCCGCAGCTCGACTAAAGAGTCGAGAGACTGTGTCGAGGCATTGGCAGCCGGCTTCTTGCCATAGAGCCATGAACCAACTCGGAACATACTGCGAAAAGTCCTTGGTAGGAACTGGCGCAATGGAGAAAGGAGATAAATAATAATATTAAGTATATTTACGACAAAAGATACCGAATCGAAAATCTCGTATCACACTGAGAAACGGAGGTGTCCGGACCCGAATGAAGGATGTGACGAAATGGGAGCAATGTCAAGTCTCCCATCAGATACCAACTGAGGGCATGGCTCCAGAGAGGAGCTGAATGTTACGTATGAATACTTCAAAGGGAAGAAGAATAAGCAAAAGAAAAGTAAGAAAATAAACAAAGGTCTGGAGTTGTGCTGATGATAAATAATAAGTTAAATAATAAGATCATAGACGGCTTTATCGGTTTAGTCCATGGCCCGGGGCGGAGCATTCAGCCCGAGATGGCTTTCCACGATCCATATAGCTGGGAGGGTGTCCATTCCAGCCAGTCATTGTTCAAGTATTCGTCTGATATTCCATCATCAACATTTCCAAGTACACATGAGCTCTCATGTCTATCATCGACAACGCACCATTCTAGATAGCAAGCTCATCGATGCGTTTGAGGCTCTCGTCCATATTACGTTAACTCCGAGAGCCTCAGCCTCATGGACTGGGCTAGGCGTCAAACCTTTCTGTACGGCCACAATGATCATTGGTGGTTAGCGAGGTAACAAGACACAGTAATCATTTAGCTTGGAGGTAGGCTTGTTAAAATTAAGTTGTGTCCGTGTTCTGTAGGCTACAGCGTAGAGGGGTGATGGACGCTACCTTGTTAGTTAGGGTCTCCTCCGCGCTGCTCACGGAGTTTTGGCCTGAGGCCAACGCAGATCACCGCCGCCTTTGACCGACCTTGTCCAGATACCTCATCTAGGTGAACAGACTACCTATCCCTCAACCATATTGACCTATCTCATTGACCACTTTCGTGACCTGCCTGATATTTATAATTTACCTTTTCACATCAGGGAAACGAGTCGACCCAGTTTCTCGATCTTAACCCGTTTTCATTTTCTCCCTCACACAACGCCGCCATGTCGAACACAACACAGACACAGGATAAGCCCGAAACCTCCGAACAGCCAACACAGCAGAAGCCCACCGTACTAGAGGAAGACGATGAGTTCGAAGACTTCCCAGTCGAAGGTGAGCACCTGTGCTGCCCCGCTCACGGCGAGGCGGGGTACCCCTCGCAATGCAACTGCTGACGGACGAGCATTAGACTGGCCACAAGAGGAAACCGAACAAGCAAACGGAAATAACGTCCATCTGTGGGAGGAGAGCTGGGACGATGATGATGCGGCGGAAGATTTCTCAAAGCAGTTGAAGTACGTCTGCTCGCAGCGCTGTCAAAGCTCGCTTTCCCTTGTTGTTGGGAGGATGGGGCAGGTGGATTTTACCATGCCACGTCACTCATGCTCCATCTGTCACGTTTATGCCATCGTTACTGACGATTCGGTTCGCACCATAGAGAGGAACTCAAGAAGGTGGAAGCATCCCATTAGTATCCATTAGCGCGTTACGGAATTGCGAGAGTGATACCGGTTGAACCGACATGATCCTGGGGCGAACCTTACCGGACGTAAGGCTGCATGCGGTACGGACGAGAATTGATGATGGGAGCTTCGCGTACTGGTCAGGCTCAAGTATACCTATGCTTGTCCTTCCTCGAAAGCTGGTCCACTATGCGGTTGGAGTTATATCGGCTTGAGATTTATAGCAATGCAGGCCCGCAGTGAAATGGGCGACCGATGTATCAATTCTCTACATGATTCCTATTTATTTACAATTAATGAATGAGATGGAACTGTCGTCCGACTGTCATTGACGCTTGAGGACTAGACTACACTTGCTGCTACCATGGCAATCAATCACAACTTGGCGCTCGTATCTATCAGACCACTGTATCAGAAACTTTCTTGATTTGAATACTCTTTTCATCTCTGATTAACTCATTGCTTTATACATTATATTCATAGAGTGCTCGCCTCCCCGCTTCTGAAGGTCTTCATGAAGGCGGAAGTCTGCTTTTGATTCAAGACATTATTCTTTCGTTTACTTACTTGACAGGGCAGCAACACCAGGCAGCTCCTTGCCCTCCAGAAGCTCCAGCGAGGCACCACCACCGGTGGAGACGTGGCTGAGCTTCTCCTCAGCACCGTACTTGGCCGCAACAGTAGCGGTGTCACCACCACCGATGATGACGATGGCGCCGTTCTTGGCGGCATCAACAGCAGCATCCAGAGTCTGCTTGGTACCGTTGGCGAAGGGTTCCATCTCGAAGACACCAGGAGGACCGTTCCAGAGGATGGTCTTGGCCTCAGCAATGGTCTTCTTGTACAGCTCGACACTCTTGTCGCCAACATCCAGGCCCATGTAGCCGTCGGGAATGCCTTCCTCGTCGGTGGCATAGCCGGTCTTGGCGTCGGCGGCGAACTTATCCGCCGTGATGTAGTCGACAGGCAGGACAATCTTGACGTTGTTCTTCTTGGCTTTCTCGATGATATCGCCGACGGTCTTGCTGCCGGCCTCGTCGAACAGACTGTTGCCGATCTTGACGTTCTCCAGGGTCTTCTTGAAGGTGAAGGCCATGCCACCGGTGATGATCAGGCTGTTGACCTTTGGCAGCAGGTTGTCGATCAGCTGGATCTTGTCGGAGACCTTGGAACCACCAAGAATGGCCAGGAATGGGCGCGAGGGGCTCTCGAGAGCCTTGGCGAAGTACTCGAGCTCCTTCTTCACGAGGAAGCCGGAGGCCTTCTGGGGCAGGTCAACACCGACCATCGAGCTGTGGGCACGGTGGGCAGTTCCGAACGCATCGTCTGGAACAAATTGTTAGCTTCTTAGCTCATCCAGACCAAGCACGAATCCAATGCTTACTGATGTAGATGTCACCCAGGGCAGTCAGGCCCTTGCGGAACTCGGCAACCTTCTCCTTGTCGGCCTTGACCTTCTTGCCCTCCTCGTCCTTGTAGCTGCCTTCCTCCTCGGGGTGGAAACGCAGGTTCTCAAGCAGAATGACCTGACCGCCCGAGGCCTTGTTGACGGTCTCCTCCACCTCCTTGCCAACGCAGTCCTCAGTGAAGATGACGCTCTTGCCGAGCAGCTTCTCCAGCTCAGGAACAACAGGCTTCAGGCTGTACTTGGGGTTCTTCTTGCCATCGGGACGGCCAAGGTGGGACATGAGGACGACGGCCTTGGCGCCCTGCTCGATGGCATACTTGATGGTGGGCAGAGCACCGACGATACGCTGGGGGTTGGTGACCTCCTTCTTGTCATTGAGAGGAACGTTGAAGTCGACCTGCCAGGCACGGGGGACATGTTAGCCATTGCGCGCTTAAAGCATGGTTTCTCTCCCGGAACTCAATCGTCGATTAGCTCATGATGCGGTTTCAGCACAACATACCCGGATCAGGACACGCTTGTCCTTGAGGTCGACATCTGTGATAGCAAGCTTGTTGGTGAGAGACATTGTGTATGGTGTTTCTATCAGATTGTGGGCCGGGTCAGCTAATGGGGCCTGGAGAACGAGGGAGCACGACGAGTATACCTTTGGGATCACTAAACAGACAAAGTAGAGACTGAAAACTCCTGTCCTAATATCCTCACGGTGAGCCTTCTTCGATCAACGTCGGTCCTACGGCGGGGTAGTTGGCATTGTTTGTTAAGCTCGACTGTGGTGGGGCTTCCGGTGAGAGAGATTCGCTCACCTTCGGGCTGATGCGGGACTGATGTCAGTATCCAGGATCGATGACGGAAGGCTCCGGGCCTGGTAGAACATCGTGCCTGAGAATTCTCGATAGCCTCGGGTGCAAGTAGGCTGACCTGCATGTTTCCCGTAGTTATTCGCTGGTGGGTCTATAAATAAACATTCAATACTCTGTTAGAGATGAGGCAGATTATTGGAGAGTTGCTTGAGGTAGGAGCTTGGTCTACAGAACATCCGTCCGAGTCGCGCAGTTTAAGGAGACCTGAAGGATTGGCCATCTTGAATAGTTCATATGATTTGCTCTTTGGATCATGATCATTTATGAGAACGAGAATTGACACCTTTTTGAGTTTCCGAAAGATTGACCTGTACACCATTGTCCATAAGAAGTAAGAAAGTAAAAGTCCCCCACGCATTTACAACGCCAGATAACCACAGAAAAAGAGAAGAGCAATGAGTGGATATATGGTCAAAGAAAAGCAGAAACAGACCAATACCGCTGCTGTGTTTCGTCTATTCTTCCTCAGCCGAGTTGGTCAACGACAGGTATGCGGTCCAAGCGATACCGACGGTAGATACAAATGGCTGTGACACGTAACGGTTAGCACCATACATATCGACATGAAGATCCCATCACTTACAATCTGGAATTGAATTGGCACAACCCGGAAGTTGAGGATCTGCACAGCAGGCCACAAGACGTAGTTTGCCTTCAGGGTCGGTACGTAGACATCCTGGAACTTGCGGGTCAACGCTCTTTTGCCTCCACCCTCCGCGACAGTCATGAATGTGAAGAAGCACGCAAGACCTTTATCAAATCCATCAGCTAAGCTCTTATCTCGGAAGCTAAGGGATGTCCATACCGAAAGGAGCGAACATGAGCTGATCAACAACAACACGCTTCAAAGCCGGTAGCGTCGGGCTCTTTTTGGTCAATGGAAATGCTCGGGACAGGAAGCCGAACCACTTGAATTGTATAGGCGCCATGAAGAAACCGTATGACATGAATCGGGTTAGACGCTCGAAATCAAACGGAGGAGGAATGTGCTTCGCATGTCCCAGCTCTCCCACTGGTGGCGGTCGTTCCTTGTCCATCTCGTGGATCTCGATCGAAATGAGATCACCGTCTTGCCTAGTTCGTACTGTCGAACGGGCCTTAAAGGCTGTGATCACCTGGGCCACCGTATCTGCGATACCACCAAGCACCTAAATCAAACTCTTCGTTAGTCGTGAACTCCGGAAACAAAAGCAGGCAAAGCCAGAGGCTCTCGACAGGTTCGTACCGCGTTGGTGACCATTGTGGTTAGAACTATGCAAAAAGCGTCAAGTTAGTGAAATGCAACGCGTCCGCACAGGGCTTTCGAGCCTTACCAGGCCGGTCCGCATAGTAGGAGTTGAATTTGGCCGCAAGGCGCGTTGCAACCGCCATCTCGATGAGAAAGATTATCGTATGTAGCAGAGGCTACAAGAAGAGGAAGCAGGAGTCAGTGCAGATCGCAACATTGAACGCACAGAATGAAAGGACCCCTTCGGAAGTTGCCCGGAAAGAACCAGCGTTTGGAATGGGGAGAGTTGTGCGTTATCGTGGCTACATACCAGTCGTCCATAGATATATCTTCTGTTAAGTCCTTCCAAAATTCTTCCACGCGCTTGGGAAAACATTGTGGAGCGAACTGAGATAGGAAAAGTCGTGGTATATCCTTTGATGGAAAGAGATCGAAGACAAGTTTTCCGGTCGGCGGTCTTGAGCGACGGTATGACGCAAAGTATGGGGACTGGAGGCAAGGTGGCAGGGAAAAGCCACCAACACAGGCCGTTTAATAAATAAGATATCTAGCGCTCGGTCACGTCAGTAGCATGTATTCCAAGGATGAACAAATGATGGACACAGACGAAGTGGATGAACTATGGAGCATATCCACCTGGTCTGAAGGAGAAGACCCCGGACTGCTGAGCTGCATGCAATGAATGATCCAACGGGGTTTTCATAAGGCATCCGCATGATCCTTATCGCCCGCCCACAAATGATCAATTAGCCTTTCGTCTAGTGTGCGCCTTGCCGCCGTCATAAGCCAGCCCCCAGTTCCCCGCTATAATATACACAATAATAGTCTACATCATCACTATGTTTGCTTCCGATTGAGTATGAAGTCCGCTAATTGACGATAATCAGGCAGTAGCAGGTGATAGAATGTCAGACATTAATGTCAAGTAAAAATATAGGGCCACAAATTAGGGTATATGGTATAATATGCATTTGTCTGGCTACTTGGCCTACTCTGTCTTGGAGAGAGTCCATTTACAGATCGGGCGCTCGAGGCGTCCTTCAGAAGACAAGTAATCTATGCTGCATACGGTACACCCTTTCGATCAAACGCTACTATGTCCGGAAGATCTCGGATATCCGTGGTTTCGTTCGAATGGGCGTCCACAAGGCGGACGGCTTCCAAGTGAAGAGGCCCCACTGCAAGGGGAAGCAGTTTCAACTCGGTTGAATAACACGTTCCCGGTGGAAGGGGACTATTTATGCGTTAGTCAGGCATCTTCTTATGGAATAGGCATTCAGAAGGAGACATACCCAATGCGTATTTCCGTGCTGAGGCATACGAGCTCAGCTTCCTGGCCCGCCACGCTCTTTTGCATCGCATGGACTATGTTGTCGTCCGTCACTGCTTCTGCGACCCCATCCTCATTCCGACTCGAGATAGATGACGAAGAAGGCCTGGCTACATGACCTCTCGGATCTGCTCGTTTCCTGCGAGGAATGGCAAGCATGGCGAATTTACGCGCGCTCGTGGATCGGTTGACAATAAACACATCCCAGGAAAATGGCTTGCCAACTTCCACCCTGCTAGGACCAGTGAACGAGATCGTGACTCCCATGTCTGTGATCGAAGAGGCTCTGTCTCTCAAGGAGCTCCGGCTGGGAGGAGGACCGCCGGCTAGGACGTTCGCTGGATTTGGCGCCACAGAAAGACTTGCTGGGCGGTTACTCCGTTGCAAGGCTTGACTAGGACCACCGAACGTTGGATTCAAGATCATGGAGAAGTCAATGTTTGTCCTCCACTGCATGAGAATTCGTGGATGGCAGTCTTCTGATACTTGGATGACTGCCTCTAGGGATATATCCAAGACGCTGACCAACACGGTGGTCGAGGGACTCGAATCCTGGCTGTACTCGGGTGTCAATTTATAGATTAGAGTCACATCGTCCCTTGGGCGACATAGGATCGGCGGTTTGAGTCCGGGATCTTCAGATAATGTTTCAATCTTCCCATCTGATAACTGAAGTTCGGCTTTATCAAATAACACATCGCAGTTAAGAAATGGAGTGACCTCGAAATCCAGACTTGCGATTGTCGTAGGTCGCCCAGAAAATGAGTTCAGTCGAGAGTACCGTATCCTGGCGCTGGCTGCAGGAACCACACGGATTGGATGGCCTGATCGTTGCTGGACATTGTATATAGGATCTTCACTGTATTGCGCAGGTACGACTCGTAGAAGCCTGGACGCAGGTAGGAAAGGGTCAATTTTGTTCAAAGCTTTATCTGTTGACAAAGGTTGCAAGATATTTGTCGAAGCAGGAACCAGCGGAGGAAGATAGTCGTCGTCAGGAGACTCTTGTTGCTGACTATCACTCTGATTGAGACTGGCTGAGGCTATGAAGATAAGCGAAGGGTGTTGGATCCGTATGCGAGGCCGCCCTGAATAGGTCAGTCAGTAAAACACGCAACTGGAGTGCCAGACATCGGGGAACTTACTGAGGAACGTCTCGATACTCCAGATCACATACACATGATTGCCGCTCCCTGCCTCCCCTTCAAACTCATTCACAACTACCAGTGGTTCCTCCTGTCCACTTACAACCCCTGAGAATATCAGGTCCCTCGTAGGTGTCGGATTCTCAGAGACTGCCTCGGCAGGGTCGATGGCAAAAGCGTCAAGCTTGACTTCAAGGTTTGGAAGGTGATGTTTCAAGCTCGCCCGCGAGCAATCGGACAATCTGAGAACGACGCACGCGGTGCAAAATTCATCTGTGATACTTTACATGAGTAAGAGACAGGAGTCCGATCAGGAGGCTGTCTTTCCGCATACCGAAGAACAGGAGTGACCGCTGAGGTATCAAGGATAGTACAGAAGATAGATCGTCGGCGCCCCCTTCCAAGGCTTTTGCCAGAGCAGCCTCCAGATCTATATTTGAAGCATGTGGGACGACTGTATCTAGCACAGCATGTCTCAGGAATTCTCCAGGGATATCAAGACTCGGCATAACGAAAGCACATGCCCGCGCGTCACTTGCAGCAATTGTCTCAAATAACAAGGAAGCTGAGCAACTTGAATAGATGTCGCTCAATTATTATTGTAGCGCTGAGGTGACCATTTTCCAGTGTTATTTAATGCCCAATTCTGGTTATGAGAGTGATAAGAGAGAGTTGGGGACCCAGATGCAAACATAACAAACAGCCTTCACTAGACAAGGGAAACTAACGGGAAGAGCTTCACCCATCATCTACATTTTCCGCGCATCAGGATCTTCATCCATTGCAGAGCAGCTTTCCTTCTTTGGGAACATTTGCTCATCAAGCATCATGAATCCCATGACTGGACCAGCAGCTGCACCGCCTCTGTGGCAGGAGGCGCGCAATGCCGACGGCAGAGTGTATTATTACAATGTTCAGACCAAAGCTACACAGTGGCAGAAGCCCGTCGAATTGATGACTCCTGTCGAGGTTTGTTTGCTATCCCGAGTCTCGCTGTTGCTCGTGTTTGTGCTAATACCTTCCTTACGCTCACAGCGAGCTCTAGCCAATCAGCCATGGAAAGAATATACTGCTGAGGGTGGACGGAAATACTGGTACAACACGGAAACTAAGCAAAGCACTTGGGAGATGCCAGATGTTTACAAAAATGCTTTGGCGCAGGTTCAAGCACCTCAGCCGGCCCCTGTAGCGTAAGTAATCTCCTGCTGCTTAAATGTGCCGCCAGGGATTAACCAGTTTTTGCGTGCAGGGCCCCAACGTTTGTCGCAGGCGGAGTCAGCTCGTTTCCCTCCCATCCACAACAGCGTGACCGTGACGATTATGACCGAGGTTATGGCGACCGGCGCGGTGGTTACGGCTCCATGGATGTCAATGGAATTTCGGCCGCTCCGGCACTGGGAACTGCGCAAGCGGAGCCAGAGTATAATTCCCTCGAAGAAGCTGAGAATGCTTTTATGAAAATGCTCAAGCGCCACAACGTTCAGGCTGACTGGTCATGGGAGCAGACGATGCGTGCGACTATCAAAGATCCTCAATACCGTGCTTTGAAGGACCCCAGAGACCGAAAGGCTGCTTTTGAGAAGTACGCGGCCGAGCTCCGCATGCAGGAGAAGGATCGAGCCAAGGAAAGATTTGCTAAGCTCAGAACTGACTTTAATACTATGCTGAAAAGCCATCCTGAAATCAAGCACTATAGCCGCTGGAAGACAATCCGCCCGATTATCGAAGGCGAGACGATCTTCAGGTCCACCAACGATGAGAACGAAAGGCGGCAGCTTTTTGAGGAGTATATACTCGAACTGAAGAAGGAGCATGTGGAACGGGAGGCTGCTCGGCGCAGGGCTGCACTCGATGAGCTGGTCAATATCTTGAATTCTTTGAACCTCGAGCCTTACACGCGGTGGTCGGAAGCACAGGCTATAATCCAGTCTAATGACAAGGTTCAAAGCGATGATAAGTTCAGAACCCTGAGCAAGTCCGATATTTTGACCGCTTTTGAAAATCACATCAAGTCACTTGAGCGGGCATTCAATGATGCGCGTCAACAGCAGAAGGCAGCAAAAGCGAGAAAAGAGCGCCATGCTCGTGAGAAATTCATCGAGCTCTTGAAGGAACTGAAAGCGCAAGGCAAGATCAAAGCTGGCAGCAAGTGGATGAACATCTACCCGTTGATTCATGAGGATCCACGTTACCTTGCAATGCTAGGTAACTCGGGTTCTACTCCCTTGGATCTTTTTTGGGACATGGTGGAAGAAGAGGAACGATCGCTGCATGGGCCACGGAATGACGTATTGGATGTTCTCGATGTAGGTTCCCTTACACCCTGTTTCCTTCAACGGATTCACTAACATGTTGCTCTTAGGATAAACGCTATGAGGTCACGCCAAAGACGACGTTTGAAGAGTTTCAGTCTATCATGCTTTCCGACCGCCGCACGGCGAACCTCGATTCTGACATACTCCAGCTCCTCTTTGATCGCATCAAAGAGAAAGCTATTAGGAGAAGCGAGGAGGAGAAGCATGCCGCGGATCGTCATCAGCGACGTGCTATAGATGCCTTGCGCTCGCGGATGAAACGTCTAGAACCTCCTATACGCCCAACCGACACTTGGGACCAAGTCCGTCCAAGGATCGAGAAACTGGAGGAATACAAGGCGATTGAATCAGATGAGCTTCGCCAAGTGGCGTTTGACAAGTTCATCCGCCGGTTGAAGGAGAAAGAGGAGGACGTGGACAGGGAGCGGGAGCGCGATCGAGAAAGAGATCGTGGAAGTCGGCGAGAACACTACGATCGCGATCACCGTAGAGGCGAGAGACGAGGGCCTCCCAGTCGTCTCTCTCGCACACCTGAGCCCGACGCCTACGAAGCAGACCGTCGTAAAGCTCAGGCCGACCGCGAGCGGTCTTACAGAAAAGTCAGCGGCTTGTCTCCGATCCGCGAGAAGCGCGACGATCGGGACCGTGACAGGGATCGCGAGAGAGAGAAGGACCGAGACCGTTACCGCGATCGGGATTGGGATCGGGAGCGCAGCTCCCGCTCTCTGAGCCACTATGATCGTGAACGAAGGGATCGGGAAGAAGAGCGCGAAAGACTCTATCGCACTCGCGGTGATCCCCGTGGAAGTCGGGATGAGTTGGATTACGGTGGGGACACGCGAAGCACCGTCAGCAACGACCGGAGGCGCCGGAGAGACAGTGATACAGAAAGCGTCGCCAGCCGCTCTGCGAAGCGCTACCGGCGTGAAAGTCGCGAGCGAGACCGTAGCCGGGCTTCCAAGAAGGACAGGGAGCGTCAAGAACCAACTCCTGCCGCGGAGGAAGCTAAGAAAGAAGAAAAGGCTGTGCACTCTGGCAGCGAAGAGGGTGAAATTGAGGAGGACTAGTCGGTTGATGTACGTAGCTGTGTATTGGTAATCCTACAATTCCTGGTTGGATTGGAGATTGGCATTTCCGTCTTCATGAAGTCGATTACTTAGCGGATGTCTCTGCTTCCATATGGGAGGCACACAGGCCGTACCCTTTGAGTAGTTGTGCGTATTTATGTTTTCCTGCTTGATACTACGCGATATACTCCGTAGCGGAGGGATATATATATATCGGGAGCGCAGGTTGATGTGTGTCGTTCAGATAGATAGCTATTTCTGGTTGAACCCTGGGAATGTCTAAGTGGAGGACTAGCATGAATATATATGGCTGGCACTTCACTCTGGCAAATACATACTAACGCACTTACATCGTTCATACTTCCCAACAGCATACCAGCAAGGTGATCACACTAGTCATTAATAGAAAAGGGTAAATCAGTGGAGAACCAAATAGCTTATATATGCTATCTGAGATCTATGACAGTGGCCACCTAACTTGACCATTCCCCAGCTCCCTTTTGTCTTCACTGAATCTGAACACATTGGTCATGGGACCATCTATACAATATCATAACATCATCGAAGAATTTTGAGAGACCCAACTCCGAATATGATCACGCCAGCCAAAGCACACCAATACCCAGTAAAACCCACGTTGGCCCAAGTTGCCTGCATTCTGCTTACGCCGAGGATAGGATGACCGGACCAACAGGGTGCGCGGATATGGGGCATCAGAAGGGACGAAGATGGATGACGACATGTGAACACAGCGAAGTGTGAACCGGGAACAGATGAACCAACTGTGCCTACTCAAAATTGTCGTCATCGTCATCCTCCTCCTCATCCGAAGCACCAGCTAGATCGCCAACGAGGCACACGCCACGACTGCGGCGACGCGAGGCCCCAGGAACGCCGAATAACGCCACTAAACGAAGGGTTTTCCATTGACCACGACGTCGCCGCTGGTCAGCGTCGCGACCATCGTCCCTGTGATGGTTGCGATTATGTTTGCCTGGGATGACCTTTTCAACTCTCTTCCTCCAAGAAGTACTAAAGGTGAAACATATTAGCATGATGTAAAATAAGTTTGCACGGATCGGGTTCGGGTGACTTACGAAGTTGCCAGCCAACTTCTGCTCCTGGTCCATCTGGCTGTTGTACTTGTTGATACGAGGACGGTAACTGTTGGGGTCACGACGGAAGGTGACATCCAGGTTTCTCAAGAAAGTGTTGCAACCAGTGACCAGAGACTCGGGGGTATTGGCGTGCGCGTCAACGGAAGGCTTGCCGTCAAAGACAATGACACGGTCAGCGAGGTAGGTGGCCATGATGAAATCGTGCTCGACAATAAAAGCGGTCTTCTTGGTGTGCATGATGAAACGCTTGATGACTCTGGCAGCGACGATACGCTGTTCGGAGTCAAGGTAGGCGCTAGGCTCGTCGATTACGTAGATATCGGCCGGCATTCCGAGGGCAAGGACAATAGCAACACGCTGCAATTCACCACCAGACAGGTTCTGAACTTCCTGGTCGATGAAGTCATCGATCTTGAGGGGCTTGTAGACATCGGTCTGGAACTGAGGCGAAAGGAAAGCAGCCTTGATACGCTTGAAGAAGAGCTGACGCACGGTACCCTGGAACTTGGGTGTAATCTTCTGAGGCTTCATGCTGATGTGCATGCGGGGCAAGCTGACGTTGCCGTCAGGCTTCTCGGCACCAGCGAGCATTCTACAGAAAGTAGTCTTGCCGGTTCCGTTCTCACCCATCATGACAATGATTTCAGAGTCAGTGAATGAACCGGAGTCGATTTTCAGATGGAAATTGCCAAGAGTCTTCTCCATGCTCGGGTAGCTGAAAGCACGGGCCTTGTCAACCAAGAAGTCATCACCAGCCTCAGCCAGACGGAAAGTCAGAGACTCCTCTCGGAACCGAAGATTCTCGGTAGGGATGTGACCATCCAGGAAGATATTGATACCTTCACGGACAGAAGAAGGAAGTGTAACCACACCGTAGACAGCAGGTCTACCGTACAACACGCAGACGAAGTCGGAAAGATAGTCAAGGACGGACAAATCGTGCTCGACAACAATGACGTAGTCATCAGGGCGCAGAAGCTCACGAATAGAGCGGGCTGCCGCCAAACGCTGTTTAACATCGAGGTAGGAAGACGGCTCGTCAAACATATACCTACAGTTCCGTTAGTGAGAGCGGGGATGACGGCACGTCGGGGTAGTCCTTACACGTCGGCCTTTTGCACACAAACAAGACCAATAGCGAAACGTTGAAGCTCACCACCAGACAAGTGGTCAATGTCACGGTCCTGTACCTGTCTGAGTTCTACAAATAAAGTCAGTTTCGTTGATTTAAAGGTTCTGTTCATCGAAAGGCCATACCAAGAGCATCAAGGATGCGCTCCAAGTTGTCCATCTGAGAGCGAGCCTTGATGAGGTCCAGGACGTTCTTGACCGGGCCCTTCACAGCCCGAGGGATCTGGTCGACATACTGGGGCTTGACCACGGCCTTCAGGTTGTCTTCCAGGACCTTGGTAAAGTAGTCTATGAAAGTTAGAAATCATAGAACAGCTATTCAGAACCTTTGTGACTCGGCAGTATACGTACTCTGCAGTTCGGAACCACGGAAATATCTCAGAATCTCTTCCCAATCGGGAGGGTTGTCGTAGCGTCCGAGATTGGGCTTTAGCTTGCCGCTAAGAATCTTCAAAGCGGTACTCTTTCCGATACCGTTTGTTCCAACAAGACCAAGGACCTGACCGGGACGTGGCATAGGAAGACGGTGAAGCTTGAAGCTGTTGGCCGAATAACGGTGGGTGACCTCGGTTTCCAAGTTTGTGGGCAAATTGATAATGTGGATGGCACCGAAAGGACATTTCTTGGGACAGATACCGCAACCGATGCAAAGGCGTTCCGAGATGAAGGCGATCTTGGATTCCGGTGTCACTTCGATACAGAGCTTTCCGGTACGGACGACGGGGCAAGACTTTTTACACTCTTGGCGACATTTCTATGACGATCAGCCATGTTGTAGATATGAGAGGAAGGTCTCGATTTCAATCATACCTTCGGTTTGCACTGTAGGACAGAAAGTATCATGGTAAGCAAATGCGACGCGACCACGATATCCCATCTCGGGGGGAACGAAGTAACTCACTTTGTCACTATTGACAATAGCAATACTATATAGAGTAGAAGCAATTAGCACTCAGTTCCTAAGCATCCCTAAGATTTCGGAAACCAGACTCACCGAGTAAGCTTGTCAGACATGATGCCGAAGTATCAGCTTAAAAAGCACACGCAGGCAGATAATCAACAGAGGCAAATCTCCTCGACCAAGCAAGATATAGCAGCAAGTATAGCTCTGACGTGACCTCTAGCAGATGCGTAGATGACGTCGCGACAGCTGTCCTGGCTGAATATATAGAAAAGAGCCAGAAACCCGGACAAGAAAAGCTGACAACGAGCCACCAGATATGAATGCAAGCGGAGAGGAGCGAGGTCTCTTTATGGAGGCGTCGAAAATGAGGGGCTCTCAATGGGGGGAGAGAAAACTATGTCAGGCATTGTGGGCACATTGTTGATGCCTCAGGCGACGAGTCAGTTTCTTTCAGGGTGAGTACCTCAGGCTCTACATATTATTATTTTCCCTAGCTGGTGATTGGCCCTCGGTCCGTCCCTCGAAAAATTTCTCTCTCTAAAGCCGGTCCAGGCTGGAAAATTACTGCGCCGTCCTCCGAAGCTGTGAATTTCTACCCGCCGGTGAGACTCGGCCACGTGATGACAGAGGTGCGGCCATGCCTGTTGGGGACTCGCTTGTGGGCTCACTAAACTGTATATGGTATGGACACGTCTTGCAGCCTTGAGTCTCAGGCCGCAAAGCCATCTCTTCACTGCGACTCGTCCGCCTCCCAGCCCGCAGCCCGGCGGCCAACCTTACCTCTCTTTCTTACTCCCTCATCATATTATTCTCCCATCCGTATCTGGTGTTGTTCGGTCTCTCTCCACCACCCACTTTATCATTCTTTCTCCAACACCAACCTATCAATCACTATTGATTCAACATTGTCTCGTACGTTTCTCCCTTTTTCGGGGTCACCTCGCTATGAATTGTGAGTATTTCCTTGTCTTTTCCTAGCTTTACAGCCCGTGTCCTGGTTCTGTTGGCTGGGGTACTTCTCCACGTTATCGACCCACCGATCTCAAGAATATCGTTGCATCTTTCTCTCCTCATGTCTACTGAATTATCTGAGTTGTCTGGGCTGTCTGTCGACTCTGATCCTCGTTCTGGAATTGACGCTCGCCCTCCTCTTTCACCGTCATTTCCTCCATCCTTCCTGTCGCGTTCCATCCAATCCGCCATCCAAACCATGTCCTGGCATCATACCTTGTCTCCTGTCGGCTGTCACAGGCTTCCTAACTTCCATTTGCTGGAAATGGAGTCGCGTAGTGCTGTTCTACACATGCCTGTGCCTTTCGTGCCGCTCCGACCCCGAATCAAGCTTCAATGCTGACTTTTCTCTTCATCAACAGCCACTAGCATGGTGATCCCCTCACCCTCCGATAATATTGCCAACATGGCATTGTCTAACGGCCTTTCTCCCTGCCTCACCTCGAATTCTCCAGCCGTGAATGGCGAACTGGCTGATAACAATGCCGGTTACAACCTTTCCGAACAATCAAACAATTTCACATCGTCAGAGTCATCGCCCGATGCGGAGATGGAGGATGAGTCGTATCATAGCGGCTCTCCTGATGCTGAGGGGGTTGGCAGTTACTCTGCTACGGATAGTAGCGAGAAAGGTAGCAGCCCATCCAGCATCGGAAACTCCTCGTCATCAGAGATCAAGCGTGGCATCAAACGTAAATCGTCGTCTCTGAGCGAATCAGACTTCATCAGACAGAATCCAGATTTGTATGGTCTTCGCCGTAGCGGACGAGCTCGGACAACGCGCCAGGTTGTTCAATCCACCTCCTCAGAGTCAGAGTCGGTCGTTAGGGTCTCACGCACCAAGCGTCGACGCCCGGTAGCCTCACAGCGGTCCTCGAAGCGTCCATCCCCTCCAGCCAGTCAGTCTTCCTACTCCGCGGAGTCAGACGATGACGAGTATGGCGGACCTTCTCGTACGAGCAAGGCGAAACGTCGTCGTATGCTGCAGCCAGTGTCGAACAAAGAACCTTCACTTGCTGAGATCCGGTTCTCGACGCGAACTGCGTCTCGTCGTGTTTCCAATTACAATGAAGACGATGATGATGACATGTTCTTGGATGAACCTGATGAAGTTATGGACAACTATCAGGCAAACACTGTTGAAGACGACCGTCCGGCTGTAGATGTCGTGCTAAACCATCGCCCCAAAGAGGGGGTCAGCCCAGGTGACAGCGATGTTGATGAGCACTCCTTTGAATTTTACATCAAATGGCAGGGGAAATCACATTACCATGCCACATGGGAGACTTACAAATCCCTCATCGATAACTGCCGGGGCACACGCAGAGTTGATAACTACATTCGCAAGGTGCTATCTGAAGAGCTACGTATGAACCATGACGGCGATGCCCTTCCCGAGGAGCGTGAAAAGTGGAACCTCGACCGTGAAAGAGATGTCGAGGCCATTGAAGACTACAAACAGGTTGAGAGGGTGATCGCCATGCGGGATGGTGATGAGGGAACAGAGTACCTCGTCAAATGGAAGCGGCTATTTTACGACTCTTGTACCTGGGAGAGCGAAAGTCTCGTCAGTGAGATTGCTCAACGCGAGGTCGATCGCTTCTTGGACCGTTCCTCTCATCCACCCTCGTCGGACAAGACCGAGATGAACCCTGCTACTCGCAAGCCCTTCGAACCAATTAAAGGCACACCGAGCTTTTTACAGAACGGCGAACTGAAAGATTTCCAAGTCAAGGGAGTCAACTTCATGGCCTTTAACTGGGTCAAGAACCGCAACGTCGTTCTCGCCGATGAGATGGGTTTGGGTAAAACCGTCCAGACGGTCGCTTTCATCGCGTGGCTGCGTCATGTCAGACGCCAGCAGGGACCTTTCATCGTCGTCGTCCCTCTTTCGACTATGCCGTCCTGGGCTGAAACCTTTGACAATTGGTCCCCTGATCTGAACTATGTGGTCTACAATGGCAACGAGGCCGCACGCACCATGCTCAAAGATTATGAACTCATGATCGACGGGAACCCCAGACGTGCAAAGTTCAACGTGCTCCTTACTACCTACGAGTATGTGCTCCAGGACTCGACGTTCCTGAGCCAGTTCAAGTGGCAGTTCATGGCCGTCGACGAAGCTCATCGCTTGAAGAATCGTGATTCGCAGTTGTATCTGAAGCTGCTGGAATTCAGATCCCCCGCTCGTCTCCTCATTACTGGAACTCCTATTCAGAACAATCTCGCTGAGCTGTCCGCACTCATGGACTTCTTGAATCCTGGCGTGATAGATGTGGACGTGGATATGGACCTCAACGCTGAAGCAGCTTCTCAGAAATTAGCTGCATTGACGAACGCCATCCAACCTTACATGCTTCGCCGCACGAAGTCGAAGGTTGAGTCTGACCTTCCTCCTAAAACGGAGAAGATCATTCGGGTTGAGCTTTCAGACGTGCAGCTAGAGTATTACAAAAACATTCTTACAAAGAACTACGCCGCTTTGAATGATGGTGCACAGGGTCAAAAGCAGTCACTTCTGAACATCATGATGGAATTGAAGAAGGCTAGCAATCACCCATTCATGTTCCCCAATGCTGAAGCCAAGATATTGGAAGGAAGCACGCGTCGTGAGGACATATTGAGGGCACTCATCACAAGTAGCGGCAAGATGATGCTTCTCGACCAGCTGTTGGCCAAGCTGAGACGAGATGGTCACCGCGTCTTGATCTTCAGCCAGATGGTGAAAATGCTTGACCTGCTCGGCGAATATATGGAGTCTCGTGGCTACTCGTATCAACGTTTGGACGGAACTATTCCTGCTGCTTCGCGCCGCCTGGCTATTGAGCATTTCAATGCGCCCGGCAGTAGCGATTTTTGCTTCCTTCTGTCTACTCGCGCAGGTGGTCTGGGTATCAACCTGATGACTGCTGATACTGTCATTCTGTTCGACTCAGACTGGAATCCGCAGGCTGATCTTCAGGCAATGGCCCGAGCACATCGAATTGGTCAAACCAGACCAGTCAGCGTATATCGTCTTGTTTCGAAAGATACCGTTGAAGAAGAAGTTATCGAGCGAGCTCGCAACAAGTTGCTGCTCGAGTTCATCACTATTCAAAGGGGCGTCACCGATAAGGAAGCCTCGGAGATCCAGAACAAGATGGCCCGGAGTGGCATTTCCGTTAGCGAACCGAATTCCACTGAGGACATTTCCCGTATTCTCAAACGCCGCGGTCAGAAGATGTTCGAACAGACTGGAAATCAGCAGAAATTGGAACAGCTCGACATCGATTCGGTGCTGGCCAACGCAGAATTACACCAGACAGAACAGGCCGAAGGTATTCAAGCGGACGGTGGCGAGGAATTCCTAAAAGCATTTGACTTCGTTGACATCAAAGTCGACGATCTTACTTGGGACGATATCATCCCCAAGGACCAGTTGGACGAAATTAAAGCTGAGGAAAAGCGCAAGGCGGACGAACGGTATCTCGCCGAACAGATTGAGATGAGTCGACCTCGAAAACGCAATGTTCCCGCTGATGGGCAGGACACTCGCGAAGAAAGAAAGGCTAAGCGACGAGCCAGAGCTCAGGTTACAGTCGACGAGGGGGACAGCTCTGACGAAAGTCGTCCCCACCTGGACCCCAAACGTCCCCTTAATCATAAAGAGATCCGCCATCTTTATCGGGCCCTCGTACGTTATGGAGACATCAATGAGCGCACAGAAGAATTCTTGCGGGAAGCCCGTCTTATGGATAGGGACAGGGAAACCATTGTTGCCGTTCTGCGGGAAATGTCTGATATGGCTGCCAAGCTGATCCGAGAAGACGATGCTAAGATGGAGGCGCTGGAAAAGGCAGGCAAGATGGTAACGAAGAAGGAGAGGAAGGCCGTCTTGTTCGATTTCAAAGGCGCTAACCGTTTGAATGCTCACCACATCGTGGATCGTCCGAGAGACTTGCGCATTCTGAGGCAGGTCACATCATCCGCTGCTGACGTTAAAAGCTTTCGCATTCCGGAAGCAACAAAGGCCGCGGATTATTCATGCTCGTGGGGCGCGCGCGAAGACGGCATGTTGTGCGTCGGTGTCGCCCGCCATGGATGGGGTGCCTGGACCCAGATCCGGGATGACCCGGAACTTGGACTTGGTGATAAGCTCTTCTTGGAGGAGCATCGTGTCGAGAAGAAGAATGAGCGCGCGAACGCCGATGATAAGACAACCAAAACTCCTGGAGCGGTTCACCTGGTTCGCCGGGTCGAGTATTTGCTATCAGTGCTGAGGGACAAGTTGACCAACGGCACCAATATCTCCGCCAGGAGAGCTGTCGAGAACCATCATCGCAACAACCGGGGTACCGCTCGGACCAACGTGAGCGCCAGCGTCTCGGCCTCGCCTGCGCCGTCTATCGCACGCAAGGGTCACCGTGAAGCCGACCGTTCAAGGCACCGTTCTCAGACCCATGGAGCCCGTGACAGTGTGGAGCGGAACCACACTCCATTTCGGGATTCTCGCCCAAAGTCCGGTCAAGAGAATGACCGTCCTCGTCGCAAATTGTCTGATGCCTCGAGCGAGGATATTCGTCGTCGTAAACCGAGTGAGCGTAAATCGAGCGATAACGGCAATTCCGACGAGATGCTTCGCCTCTTGTTCAAACCTATTCTTTCCTCTCTCGAGCGAGTCTCTGGTTTGACTAGGGACAGCATGACGAGCAAAGCACGCCGCGCCTCTGAGTTGCGCAACCTACTTGGCTACATTGGCGGATTCATTCGGAAGACTCTTAAAGGAGAGAATTACATGCCGTCCCTCGAGATCCGCTTGTGGTGAGTTCAGTTCAGAACCGGTCGGAAAGACAATTCGCTAACCATTTTGATAGGGAGTACGTTGCTATCAACTATTGGCCGAATAAAGAAGCCGGAGGTCGTCAACTCCAGACGATGTATCAGAAAATTGTTGCTGCGAACAATGCAACCGCCAACAAGGACGGGTCTGCGTCAACTCCATACTCTGCTAGAGATTAGACTCAGCTTTCATCCGCCGCGTCTGGCAAGGTAATCATCGATGCCCTGCCTATGAGATTATTTCTCAATCTTCTCTTTTACTCCTTTCAAGCCTCTTCTTGAGCTACATCTATGCATACGTGAAACGGCATCACATTGGCGTTTGGTCAGTTGACAAAGGTGGTTTCGAGCGGGCTTCTCATGATATGTTTGGTTTATTTATGTAAAACTCTCTGCTTTATTTGCATGTTTTCATGGTTCCCATATGGGCCTGGTCCCCCAACTTCGGGGCGTTGGGCCTCGTCATCTCTGCATCTTGTGGGGTTTGCCATTTACAGGGACCCCTCTTATGGAGTGTTGGGCCCTGTTTTGCGTTTCATGTTTCTCCAAGCCCATACTGGCCCCCCAACTGGCGTGGGCCCTATGGTGATGTCCTTTTGCATTTGTTATTTTCACTTCGTGTATCTTCTATCAAGGGGTCACTCCCTGGAGTTTGATTTCGTTTTGGGATCATTCGTCGTCTCTGGGAGATGCATTCGATGCGTTGTAGACCTCTTTTCATGTCATCTTTGATGCTTACGGTGTAGCGGCTTTTAGCGATCATCTGGGCTTGACATTGTCGGATATCTTATTCATCTGAGCTTTTTTTTTTTTGCAGGGACATGGAGAGGAAAAAAGAAGATGATTCTCATCACTCATGACTTCTGTGCTTGGTCGTGTGCTTGAAGATATTCGTAGTCTGCGTAAGATGAGTTGTAGTATCGATGTTGGACTGCCACCTGGACTAAAAGTACAGAGACTTGGTGAGATACTACCTAGGTAGTGGAGCGGTAAATTGATCTCCATATTCCCGACCTATCAAAATAATGATACAAGACATTATTGTTCGATCTGCAGATACATCCATGAACTGAAAAGTCCGATGTGCCACATTGAATCGCAAGTACGGTAGAAAATCCACAATGACGCCGAGAGCCTAACCCATGAAAGACCAGTAGAGAAGAAGTGAATACGTATACGGAGGAGACAAATTTATGCAGGACGAGATCATGGAGGAATAGACATTGAGTCGCGGCTCAGACTCGCCTCTGCTTCAGCCAGCGCTAGCTGTCCTTGCTGCACTTTCTGGACACCGTTTGCGGCATTACCTGATTCGGCTGGGAGACCCTCCGTGGCCACAACGGCACTGAACAAGCGGAGTTCGGCGTCGATGACATCGTCGAAGATGGTCTCCTTCTCCAGCCACGCCTGCTTTCTTTTCGGCCTGATCTTCTCCCATTCCTCCTTTAGCTCTTGGCCTTCCTTCTCGGCCCAGTGGATCTGCCGACGAAGCAGCCGGTAGAGATCATACGGCCGGAGCTGGAGCTCGTGCTCGTCAAACCCGATCTCGGGACCGAACTCGGGTAGCTCGAGCTCGTCGAGGTCCTCGGCGACGATTGCCTCGTCGTTGGCGATCTCGCTGAGCCTGTCTGCCTCGTTCTTCGGTTGTGATAGCTTCAGTCTGATGCGCTGGAGTTTACTGACGGGGGTTCCGGCGGGGGTTCCCATCGCGGAGGCTGGGACATTGTGGCCTTTTGGTACGGGGTCAGAGGGTCGAAGGGCTTCTGTCTCGTGGACAGTTCGCATGTGTTTGGCGAGGGCGTCTGAACGTGTGAAACTGCGGTCGCATTCTGGAGGGATTTGTTAGCTTCGCCACTCAATGGAGATTTTGACTAGCAGAACGAGGGAGGATGGGTAGGTTCTCACCTGGTAGCGCACAGTAGAATGGTTTCTCCCTCGTATGGCTCCTCATATGTGCGCGCAGTGCGTAGCCGCTCGCATGCGTTTGGCCCTTTCGAGGACAGTCGGACCACTCGCAGGAGTATCGTTTCTGTCGGTTACCGACATGATCGTTGTGGATGTGCTGGACCAGATCGTCCATGTTGCCGAGATCCCCTACGTTGCACCCCTCCCACCGACATACGGTAACCTGGTCGTTGCCCTGGCCGCTGTAGTCGTCATCCTGGCTGCCGCCTATCAGGGCCAGGAGGGTGGGAGAGTTGGGGATGTCGCCGGAGGTATCTGACGAGATCGAGGTCGAGGGGGAGGTCGGTGGGATGTCTTCTTGAAATGTGGTCGAGAGAGGAGTATTGCGATCCCACGACGCGACACCAGTGCGACGACGCTTGGAAGGAGGTAGGGTTGGGGCCGACGGCGAGAAGGGATGCTTGAGGTCTTCGCGATCCGACATTTCGTCGGACGCAATTGAGGAGAGGGGGAACCGGGAGATTCGGTCATTGGGATAGGCGTTGAAGCCGACGCCGGTGATGGAGAAGTTGAGGATTGATGTTGAACTGGATAAAAAGCTGCTACCGATAGCGCTTCAATGGCGACACTTGCGGAGTGTTGCTGATGTTTGATTCGAGTATACATGCAGCGAGCAACACGTGATGAGGCTATTCCGATCGAAGAAAAACCCGCACAAATCACCAAATCTCCTCTCTTTCTCCTATTCAGCTTCAACAACAGTCAATTGCTCGACAGCATGCCATCAATAGACTATGGCCATCGTCGAACAAACACAGCAGCTTAGCTTGGAATCTAGTGTAAGTACTATTGTTCAGCCAGCCCTTTGTTGCATGATGATTTAATCAAGAATTCTGCAATGCGGACAATCTCCAGTCCTCTGTGAGATTGCATGTTGACTATTCTACACTTGATCTGACTTATTCTCTGACTTTACCTGTATTGTATTATACATTTCACGGCAATGTGCTGACGAGATCAGGTTCATAGGATTATATACAAGGATAGCTTTCTGTTCTCAGTATCTCACATGTACCATATTCAATACAAATCTTTCCGCGACATTGAACGACTGCCTAGTACCGAGCACCGCGGACTTCATTCTCTTTGAGAATTCTGTCAAGCTCAGCCATTTCGGCATCGGATAGACGGGGAACACCCTGCAAATTCTGCGTAACCTTGTCGCTCGTTGTACCCCCAGGGATCGGAATAATGGTAGGCATACCTGGCTTGCCGCTCAGGGTCAGTATCCAGGCCAAAGCGATCTGGGCGGGTGCAGCGCCCTTGCGAGAGGCCAAGTCCTTGACCTCGTTGACAAGCTTGATGTTGTGCTTCATTGCGTCGTCCTGGTACTTCGGCAGCAACTTTCGGAAGTCACCCTCGGGAATCTCAGATAGGCTAGTGAAAGCCCCGGCCAGCACTCCGCGGCCCAGAGGCGAGTACGCGACGAGTGGTATCCCCAGTTCCGCGCAGGTCTTAGCCACGCCGTCGCTTAGGGTGTGGGTGTCCCACAGAGAGAGCTCAATCTCTACGGCGGCAATCGGGTGGACTTTGTGTCTGTTCTTGGTCATCAGTAACAGCGTAGTGGCAAATGAGAAGTAGAACGTACGCTCGCCGGATTGTCTCCGCATTCACCTCACTCAGCCCAATTCCCTTGATCTTGCCCTCCTTGACTAGCTGAGCCAGGATAGTCACCGTCTGCTCGATCGTCGTGTCAGGATCCTGCCTGGCGCACTCGAAGATATCAATCGTCTTCTTCCCGTCCAACACACGTAGACACTCATCCACGCTGCGGCGGATATTCTCCTCCGAACCATCCGGAACAAGCTGGCCCGGCTTCAAGCCGCCCTTGATACTCAGCACCACCTTGTCCGCGTTCTCGGGGTACTTCGTGAAGTATTTGTTCAGCAGATGGAGCGAGTTATACTCGGGTGTGCCGTAGAGCTCGCCGCCGTTCCAGAAGTTCGCGCCAAGGGCGAGGGCCGTGTTTAGAGTTTCGAAACATTTCTCTTCAGAAGGAGGTTGAGGGGACCATGTCATTCCTGGCCTGGTCAGTAGAGGACTCAATTGAGTGTAGAGGCGAGAATTCAATAATCACGTACTCATCATGCCGTACCCCGTGGGGCCGACTTGTTTTCCAACGAGAGACGGCATCTTTTTTTTCCCTTTCCCTTTCTTTTACTGGAGTATGTGCAATTAGATGTATCTCAGCGATTGATCTCAGGCAAAAGGTCTGGAGAAGGTGTTGTATTTATGCTTCGGCTGTCTTCGGTCAACTTGAGGAATATTAACACCGATTTCTGCATCATTCATGGTCCACCCCCGCACCCGGACACCGACAGCGGCGGACTTAGCTGTCTTATCACCGCCAAGCTTACACACTGTGGCTCTGTCCATCTTCCATCTATTTCTATGAGTAAGTCCGGGGAAAGGGGCGGTTATCGAGAACCTTGAAAGCTGCGATTACCCTGGTTGCTCGCTGTCCGACAACAGTCGGACTTAAAAAACATCACGGATCATGGTGCGAATGCCAATGTCTACAGAGTGCAGACTGTACAGGTATGAAAGACGAAGTAGGGGAGGACAACAATGCTAGATCTTGGTTCAGATTTACTTTTTATTATCTATCGCTGACTCGTACATAACCTGCCATCATAACTCATTAACATCTACCACGCTGAAGCGTTTATCGCCCCTGAAGAAGGGCACCATCAAGAGAAGAGCCAACAGAAACCCGCAAAACAGATGACCATCCATTCTCGATAGACCAAAAACCATTATTATTCAGTAACTCAAAGCCAGAACGTCTCAAAATAGCGTAAGCTCATCCTGAGTGAGGAATGCCTCGTGGAACTTGTCGATCATTGTGGAGAGGACATCATCCACGATCCCGACGGGGTCCGGTGTGTCCTCAGTCTGCTCGTTACCCGAGTCGTTCTTGGGTTTGTCGACGATGGAGGCGTTGTTCTCTTCTGTGACGGTGCTACTGGGGCTGTTGCTGTCGTCGATGACGTCGGAGTCCTCCAGCTTCTTCTTCCAGTCGTCTAGCTTGTTCAGGGCGCCGAGACCGAGTGAATCGAAGATATCCTTCATAAGCTTGTCGCGGTATTCTCCGTTTGAAGGGACTACTCTCTGCGGAGCTGTTAGTCGTCGGGTAGTATGTATAGGGGCAAGGGGGAAAGAGACGTACGGGACTAGCAGATCTCGAGTGGATATCAGATCTTGACAGGCCATTTCCTGACTTGGAGACGGGACGAGACGACCCCAGGGAGGATAGGGCTAGGATGGTCAGGAGGAGGAAGTTCAGGAGCATCGATGACCGCGTCGACTGCGACATGTTGAGCGACTGAGTGGATAGAGACTGTAAGGTCTTGTGGCTTGTGGCTTGTTTCGGTGATGTAGAATGATGATATCTTGACAATCCAGTTGATCTCGTCGAGGATGATGTGGATGGATGATGTTTCTGGCAACGATTGCAACGATCGTCGAGCACTTCATATACCCCATGCATTCCCGGATCCTCCCTTGCACGGTCGATCTGCCGCCGTCAGGAATGCGGGAGTGGCTGGGAAGCAACGGCCACAAAGGCTAGGATTCCTCCGACTACCTGCCACGCTTCGAGATCGGTCGATATCTGCTAGTGCGGCTGGTGATAAGATGGAATACATGGTAACCTCATTGTTGTGGCGCATAACTGGAATGATGCGCCTGGGGAAAGAATTGTAGACATAGTCTATATGTTCGTCTCTGCAGTTTAGTTGATGGCTGTAATATTTCGCAGAAGGTACTAACCTTGGCCTGGTCCTCGGGAGATGGATGAAGGGGTGCAGAGGTGGCCGGCTCTGACATTCCAGTCTGCAACACCCATACCACTAGTGCAAGACTATTCTCGCCACTGAACATCATGGCACCCGCCTCTAATATCCACATTTTCAAGAGTTTATAGCAGTTAGGGTTCATTCGTGAATGATAGAACATCGCATAGCATGGCGGTTGACCTATGTAGTGGCATAACTACCATTAATAGCATTCACAGCTGTGGTCTAAATGTGTTGCCCCCTCTATCGGATAATAGGCCCGGTCACACTGATTGGTCTTGACGGTCAGTTCGACAGTAGACATGTTAAGCTTGTAACTATACTGGAGTCTGAACAATGGGCGCAGTGGAAGCCGGACGATCTCCCGCAGTCACCCGAACAGACTGAAGCCATGGACTCCTGCCAGAGTTGCAGTCAATACCAACTCATGTTAGATCGTCCAGTCCTCTTCCCTTGAAAAGTATTATCTTTTACCGCCTCAACCCGCAGAGAATCGCCCAACTGGGGAATCATCTGGAACAGCCCAGGATTACACCACAAGCGACCTCAGTATTGGGATGTTGGCGGTACTGAACCGCTCGCGTGAGCTGGGTGTTCATATCCACGTCGCAGTCAACAATGCACTGACGGAGATCAAGATCAGGTGAGTCGATCACGTATGCGACTGTCGATTGTGGTGCGCCGGCAGGAATGGAGGCGACGAGGATGGCGGAACGGGTGTGGAATGAGATGGCTGAGAGAAGTGAGCATCAGCAAGAGTTAAAGTAATCGATCCATGATCTGTGTTAAGTCTCCTGATTGTACGGGAGGTCACGAAGGTCTGTCTGGTGCCACTCACTCAGGTCTTGTCAATTCTCCAATAGCGACTCGTCGCCTGGTGTTTGTCCATGGTCCTCTGATGTATAGACCTTTGGACAGTGGTATACTTGGAGACTAGGTTGTGCGACAGACCGTTTTCTGGTTTTCTTGGACGGATTCCATTGACGGAATGAGTAGAGGTTGGGTTTATTCACTTGAACTGGTTGATTGTAGTGTCAGTAGAGATATCTGGAAGGCAGTGTGTAAGACTAGCTACCTGGGCGGCATCATACCTCCTGCACAAGACTGCTCTATCTTGTTTTGAGTCAGTAAATCATTGCTGGGTTGTAGCTCAATGCAAGTCCAGATTGCAACTAGTTTGAACGTCCTTCAAGTCCATTAATCCAGAATCCCATTCCCTGAGCACCCAAGAACTACAGACTACGAATAGGCAAGACACAGCAGCTGCAAGTTTGCTCGTAACCCTGTTGAGGTTGCATCGAAGGCCTGCGATGCAAACCATGTCTCTGCTGCACAAGTACTTTGTATATCCAAGCCACAACAAACAACCTGTACTTCTTTCGAGAGGGATTGCCTCGCCTCTCAATGCCACCTTATAAGGGTATGCCAACTTTCAGAAGCCCCGAGGAGATAGCCCGTACTCTGTAGGCCCCTGCTTAGCGTCCTTGTCAACCAACCCGAGCCAATGACGGAGCATGGGTAACTCATAGTGACATAGATCGCAAACGCAGCTGTATGTCCAACATGTGGATGACAGTGACAAGAGGACAGCTGCGCCTACTAGGCAGAAACATTCTTGACGCGATATGATCCATCTCCGCGAGTGAAGCTTGTCAGTGTTGCTAGGTGTTGAAGTGATACGGCTGCATCGTACGAGTCAAATCCATGGATAGTGCCATATCTCCGTTGTTTCAGTTTCCTTAGCGCATAAACTATGAACATACGGAGTAGATACTCAGCTCATAATGTCAGCGAAACCCTGCCCTGACATTTCCTCGTAGGCTCGTACTCCATCTAACCCACTTCGGCCCTCATCCGGACAACCCTAGTCAAAGGCGCAAGGGCCCCACCAGCTAACTACTGGTATTCGTATGCATCTACGTAAGTTGGCGGTTCATTAAAGTTATCGAATCATCAAGCGAGGACGCCATGAGGCTAGTGATGCAGGAGTAGGGCGCCTCGGGGGGGGTTCTACCACGTACCTAGGTATTCCGTAATGAATGAGGCCCTGTGGCTTACGTACTGGCGCATGACCAAGCCACAGGTAGAGCGCTAAGTGCATCAGCATACGTAGGCCCTGGTATCAGGGCCTAAGTCTACCCAGTAAACATCTGGTATCAGCCATGAAGCTATCTAACTATCTTGGTGCTAGACGCCGCCTTTCTGATTCTGGGAGCGTCTATGGCTCTACGCGTGGCCACGGGCAGGTCGACAACCCCCACCGAGTGACGTTTCTGCTTACGCAGCTTATTGCAACTAAGCTTTGGCTTGTCTTTGACTTTGTTGTGAGGTCTGGCTTTGTCTCGTGTTCTAGGATCTTTTCTTTTGTTTTCTTTTCCTTTCTTTCCTTTTTGGGTCTGTCGAGTTCATTTTTTTGGGTTCACACGGAAGTCTCCTATCTGATGTGGGCTGTTGCACTGGTGGTTTTGTTTGCTTGTTCGACGCTAACTGGATACTCCATCGTCAAGTCTCTAATAGGCTGTTCAGCAATATGGATGTCAAAATAAAAAATATGAAATGCGAATAGGACAAACAAGAGAGTCAGTTTCTCTGCTCCACAACCTGCGTGAGGGGAAATGCAAGTCCCACAATCCAATTTGGCTGACTCGAGTGCCAGTTCCTGTATCAAGGACAATGCCCCACGTTTACAAATGAATTACAGGGTACGCATTACGTTAGCGGAAATATTGCGATTTCATTACATTACCCGGATACAGTACAAGTTAGGTAGTTAGAACCCGCTGCAGCCAGGGTTTGGGCCCAAACTTTGAGAGAAGACCCTGAAGATCTCGACTCAATGATTACTCCTTACCTATTCAGCCAAGGCATTTGAATAGCAACAGAACCTAAATAGAACTGACCATCAATGTAAACACCCTGTTCTCCGTACAATGTTGTCATAGTATTCAATTAGCAATGTCTATCCAGAAAGTCCTCAGAAAACAATCTTGGAATATCCCAGACCAGTCCTGATCGAGATCCTGCCCGGTCCGTCTTCACGGAATTACGGATATTCTCCGGGTTAACTTAGTCCAAGCGATCTCAGGGTCTGGGCCTCTTTTCCCCCGTCGTGGCGGGTTCAACTGGAGCTTCGGCAGAAATATGATTGCATTTGTCCGACGCTGTGATCGCCGGGATTCACATCTCAGCAGGGCTCCCGCCCTACTGCCTGGTTGCCTTGTAAATGTCTCCTAATTTCTTGACATCATTCCGGTTACACTGCAGACGCTGGTTCTATCGAGTCCAAACGGGACCAACAGAGTCGTAGAAGATCGCATGAACAAGGTAGTGCAGCAGCTGTACGTAGCCTGGCAGTTGTTCTATGTGGTAGCGACAAGCTGAGCCTGCGAAAGGTAAGACAAGGACCCTTGTTTAGGATTCAAGTGGGACTCACCGGAGATAAACACCACTCGAATCCTAAATCCACACGGCTGGCCTAATCCCCGGCTTACTGCAAGTACCAGTGTCAGTGTCAGTGTCGCCAGCTGAAGAAGAGGCGCAAATGCCTACGTATGCAACGCGCCACCGAAATCTAAAGAGATTGACCATGAGACCATTAAGGATTGAGCGCCTTCAAGGGTCCCGAAAAGGAAAAAGAAAAGTAGAATTAGTCTTTCACAGGGTTTCTGGTTCTAACCACTTGTAAGCCTCCGATCTGGCGTATGTTGGCAGTCAGGCTAATTTTAGGGCTGAGAACTGAGACAGGGTCAGAACTTTGGGGCAGGGTAGCCAGAGTATCTAAGCCGAAGTCGGCGACTTACATGCTGATTCCGACTGACATGGGGCCATGGGCTAGAGCTCAGCGTACAGTTGCGGTTGGATTTGAGGGTCTTGACTGCACAATGTATGACTGATTTGTAATGTTTCATCTTCCAGACAAGCCTGACAAAAAATTGCGATCTGGACTCGATTGAGGTTGGGCTGCATGGGATTATTGGGAACGGTGGGGACTATTTGGGTGTAGACAGGACGGGTTGCTCTGCGTTGCATCAGCCCTGAGAATGGTACGCTAGGTGTGTTCTGTAAATCAGTCGTAGGAAATATCTTACCGTACGATAATCGGCTGGTGGAGTACCTATGTGCCTGGCCGAATACGAATACGACGGGTACGAGGTAAGCCTCGGCGTCGGCACTTGTGGTAATCTGTATCCGTTATTCGTGTTACTGGACAAAGGTCAACAATAGTAATGGGAGATGAGTTAACTTTTATCTGGTAGTCCGTTGCCGGTGAGACGATGAGCCGTCTCACTAATCAGTGCAGCACAGCTAGGGTCTTCAACTCATCTGAATCTAGACAGTAGAATAGTCGGTAGTATTTAGGGGCACTGTGAAAACTGGAAACATTCAAGCGGCATTAGATAGCCCCAAGCTAGTGTAGGGACTACGTAGTCCGCTTTAGCCTTTGCTACTCAACCCCATGATCCAAGGTGGCTTGATCCGTACCGGTTAGAGGCTTAGAGCAGAGTTGTGGTATACGTAACCCTCGACGCGGCTGCGATGCTTGCCCTTTCCTTCGCATCAGGTCCAGCTCTGGAAGGTGATGTGCTTACAGTTCCTCGCAGTTACGGCAAGATGTACGATCAAGTCACTGAGCGTGTCGGCACAGCCCCGATACCGGTCTTATGATGACAATCGCTCCTACCCCTCTATGCGGGAGTCAGTGATGTTGATGAGCAGTGTCTAGACTCTCAGCGAGTGATGATCAGCGCTTTGGTCGAATCTTGGCGACGTGTCAATTTCCTCATCAGCTTAGCCGTTATCGTCATATGTCACCTGCCGTTATGTGTTAAGTATTCTCACGTTTGGTTTAGATATGGGTTTGCGCTTGTGAAAGACGGGACGGGCTTCCAGGGAAAAGAGGGACATCCAAGGAGTCTAAGACACATGCGCCATGCTCCGAAGGAAAGTATATCATTTTGCTGAATTACCCCTGCATAACAACAGTAATAGCTCGCGTGCTTGTGTTAATGACTTTTTCACTCTTCTGCGCCGAAACCATCATGACATCTAAAGGAGTCAGATCATGGGGTGAGACGCAGAAGCTTCAAAGAAGTGTTCCCGCTGACTGCTAACCTCCTGACGCGTATGTTGCAATTATGTGGAGTAATTCTTTCGGCAATAATGGGAATGGCCTGACCTCTGAAGCTAAACAGTTGCGACACCGGACAGGCCAGTTTGAGATTAATGATACCTAAGCCCGAGCTCATTATCTTAATGGAGTTATGGGCGGCTGCTCAACCATCAAGTCAACGTGGACAACGCGTATGCGCGGTTCGTCATGTGTCCAGAGGAACTTGCTGGGTTTAGGAGCACTGCTCAGCATGGACATCATGATCATCTAGCAGAAAGGGAAACTAGACCACGACAAGGACACACCTATCATCAAGCGAGTTATGTTGTCCCTTAACCAAATCAGGGTCTGCTTGTGGCTTGTGGCTTCTGGTTCGTTCAAACAGTTCGATGAGTAGATGAGGACTTAACCCATCATGGGTCCAAACCAGCGGTATGAGACTAGATCTGAAGCTATTTGTTGCTCTCAAGATAGTCTGGTTTTCCAGAACACTAATGGAATGAAATGAGTGGGACAGAAAACAGAGAAGTGCAAGTTGACACACTACCTAGACTGCACTGGAAAACAATTGGGTTGAAAGAGACAGGTAAGATACACCTTAGTGGAGCTCAGCCACATACAGGAAGGAACAATTACTTACATACAGCCGTACTCGGCTTACCCACGTCTGACCATAACAAACCCGAGACGGGCGGACAAGAGTACCCAAAAAGGATTTGATAATCATTTTTGATTATCTGATATACAATCAAACTCGGCATTCGCAATTATGTTGGCCGAGACACAACGATATAAGTCATTTCGGCTGAGAAGCGAAGAGGGCTTTTAAGGAACTCTCCAATAATTCAGTAATTACCTCCTGACGACTCAATGCACGAAATGTTGTTTGACCACTGCATTTGCACGACATTAGAAAGGATGGGAACCTGTATGGGTAAAAGCTTGTCCGGTGATATTTTACAGGGCAGGTACGGAGCGGAGGGGAACAAACCCTGGTCATAATGATAGGCAAAAGGACTTTCTTCCCAGCACAAGCTGCCAAAACTGCTTATCAGGACAAAGCACAATCGACATACCTAGATTTAATCTGATAATTAGAGTATTCGGTTTCTGACTCTTTCACCACTGATCCAGGCAGTAAATAATCGAATGGACCTCATGAGCAATGCCTATGTACTTGTTTTTGGTAATCCCAATATTTTACTTAAGGTTTCCGGTATGCTCCTGCCGGAAGGTGCCCTGGTAAGAAGAAGCTAAGTATTTGAGTTTCTGCCTCCAAGTTTCTTTATTTACATGCAGAAATTTCCTTCCGGAGGAATACAGTGTCTACGTATTATTATTTAGTTAATTAACTAAGGTACCACTCTGCACCCAAGACTCCAGACTCCTATGTTTATAAATGCTAAGGACGCCAGCAATCTGTTTCTCTCTTATCATTGGTATGCCAGCCTACCCTAATCAATCTTGAGTTAGTCGCTTCTACTAGGAGCAGGGACTTTTGGAACTTTTAGTCCCTTCCACAAGACACCACAATGATACCACATCAACGGCACTACAGCCGACCTAACCGGGGACCAATCCCTTACCTCGAATCTCATCCTGTTTGCTTAAAATAATATCTACAGTATTAATCTATTTATTTACTCCTTTGCTAGACTATCTGCTGACGACGGACACACGTATCAGCCAGGGGCGCAGCCAATGGTGGTGGAGCGATAAATCTGGTTTGAACGGGGGGTTCTGAGGGTTCTGCAGATGAAGGGTCTACAGTCTATACTTCACATAGGTAGTAAAGTATTACTACAACGGAGGATTAAATATCAGAACAATTCATGATCTAATACTCATACCTATCTTCTCTTCACTCAGCATCATGGTACTATTGTATGCTGCCTGCGGTCTGTGGTACCTTTCTTCTTAGGTAAGGTAGACCATCAGATTAAACATGTACCAGAGAATACAAGTACGTACCTGACAAACCCCTCTGGCGTAGTCAGCGGAGTAATTGACCCCCGTAGACTAAAGCTCACAAACCCACAATACTGTGGCTATTCCCTTGGTAGACCCCATAACTTTTTGTTAGTTGTTACCGGACCCCAGTATCAAGTATCGGCCAACTAGTGTGCCCAAGTTCTGGGTGTACTTCGGAGATGCCTGAGCCACATTTAGGCCATGGACCACGGAGTAATCTTCCTAGAAACTCCTTGACAAAGCGTATGCATGTGTTCCATATTTCGCAATTCACATCAGACAATATACAGTGAGATAGACACTGATTTCTATTGTCGTACCTTGGCAAATTTACTTCAAGCTGTATACTTGCTTTTAATAGGGGTAAGACCATAGTTACTTGTCCAAACCACGGCTGACCTAAGACCATTTATCTATCTACATACCAAAATAATACATACATCTATTGCATCCATCTGGATTGATTATTGGGTATTCTGTCTTTAGCATTCTACAAATGAAGATGCCTATTTTCAGCTCCACTCCCTCCACTAGTGCTGTGGATTCTGTATTCTTGCACTCAAAACCACCAAGCCACTAGTTTAACCATTGCTCACTGACTTTCAGCATGGCCAGAGCTCCTCCGAAGACCCTGGACGGGTTTCAAGATGCTCCTGCTAACCTCTGTAGTCAGTCTTCGTCGTCGTCGCCGTCGTCGTTGCCGTTGTCGTAGTCTTCTACTTCTTCTTCCTTTAATACTCTTTGGATTCATATTCCTCTCTCTGTGCCCCATCTCTCCCTTCTCTGACTTCCTGTCATTCATCACCTTTTCTCCGATCATCGATCTGATTTCCGCTTCTCTGGCCCCTCTACTCTCTTTTTTTCTTTCCTAATCCGACACTTCCGTTCCCCTCCTCTATAATCACTCCCACATATATCGTCCATCATTGACATATCATCTCTGCTCCTTTTTACCAAGCAATTATCGGACTAGTTCCTCATCGAGGGATCTATCGGCCATTCAGTCTGCTATCTTCATCGATTCTGTCATCATTTGGTGACCATCTCAACTACCGCTAAATTCATCATCGCGCATGAACTAGAAAATATTGGGCCCTTTTTAACTTTCTGGCATCGGTATTTTTCTCGCCTCGCATTTTGCAACAATCCTGCATCAAGCGTTTCCAGAGCAATTTTGTCGAGTTTTCTCTCTGGTGCATAAGGCGAGCGGTACGACCGGCCCAAATCGAAACCTCTGTCAAGGGCATCGCAGCGCTCCAACAATCGATTTCTTTCTGCCAGGAGAACAGGGGGATTTGCTCTGTGATAACTGCTCCATACCGACTTCTATCGGTTGGCGGTGGATCGTTCTTGGCCCTTGGCTCTTCTCTCGATTGAAAGGGCTGTGTAAGACCCATCCGGGAATCCAGCAGCGTCAAGACAGCAGACGGTAAGGCAGAGACGCCTTAGTTGACTTGCCAGGCTTCTGTTGTCCGATCCGCGCAATCAATTGCGCTCTCTGCAGATCTGGTCGTGTTACACGAGCAAAGGAACAGACATATTCAGACAGCTGGTTCGTCCGCCTTCTTTTCATCCCAAGATTCCTCTTTTTTGAAGGTTTCCTGTGCCTTCTTCCCTGGTTTTGTCTTCTTCCTCTTCTTCTCTCTTTGGGTATTTTCGTCTGGGATGGACGAGCGGTCTTTTGTGGCCTCAGTCATACAGTCTTGGACTTGTTCATGAACGAAGGGAGAATGGGGGAGAAAGCAAGCTGGGGGAGATCAAACATGGACTGAGTGTTTATAACAGACAACAAGCCAGAACGAAGAGCTAATCAGTCATCCTTTAATTTAGGTGCAGTCAGTAAGACTGCTGGGTCATGAGATGGCCAGTTGCAAGTCAAGCTTCGTTTCCATTTTGAACAATGATGACCACCCATCATTTGCAGTTCGATCGAGCCCTGGGGTCTCCAGACAGCCATCCACCTCTTCATCATATTCGCATCAGTCAGAGCAACAGCCACGAACTTTGTTACCCGACTACAGCTATGGAGCTCCCTACACAGAGTCTACTGCACGATCTCCTGGCAGGGTAACACGACAACCATTTGATCCAGTTTCGGAAGCGATGCAGCCCGCGTCGCCGGGCTCCTCTGATTGCTCTTCCTATGACTACATCACTCAGAACAGCGCGGTCAGTTACTATCGCTCTGGCCGACAAGACTCGTACGCTTATTCCCCTCCCACGATTGCACCCGCTGAGAAGCGTCTGAGCGGCCACTCGGTGTCTGAACCCCCGTCCCCGCCGCGATCCATTGGCGGATCTAAAGATGGAGCCGGTGCCAAAGGGACCAGAAAGAACAAATACCCTTGTCCGTTCGCGGCCAGCCACGGATGTTCAGCGACCTTCACCACTTCGGGCCACGCCGCACGCCACGGCAAAAAACACACGGGAGAGAAGAGTGTGCATTGCCCCATATGCAACAAGGCCTTTACTCGAAAGGATAACATGAAACAACATATCCGAACTCACCGCACACATTCAGAAGACATGCCTTCGGGAACAGGCGACCGCGATGGCGAGGCTGCCAGCAGCCGGTGGGCACCGGGGCGAACGAGCCCACCATATAGCCATTCGCGGTCGACGAGTCAGTCGCAGACGGATGGGAATGTCTATCACCGCAGTACGAGTACCATGAATATGACGACGTCTAGCGGAAGCCAACGTCGGCATTCGCCTTACTGAGTTGATGACTCCGCATGGGTTGATAATGAGAAGCCATGTCTGAGGTGAAAATGAGTTGAAGAGAAATAAAGAGAATTCATGAGAAGGTTTTAAGGCACACACTGGGGGGGTGCCATATTTTCTATATTCTATCCACATTTACCTCCTATTCAGGAGGACAATCAGCCTCAACAGGTCTGGCTTTTGATTCCTTTGGAGTCACGGCGTTTGATATATCAAAGAGGTGCAAATGGTGGCTGCTGTGCAGCACCCTTTCTTTGGTACATTTTTTTCATCTCAAAGTTTTTTGACTTCTACCGTCTGAGAAAAGATGGAGAAAGACGGCTAGCATTATTTCTACGGATTCCGGTCGGGTGGAACGACTCGTATATACCATGTATCATCTTCCTGCGTGATTTCCCGGTCGAATGGACTGTTGTTCATATTTGGATTTGTGAGACCAGCTTTTCAGCTTTTTTTTTTTTTTTTTTTTTTTTTCATTTTTCATTTTTCATTTTCCTCCATATCCCTTTTCCTTCTGGGTGCATACCATGACGCGTGACCTGAGGATGTCCATGAAAGGCCTTTGCCGCCATGTACAGTACTCTATTTTGATTTGATGATGGTCAGCAAAAGGACGCTATCATCCCTAAATGATACGAGATATCATTCTCACTTACGATACGAATCGTTGCTGCGTATTATTCCTATACTGGTCTTTGAACATAGCTCTCTCATAGTTTGGTCGAGTAGAAAGCGACAAAGATTGAGCTTTGTGGACAATACTGGAAATGTTCCATGGAGAGATGACAGAAATAGTATATTCGCTATATAGAGATCAAAAGCTTAGGGACTGGAACCACGGTACTAGGGCTTCTGGAAAGACCGGATCAGGGACCGATGGACCCAGAGATGGAGCCGGAGAAACCTTGGGTGCTTGATACGTAGTATCATATCACTACATGCATACCTATAGATGGTAGATACTAGTAATAATAACTTGTAAATGTGGCCGATGATCCCTCTCTTTCCATGTTCCAAACTCTGCAACGCAGCATGACGTAGGGGCGCCTGATTGCCTCTGGATGCCTGATTAGCTAATTTTGATGCCCAGTCCCTATCAATAGATGCCTGATGGATACCTGAGTGACTGGGCAGCTGACAGCGAGTGCCTGAGGCCAAGAGACAGAAGAAGACGACGAGCCACCAAGAACAACAGATGAAAGAGAGGGATCATGCCACAGTCAGTTGAGCACCGCCTCGACAGGGCGGCAAATAGAATGGATAAGTATCAAAGTATGAAATAGAACTCCAGTGAAACCATTCTCACTCGACTCGAGTTTCACCAGCTCCATCCAGATACGTCACCGGCGCTTCTTTTCAGCCCGCTTGTTTTGCCCCCGCTTTGGCCATTTGGCTGTCAAGTTGCTTTTCTTCTACCTTGTCCCTCCTTTCATCTAGTCTGGCCACCTTTCTTTCCATCTCCTTTCTTCTATCCGATCTTCATCCCTTTCTCATCCATATGTACCGCCTTCGTCTCGTTTAGATTCAACTACTCCGTACCAGCTCGTGCTACTACTGCTGACAATGGCCTACTACGACGATCGTCAGTACCACCCCGCCCGCGAACGTTACGCCCGGCCAGGACCCCCACCTACGAGGAAAACCCTTACTACTATTCTGATCCTCGCAGTCGGGCCCCAACGGATCTTGTCCGTCGTCGCGACGGAAGCAGCGAGTCCTTGGATGACCTGCCTCGTCATTATCCCCCAGCGATTATGGTTACGAATACGGTTATGGGTACCCCCGAACCCAAGACGGTCACGAGGAACTACCGGGCCGGAGGGAGTGCGCAGATCTCATTCGCTGAACGGCAGGAGGGGAGGCTATTACGAGGACTCAGAGTACTTGTATCGACCCCACCATGAGCGTCGTTCGAGACATGAGGGCGATAGACGTATGTATTGCCTGGGAACGATAGATGGGGAGTTGATGGACGAGGAAGAGATAAAAAGGTGATATGAGCGCTGACGAGTGTAGATGACCGCCACAAATACTCCCGTTCTCCATCAAGCAGCCGCTCTCCGCACCGTAGACGGCGCAAGTCTTTTTCCGAGCAGGCCCTCGGCGCTCTGGGTCTGGGAGCTGCGGCGTCCTCGACTTCCAGACACCGTGACCATAGCCGTGGTCGCTCCCATGGTCACCATGGCCGGCCACATTCGTACTCTCCTTCGCGCTCCCGCAGCAGAGACCGTCACCGACGCGACAAGAGCGAGCAGCGCATGGCTCAGGCTGCCCGGGCTGCGCTGACCGCGGCAGCTGTCGAGGCCTTCCGTGTTCGCAAGGAACCCGGCGAGTGGACCGGCGACAAAGGCAAACGGGTCCTTACGGCTGCGGTTACCGCCGCGGGTACAGATGGCCTGGTCGATCGTGACCCGAACAAGCACTCGAAGCGCCACATCATCGAGTCCACGCTTGCTGGGCTGGCGGCTAACCATTTCGTGAATGGACCACGATCAAAGTCGAGATCCAAATCCCGTGGTCGTGGCTCCGACAGCAAGCTCAAGAACCTTGCCGCCACGGGCGCTCTTGCTGCAGTCGGCAAGGAGGCCTACGAGCGCTTCAAGTCCCGCTCCCGGTCCCGTCATCGGGGTAGGTCGAGCTCACGCGACAGCTACGATGATAGCGACTCGCCGCGTCGCCATCGCTCGCACAAGCGGAGCAAGAGCGTGTCAGACTACATCAACCAAGGCATGGAAGCGCTGGGCCTGGGGGACAAGGACAAGGATGACCGGCGAGGAAGACATCGTGGGCGGCCCTCACGCTACGATGACTACTCGGACAGCGATCGGGATAGTGAGCCTGGGACCAGACGGGCCAGGCACTCCAGAGATGTAGGTCGACCTCGTTCTGTTTATGCCACGCAACCACCAAGTTCTGCCATGACCACTACGTCGGGAGCCAGGGGCCCACATACTGATGACGGCGGCTACCACCACTCCACCTCGGACAGTGAATCATCTTCTGACCTGGGAGACAGTTCCGATGAGAAAAAGCAGCGTAAGAAGCTCAACCGGCAGGCCCTAATGACGGCAGGTCTAGCCACCATAGCGACGGTCCACGCAGCGCACGGGCTGCACCAGAATATGGAGAAGCGCAAGCAGCGCATGAAGATGGTGAAGGAGGGCGCGATGTCACCTGAAGAAGCCCGCCGGCGCCGGATCAAAGCCAACCTCGCCGACGCCGCCAGCATCGGCCTCTCCGCGCTGGGTATTAAAGGCGCCATCGCCGAGTGGAAAGAAGCCGACGAGAAGCGCAGGGAACGAGCCGACTTCAAGAAGAAATGCGACGAACACCGCCAAAAGCGCCACCAGCGCATGCGCAGCAAGAGCCAGAGTGCCGCCGGCCCGCCCCCGCCCTCCTGGCGGACCGTCTACCCGGACGAGATCGAGGAAAATGCCAGTTCGTCGGGCTATTTGCGGTCACATGCTGGGCAGGTGCGATCGCCGAGTGTCGGGGCGGATGTGAGATACCGGTCTTCGTATTGGAGTTGATGTGAGTTGGGGCGAGGTTTGCAGCGTTTTGGTGGTATGCCACGATGATTATGATGGATGACACGATGCCGTATATGTATCATGACTTGACGACTTTCGGGTTTGCTTGCGCTCTTCTTCCTCATTCCTCATTTGTGTTCTTAGCGTTCATGTATCGGGTCTAGAATGACTTAATAGCCTAAATTACATTACTCTTTATTTTACTTTTGATAATGTGCGCCAGAGAAGGAAATAGATAATTTCTGACATGGCATCAGTCCACGATGCATATGGCATTGATCCACTCAGACAGACGGGGGTTGTGATCGGTATCAATACCGGTGCCCCCTTAAACATAAAGAAACAAGACAAGAAGTCTATGTACAGTCCAAGCCAGTGACAAGACAAAGACGGAGACGAAAAGGAGATAAGAAGAGGGAGAGAGATACAGAGGGATAGAATCCAATCGATATACAAACACAAACACCACGCCTTCCAGATGCCCTTTTAACACGGGGAGGGTAGTAGATAGATAGGTAGACAGACAGATAAATGACAGATATGTGATGGGAATTAGAAAGGCAGACAGGAACGCTTCAACGCTCGCTCTCTTGCAGAAGCCGGATCAAATCAAATGCAGGTGACGACGCTTGATGCTGATGCTAAGCTTGATGCTAGATGAACAGACATGGTAGCGGGTGGCTAGACTATCGATCGGCGTTGAGGTTCAGCCAGCTCAGATCCGAGTTTGGATTGTTACGCGAGTTCGCCGGTGCAGGTGCACCTGGGAAGGGCGTGGTGGGCATGGGCTCAAGCGCATCTGGGATCAAGACGCTCGAGCCGCGTGTGTTGATGGTATCACGTTCGCGGCCGCCGGGGTTGTAGAAGCTGCGGCTGTAGGTGCTGCTGGGCGGACGGCCGATCCAGCTGTGGTGCGGGGCACCGAGCCATTGCGGATCCGGGGCCGGACCGCTGATTGTTGAGGCGCCGTCGCGGCGGTCATGGTCGTGATCGTAATCTGTGTCTGACGCGGCGCTCAGGGAGCTGGCAGTGGAGATGCGGGCGGACTGCGACTCGGCGCGCTTCAGCACCTGGCCGATCCTGGGGCCGTCCTCCGTCGTGGGGCTACCGGTGACAACCCGGCCGAGTGGCTTGGGTTCCTCCAAAAAGCCAAAGTTCAACTGAGGGAGAGGCGCTCCGGGCCAGGCACTGACCCGATCCTCTGCATTAGACCGAGGGGCCGCGATGGACGGTGTGTTCGCTAGGTTGGTATTGGTGCCGTTATTGTCTTGGAAGTACTTGCCCCAGCCCTCGTCCGTTGTGCGGTCTCCGGGCGGTTTGTCCCCGAGGTTCATGTCTTGCGCCTCGATGGCCTTGTCCCCGCCGACCGAGTATGTGCTGGACGGCGTCCAGTCACCGTTGGACTGGACGGCGGTCAGAGGACTCGGCTTGAGCGGCGACGATTTTGGTCCATAGCCTGGAAGTCCACCGGCAGTCCTGGGGGTCTTTTCATCCGCAGCCCTGCCAGAGAAGATGGCGAGTGAGTCTACCGATGTGGACGCGAGCGGAGCTGTACTCTTGGCCATGGGATAGGCTGAACGAGTCAGGGGTTCCATGCCCTGATCCTGGAAGCTCAGGCGGTCCTTGTCATTGGCGCCTTGGCCCTGGTTGGCAGCACGCTTGCGGCCCAGCTTCGTCCGATGCAGGAAGAAGAGAATTAAGATTAGGATTAGAATAATGCCCACCAGACTGCCAAGCGTTGCTCCGATGATAGTACCGACCCTGGATCCAGATGAATCATCACTGGCGGCGGTGCTCGTACTAATACTCGAACTGGTGCTGGTGGCGGTTGACGTGGACGAGGACGATGTTGTTGTTGTCGGGATTGAGGCGAGGATCTGCTGAGAAGATTTTTCTCCGTAGAAGAGCTTGGTTGTGTTGACCCAGCTATTGGATGTCTGGTTGAAGATGGCCAGCGAGTCGGTACCACTGCCGCTGGAAATGACCACTAATCCGTTATCGCCTTGAGCGAGAGAGTAGTCCGACCTGGTCGTTAATGGTGCTAACGTTCCATCGTATGTCGGGTGAACGGCCCCAGAGACCTCCCTTCTCCTTTTTTTCCTCGAGGACGATGCTCCCAGATCTGTGCCAGAGAGCGCGGGCTGACCACCAGGATTGAGCAATGCGATGCTACTCACGTTGTTGGGCGAGACGTTCAGATTGAATGACTCAAGCGTCTTGCTTCCGTCTGATCCATTTACTATCGCGCATCTCACATCGCTGGACAGAGGCTGGGGGAGAAATACACCGGAGGAATGCCAGCCATCCGAGACGGAGAATAGATGGACCTCTTTGGCAGTCGTCGGACCACCTTCACCACCTACCAACGCCGCTTCACTATCGCTCCAAGGCAGAAGCACAGGCGACGCGGTGGGGTACTTTGCTGAATGAGCGTCGAGCGTATACGGAGGAACGGTGCTAATAGTAAATGTGTCGGATGAAGGGTTCGAGCTATCCGTCTGACTGCCAGCATAGACCAGCAGAATGGACGAAGACTTCAGATATACCGCGCCATGGGACGTCCGATTCTGCATCGTCCGCTGAGCTGTCTGTATTGTGGTCCACGTTCGGGAACCGAAAGCGAATCGCTGCAACCCTGGGGAATTCGAAGACGAGCTCGTGCCACCGATCACGTAGAGCGCCTGTTGGTCTTCCTTACCGTCTATTCCACCCGTCACACATACCGCATCGGAGACCGGCTCTCCCGGGGCATGGGCAATTCAATCCAAGTTTCATTGCGCTCGAGAGGGATGCGTTCGAGAGGGATGGCTGCAAATCCATTGGCGGAGTAGGTGTAGAGGGTGTTGTTGTGAATGACCGAGCAATGGCCCTCCAATTTTACAGGAGGCTCCGGAACGATCATATCGACTGGATATTGGTGATATTTTTATGGTAACGAGGGAATGCGATGCGAAAAAAGTGGTCGAGTTCTTCGAGGAGGCCAGCCGAAGACGAATCAGTTGATAACCAGCCGTCAGAGGTCGGCAAGGACGAATCGACGGAACCAGGGAAACGAAGGTGACTGCCAGAGTGCTATCTCATGGTCGGGAGCTAACAAGTCGTATGATTGACGAGTGATTGGCGACGAAGATGATTCCAGAGTTGAAACGAATGTGGGTGCTCGTCATAGAATGGATGGTCCTCCACGTGTCTAGTGATGCTGTCGAGTTGGATAGTGATAGGAGTCGCAGACTGAACGTCAAGAGTCAAATGCGATCATGAAGTACTGGTCGAATCAAGACCGAGTAACGAAAGAATGGCGACCTGGAGAATAGGATAATGTCAATATCAATTCGAGTACAGGGCTTCAGGGGTAAAGATTACAATAACGATAGGATCACAGAGCCAGAAAAGGAATGATAATGACACTGATACAGAAGCTCATACAAGGAATCAAGGGTCTACCTGAGTAACGAGCGACAAGGGAAATGAGAGAAGAAGAAGAAGGGAATAATCAGGAGATGCATTATGAGAATCATAATAATAATAATAATAGTACTGGCAAGGTAGTGATAAGAGAGTACGGAGCTGTGTGTGGTACACGATCACAGGAACCGGAGCAAAAGATGAAACAACGGTTCTGGAGAGCAGCAAGAGGGGGTGGCTCGGAGAGTGGACCAGATCAGGAGTCGGAATGGAATCATCGATGCTGTTGAAGACTTACGATTTTGTTTTGGTAGTAAATTTACTTTATTCCTTTGGTTGAGATGAAAGCTGGATAGGAGCGAAAACAGGAAAGAAACGAGACGAGACGAGGGAAGGATGGGGACCAGCACGAGTGCACAGCACGATGTGTGATGAAAAGAGAGAGAGAGAGGGAGGGACAGAGAGAGAGGAACGAAGTAGAAAGAGTCCGGAGTAAAACAAAAAAGAAAAGAGAAGAGAAGAGACAGAAGAGAGACAATCAGGAATCCCTTAGTCGATGACTTACGAGTAGCAGTTAGTCTGTGCTCACCATCAGAGTCTAAGATGATCAGAAGATCCAGAAGATCCCTTGATAGACCGACTTGATAGGTATTCATTAATTCCAGACTTGGAACTCAGTGTCACAGTCCAGCTTCTATCATCATCTCGTATCTATCAAAATAATCATCTTTAGACATTCATCTCCTGTGCATAGTACCTTGCATCAGGCACAGCAGCAAGTGCAAGGAACTAACACCTCAATTAAACATTTGGTATTATCTACGGAGTACTGCGCACCTAAGGTAGAGCTCTATTTTCAGGGGTTCAAATCAACAAATCCCAACCATGGTTTGTCTGTCCATACGACCATACCTACATCAACCCAAAAGTTTATCGATTATGATCTCATTCTTCTAGGCGACTAGCATCAGAAAATCCCCCCCTTTCTTCCCGTTCAGCAATCTACTCTACTCCGAGTAAATTTCTCACTCTATCCTGAATCAGGTCAGTCTGATTCATGTCGTTATTGGTGGGGTTAAATTTTCGCCAAGATAATTCAGTACGGTACAGTATATGACAATACAGTACTAGTCAGGCACCAACACCAGACATAATGCAGGAACATGAAGTAAATGGTTGACTGATTAGTAGTAGACTAGTCTTCCTCTACCTGAGTTTATAGCGATGACATTATGATTAGATTCTGTTGGATTATTACTTGGACTTCAATGACCTGAATCCCGAGTCGAGGATAAATTGAAGAAAGACAGTCCCACCAGCCACCCGCTTTTCAAACGACGGGTCATTGTTCGCTTCGGCTGGGCTACTAGTATGCTCCACTTTTGCTTGGCTTAGCACGTGCAAGGAACTACTCCATCGTCATCATCTTCATATGGTATGGAATGGAATGCTAAACCTGGTATCTTTGACCTCAATTCTTTGGCGTAGAGTACTAGTACTAGTAAATGGCGATTGCACACACGCTCGACATCTCCCACAAACCCAAACACCCGGGTACAGCGGTCATGGTGCAACCTGTCCCCCGGTCTGCTTCCAACGATGCGCCGCCTGCAGAATTTTCGTAAGGCTCGCCGCTGCCTGGTCGTCCGCCGGGAACACATAGTCCATGTACTCCTCGTACCGGTCGTCGTCCAGCTTGCGCCGCTTCTTGACCCGCCGGGGCATCTGCTCCTCGATCTTCTTGATGTCCTCGGGGGATCCGTGTGTATGTTCGAAGGCCCGCCAGGCGTTGAGAAGTTCCACTCGCTGTAGCTTCGTCAGTAACAGTAACATCTTCCCCGGACACAAGCGCCAATAACTCACCTCTTCCTTCATCTCCTTCTCCTTGAACACCTTGTGGGCCCGTTCGAACACCGCGCGTGCCCGCCGCTTGGCCTCTTCGCTGACCGGCCGCTCCTCCTCTTCCTCTTCTTCTTCCTCCTCCTCCGGCACGTTGATCTCGAACCGCGCGTAGTTGATCCACACCTTGACGTGGTCTGTCTTCTGCAGGAGTCGCTCGTACAGCTGCCGCACCCGGTCGTACTCGCCTTCGTACTCTTCAAAGTCAATGTACGCCTTCCAGACGAGCTCCGGCATATCGAGCGTCGGCTGATCGATTCCAAGCTCGAAGATCGCCCGCGCACGTTCCGAGTCATCCAGTCCCCGCTCCAGTTCAGCGTACTTGATCCACGATTGGCTATTGGACGGGTTCCATTCGATCTGTTTTTCGTACAGGGTCCGGCACCGCACGAACTCGAACAGCTGCCGCTCGAGGTCGATGTAACCCCGGAAGAGCTTGTCCTTGGGGCACATCCCTATGGCCTGCCCCAGCGTCTTCCGCGCAGACTGAAGATCCATCTGGCGGATGTCGAACTGCGCTTTCAGCAGCCAGATCTTGGCGAATGTGAACTTCTTATGTGGGATCAGCTTTAGACATTCTGTGTAAATCTGACGGGCCCGGTCCACATCCTTAGCCTCCAACTCCTCCCAGATGGCGTAGAAGATCCACAGGTAAATGTACCGTCTCCAATGCCGCTTCTCCTGCGACGGAGGGATCTGTGCAATCGCCCGTTCATATACATCTCGTACCCGGTCTGGATCGCCCGATGTCTCTTCCAATCGGGCAAAGTCAAACCAGACATCATAGTTTCGCGGGTTCTCCTTGAGCTGTTCCTCGTATTGCACCCGGCGCTTGGACAGGATCACATCCTCGACGCCCTCTCGGTCGCCGAACTGCTTCTCAAACGTTGTGTAGGCCTTGTGAAGCGCCATCGCCTTGGAACGGGGCAGCCGGTCCAGAGCGTATTTGTAGATCGCTCGCGCCCGCTCATACTCCTTGAGCTTCGCCTCGAATTTGGAGTACGCGATGAAGAGCTTCTCGTCCATGAAATCCTCACCCAAGGTCTCGATCGCCATCCCGTACACTTCCCGCACCAACTCACTCGTCCCATACTCCTCCTCGAAACGGGCCCATTTGATCCAGTTCCTCGGCTCCGGGTGGACGATCGTAAACCGCTGGAAGATGGCGCGCGCGCGCTCAAACTCATTGTACCGCTTCTCAAGCTTGATATACGCACTCCACGCGCCCTCGTCTGGCTCCCATGACATCCACCGCTCAAACACCTGCCGCGTACCCTGGATATTCCCCAGCGTCTCCTCCATGTACACATACTTGTACCAGAACTTGTCCACACGGGGCAAGATGGTGACTGCGCGGTCCAGCAAGTTCCTCGCATGATTGATGTTGCGATTCCGCATCTCCGACTCGATATACCGGATCCAAAGCACCACCGAGGTCGGGTTGACGTCCAGCGCCCGTTCGAAGATCGATCGCGCCCGGCGGAATTCCTTCTGCTCCAGTTCCCAAGATGCATACCGCATCCAGTTATTCATGTTAACCCGATTACGGCGCACATAGTCTTCAAACTCCTTTCTCTTGCGGCCCTGGTACTCGTGCAATTCTTCGAGGTCCGCGAATCGCTGTGTCGGCGCCTGCAACGCGGGCTCCTGCCGATCAACAGCCTCGCGAAGCAGCTGCTCCGCTGAGATCTGGATCGGCGCCGGGGCCTTGTTCTTGACCCTGGGAGGGCCACGAGATGACTCCATCTTGAGCGATAGGTGTGTGTGTGAGAGGTGACGATGGGTCAGGTATCAACAAGCGGAGGTGGTAGATCCAACTTTCCGCTGTACACGTGATACAAGTAGCACACACTTAAAAAAGAAAATGTCGGGGCTTGATCAGCAACCAAATCTGGACGTTGGATCCCCAACTCCAACTGATCGTTTGTCGAACAAGTCCGTTGGTTCTTGACCATCAAAAGTCGGAAGCTGCGCTCTGGGTCTCTGACGCCACCCGGATGACTAAGCGGTTGTCCCTTCCTTAGTGCCGTCTAGTCAGTCCAGTTGTGGCGGGCCGACGACAGTATTTCACCTTGACCTGCTGCAACACTTACTTCAGCAGTTGCCTGTGGTTACATTGCTGCCATCATGTCGAACGCGGAGGAACTCCTAAGAGATTTCGAAGAGGATGACGAGGAATTCCAGGTCGGTGAGGAGATTGAAGAAGATGTCGGCGAAGAGGTGCAACGGCCAGCGCCGGAGGTCACCAACGAGTTTGACGTCGCCGTGTCGACCACCGACGAACTCACACGCCTTCACAAGAGTCTCCGAGACCATTATTCGATCAGATTTCCAGAATTAGAAACACTTGTTACGAATCCTATTGACTACGCAAAGACTGTTGCCATCCTAAAAAATGGCCCTCTTAACGATATCAAGGCCCTCTCGTCCTCGGCGGATAACATGGTCGGCGCGCCACTCAAGTCCATCCTGGACGGCCCCTCGCTCATGGTTGTTGCGGTGGAGGGAACGACGACACGTGGACGCGAAATGACCGAGGCCGAGCTCAAGGTCGTGCTGGATACTTGTGAGAGAATTATCAAGCTAGATCGCGAGCGGACGGCGCTTACGCAGAGCATTCAGTCGCGCATGAGCCAGATTGCGCCTAATCTTGCCGCTTTGATAGGACCGGAGACTGCGGCCCAGTTTCTTAACCAGACCGGCGGGTTGAGGGAGCTGGCCAAGATCCCGGCGTGCAATCTGGCAGCGCAGGGCTCCAAGAGATCGGAGGGGCTAGGATTTGCTACAAATATTGGTATCAGATCGCAAGGCTTTCTCTATCACTCACCTATCATTCAAGATATCCCGAATGATTTAAAGAAACAAGCAATTCGAATCGTCGCGGCTAAGATGGTTCTAGCGACTCGGGCGGATGTGGCCAAGTTCAGTCCCGATGGTTCATTGGGCGAGGAATTGAAACAACAGTGCTATCAACGCTTGGAAAAACTGACCGAGCCTCCTCCAAACGCTGGTGTGAAGGCGCTTCCGGCTCCTGATGACAAGCCTTCGAGGAAGCGGGGTGGACGGAGAGCGAGAAAGGCCAAGGAAGCAGTTGCTATGACTGAGCTACGGAAGGCACAAAACCGGGTCGCATTCGGCAAGGAGGAGGCAGAAGTTGGCTATGGCACCGGCGAAGGTACCGTGGGTCTGGGTATGCTGGGACAGCAGAACGACGGACGGGTCCGGGCGACACAAATCGATCAGAGAACTCGCGCCAAGCTCAGCAAGTCCAATAAGGGCTGGGGAGCGGCCACCCCAGTCAGCGGGACCGCCTCTTCTCTGCGTGCATTTGGTTCGGGCGCAGGCGCAGGCGGCACGGCGAGTGTCCTACAAGCCAAGGGTCTACGAACCTCTGGAGTTGGTCCTTCATTGGCAGGCATCGCCGGCACGGCCAGTACGATTGCCTTTACACCTGTGCAAGGTCTCGAGCTTGTTGATCCCAAAGCGCAAGCCGAGCTCCAGCGGAAGCGCAAGGCGGAGGAGGATCGGTGGTTCAAATCAGGCACATTCACGCAGGTGGGCGGTCAGAGCAGTAGTACCAACAGCGGTGCAAATGGCGGGTTCAAAGTGCCTCCACTGCCTGCAAGGAAGAAGGTCGACACCGGTGAGGGCAAGATGGCGCCACCTCCGCCGCCCGTGAAGCCATAGCTTTATCCATGTTTCTGTTCTATTTGACTGTTGAGCATTGGCGGCGTTGGGGTTCTTGATCATGATACCAAATATTGATAGATCTTAAAAAGGAATGAAATATATCCCCATCATTATTCCTACCGAGTCATTCCCCTACGTTGCCGTAGAGCCGAGTGGCTGGAATATGCATATCGGGGAACCAAGGTTCGGCTTTGTGCTTACAACTCCGAATGATGGCCGATGGCGTGCGCCGTGCAGAATTTGGCGCAATACTCTGCGCAATCGGCGAGCTATTTGACATTTTCTAGAATTCGCATTTACATTTGTCTAGTATTCCACTGCTGAGGATCAAGAGCTGTCGTCGGCATATTGTAGACAGTGGATAGTCTCGCATCTATCCCACTGTGGACACACCTGACAATCTCCACAAGTAAAAAGTCAAGATCAAACTAATGGGATCAACCAAGGCACTGATCATGAACCAAATTCAAGGGTGAATCCATCCATGAAGCATGTGGGCCGGGGCGTTTCACGGAGCAGAGAACCATCAAGTCGAGATATTGCGTGCTCGGCTCGGCATGTCCTATAAATTGTCTTTTCCTACATACATGTAGTCAGTTTATTTCCGATCCAGGATAGTCATTCGCTAGCATTGCAGTCAATTGACCCCGTAGTCATTCTCTGAGGTTATAGTCAGCTCGAAGACGAGGAAGAGGAAGAGGAAGAGGAGAGGACAGTGTGGTAGACTATCGCACCATGGCCCCGGGAATACAAGACTCGCTGAGCGAGCCCCCAGCAGCAGCAATTCTCATCGAGGAACAAGAGCAATTGTCTTCAACCAAACGAAGCAGAAGCAGACGGCCGTTCTCACTCATCCATCACAGCCTAGTCACATCCGACATGGACGCGCTGAAATTCCACGCCGCCGCATCTCTCCAGCTGTGCTTCAGTCCCTATCAAGATGTCACCAACATCGCCAGCACAGCAGACCCAAATCCAGATCCAGAAGCAGAAGCTCAGCTTCTAATCACATCACCCTACAACTCCCCTCTGCACCTCCTCAACCTCCAAACCCTCGATCCACACTCTGGCCTCCTCGCCCAGGCCCTCACAATCCTCCGTCCCGTGCGCGCCGACTACGCCACAGCGCCGTATGAAGACTCCTTCAACTGGCCCTCTGTGTTTGCCTTCCTGCGCGATATAAGCACCCGCGAGGGACACGCCTGGTCCCGAACGAAATTCTACGTCGTCGTCTTCCGGTCAACCTTGCTAGAAGGCGCGGATGGGGACAGGCTGCATGAGCTGGATGCGCGGTCGCATCAGGAGGCGGTGGCCAGTGGGGGTTACTCAAGTATTGGTTTGGGACGAAGAATGCGCGGAGGCAGAATCTGGCGACTTGTAAGTTCAGGTTCCTTCTTTTTGTCTGCTGTTTGGGGGAAGGTGATATTGATGATGATGGTGATGTAGGTGTCTGGCGGAGTCGGGAGGATGCGCATCGGGGAGGGACGGGGCCGTGGCATCGGAAGGCGAGAGGAGCAGCTAAAGAGATGTATGAGAAGATTGTGTTTACGACGACGGAACTGGTGGTTGGGGATGAGGTGGGAGAGTGGTCGTTTGGGAGTGGACTGGGTTGACTGGTTGATTTGTAGAGATACCCTTTCGCATAGCATCGAATTTACTTTTGACTCAAGCTAGATACCTCTGATGGATGGTCTCATTTATCTTATAGGCTACGGCTATTATCATATAGCTAGAGTGGATGTGCTTACTTGATAACAGTAACTAAGTTATAGGCTATATCGCATGGAGAATGGTTCCCCGCGTGTGGAGAGAGAATGGACCCATTGTGCCCTAAAAGAGTAGTATTCCACGTCCATGAGGGGAACAATCAATGTCCAACTGTCCACTTAGACTGCTGACTGAACTCATTCTAAGCGATCGAGTGTTAAAACTAGGGTAGATTTGTTCATCAGAAATACGTCGGGAATAGATGCGGAGAGGGAAATGATATAGGGTATATAGTTGGACTCACCCGGATGGTTCAACTTGCAGCAACTACATTCCACTTTCACTTAATAAGACATACTACGTACGCTTCGCTGCAATCAAAATGGTCGGACTTGCACTAGAACACAACATCCAAGTCAACGATGGCCCCTTAACTTCCGAAAACGCCGCTCTTCTCCGTCCCTCAGACCCATCCCTCCCCCTGGACGAACTCCGCGCCCGCTACGAACAAGACGGCTACCTCTTCCTCAAACACCTTCTCCCCCGCGACGACGTCCTCGAAGCCCGCAGACAGTACTTCTCCCTGCTCGCCCCAACCAGCGTTCTCCGAGAGGGCACCGACCCCGTCCAAGGCATCTTCAACCCCACCAAATCCCCGATCAGTACCCCGGCATCGGCGCCGGCGCGGCAGGCAACAACGGCCGGCCGGGGGCGAGCAGGCCGCGCAGTTTGTGGACCTGGCCATCGAGGCGCATTACCAGGATTGGTATGCGGAGAAGTTCTGCAACCATCCCGCTCTGGTCCGCTTTGTGGCCGAGTTCACGGGCTGGGGTGAGCATACGCTGAATTTCCGCCGGACGCTGCTGAGGAATAATACGCCTGGCACGAAACCTATCGGGGTGCACTATGATCAGATCTTCTTGCGGTATGGGGAGCCGACGAGTGTCACGGCTTGGGTGCCTATGGGGGATATCAAAATCAATGGCGGGGGGTTGATCTACCTCGAGGACGGTAGGGTCATCTTTTGCCTTGACATGTGTACCTTGAGAGTGTTTTGAAAGTGTTAGCTGACCTATCAGGCGACCCTGTTGGGCTCAAAATCGAGGAAGAATTCACCATCAAGGCGAAGCAGGCCGGTTTAACTGATGAAGACGCCAGATCGGCTTTCAACTCGAATATGATGGCCACGGGGCTTTTGTCCGAGTCGCCGGTCGAGTTTGCCAGGCAGCATGGCCGTCGCTGGCTGGTGTCTGCCTACGAGGCGGGTGATGTTGTGTTGCACAAACCTCATACGGTATGTCTCCGTCCTTTACCTCTTAAGGGATGTTATGCTGACGAGGCAGATTCATGCGTCGACCATCAACAATGACCCGGATAAAGTCATTCGTCTGGCGACTGATTTGCGGTTCTGCGACTCGTCCAAGCCTTATGATAAGGTAAGTTTACTCCTTGCAAATCACGCAAATGCTAATATTCCTCAAGAGATGGATGAACTTTTATAGATTTGGAGATGGTGTTTGATTAGCCAGAGTAGTTTATTATCTATCGCTGCATAGTCGGCAGCAACAATCTACCCCTCAAAACGTGCAATGGCATATCCTGTAACAATTAGTTCAGTTTGGGCTCATTTTCATATGCAGTGATCTTACAGCTCCCCATCGCAATATCCTCCCGTCCACCCATGACTCTGAAGGACACACTGTACGACTTAGCAAAATCCATCTTCAGGCAAAGGCAATAGGCATAGGTTATATAAATACCGCATTATGACAAGCCAGATTGGCAATCTCATCGCCGCCTTCGATCTCGCAGGATGTCTCGACATTCAGTTGGTTGACTAGAAGGGGTGTGCTGTTTACCAGTTGGCAGAGAAGGCCCCAGAAAATAATATTTAGGGTTTTCATTGTGATGTATATATTGGATAATAACTTTCGAATCTGAGAGAGAGAATTTGCTGAAGAAAATGAGATGGCTTGAATCTAACGATTTGATCAAGGGATATATATAGTCATGTCGTCATTGATGTGAAGCAAGGGCTTGGTTTTGTGCTCTAGGACAGATTCTCCTTTCGGTTGAAGATGTGCATCTTTACATACCTTGAAGTAAGAATAAGATGCCACAATGTCGCATCGATGCATATTTCCTCACCAGATCTCCATCGTTGCGGCACCCTATGTTTAGATCTCTATATTCTCTCCCCTACGACGTTTATGTTCGGGCTGGATTGGTTCGCTTCTGTCCCATAAGTTTGAACCAAGGACTCGTTTGTATAAGTTTTGACACCGAGATTCTGTATTCAACTACCAATTCACCATCAGTCGAAGTGATTCCTGGGGTCTGCGGTCATGCGCAATCGAAGATGAGTTGGTTAATTCTTATATTACTGATTAATGATAAACCTGATGAGGGTGGGAGTCCATGTTAGGGCACGGATCGGCGTGGACGTAGGCTGCATAGTGCGTGTTCCAATCAATGTGTCAGTAGCATAACTGCTATTTAGTATCGAGAGGTAACAACAATTCTATATAATATATGATAAATCAAGACTAATCATAACATGCAACATATAACACCCATTGACTAGCAACGCCACATCTATACAAAACACATAGCGTCCCTAGGACAGGGAGACACCCCCCAGAAGCGGAAGCATATACACAACCGAGATCCAAAGATTCCACACCCGAAAAGTCATCCGATCATTGGCTGTATCCCGCCACATGAGCATCCTAATAGCGACAGCAGATGCCAACACGACGCTGAGGCCAGTAGCAAGGGGACCAGATCCCGCCAGAACCGGACATATGACCCCCAAACAGGCATCGGAAGTGCAATGCTCCATCGCGCCGCAGCATCCCCAATCACGAGGGGAAGCGTTCGACGGCCCCTCTTCGCGTCGCCTTCCTGATCGCACATGTCCTGCACGTGCATGGTCGTCAGGATAATCGCCGTGATGACCATGATCCAGAGTCTCAGCGAGTACTGTCTGGCTTCGGGGGACTCTGTAAATACAGCAGACCCAGAACCAACCGCTACCTCTACAGCCCCCGAGTTGAAACAGAAGTATCCCAACGCGTTGATGATATTTCGGATCACAGGGTTGTGATCACCCGCCCCGAAGCTGTTGTAGCAGGTGCTTAGGATGATGAGACCGAGACATTGTCGGTGTCCGCCGCTGTAAAAAAGGCTGTAAACCACCGCAAGGGCGTAGAAGCCGAACATCAGGCGTTTTGCCTGGGATCCAGAGAGACGCTTGCTTGGAAGCGGCCGCCAGGGCTTATTGAGGCTGTCTTCGGCGATGGACGAAGGACTGCGCTGGTTGTTCATCGTCAGGGGAAGAAGATTGATCCCGACCCAGCCAATGATCAGAGGTATTCGATAGACCGTATTTAGGTATGCGGGAGGCTGAGACTGTACATCACGGAAGTCCAGAGTGGCAAGAGCGTTGGTAATGCCAAAGATGGTGCTTGGGAGGAGAATGGTCTGGACATCACTTGCAATGAAGAGCCAGATGGTATATCCGCTTGATGCAACTGCTGATGAGAATTGACAGACATGAAAGCTCGGCCAGTCGATTGACATGTCGCTCTGAATCTTTGCTATGCACTAATGTAAGTCAGTATGTATCTTCGAGTAATCAGACTTGACTAACCTTCATCTGTGCTATGCTCTCAGAATGATAAACTTCGTCCCAGTGTGGTGTTTATAACTCGCACACGTAGTTGCAGCTCTTCAGCGCACGGTATCAGCTGAGGCCGTTGACAAGACAACAAGTGTGCTATACAATAATAGACATAACAGAGATCAGGTTCTAGCATGCCTGAGCATCGATTGGCCTTCGACTGTCTGAGTCCCAAACACTTCCTGACCTTGACTCAGATTCAGGGGCCAATTCAAATGCGCCTTGTCAGGGAGCCTGGAGCGGCCCGGAGATTTGGATATGACTAGTAGGCGCCCCTGCTCCAACAGATACTGTTTTGAATCTAATAGCTGATAAAATGTGGTGCGCTCGAGCAATGCTGAGGGCTCAGCCCGTCATTCAGGCGACCTGGGGATGAGGACCGACTCATCTTGGTCCTGAGCAAAAAATGTTAATATGGCAGTGGGAGATACTCAGGCACACGGAAGTCCACAAGAAGCTCGATACACTGACAAATGCATTGTCTTGTCAAGGATTGACTTGGACCCATTCCAGGTTCAACCTGGAACACAGCCATCAATCAGGCCCTAAGGCATGTCTCAGTTCCGGTCATTGTCCCTGCCATTCTTTTCTCTGATTGCGCTCAGCCGTGGGAGGTTACACATGCACCGTGGGAGATGCATTTCACTGCATTCTTTCGGGCTGTGTTCGCTGCCGTAATGGGGGTTATTTTTTTATGCTGAAACAGCTGACCGTCATCTATTGAGGCCGTACATAAGCTTGAAGAATGAGGAGCATCATCAGCGATTACCAGTGTAGAAGCTAGAGGATGGCGCAGTTGTCTCGAACGGGAATGTTTAAGCATCAAGAAGAATGGCGCGATCTCGGTGCTAGGAACGGACGCCTGGCGATGACAGTCGATTTACTGGGATGATACGGTGACAGTACTGAGTTAGTCAGACTGCATGGATATCCGATCGAATAGTTGTAGCTTCCTCGACGCTTGAAGGCGTGGGTTGCTCGGCAGGTGAGATATGCCGTGCTTGTGCGTACCTGAGGGCCTTAGGCAGCTACCTGGTCTAGTTCTTCACTTATATATCTCGCTTGCTCATATTCGGGGGGAATCTCGGCAGCACCTCGTCTCTCCTTGTTGCCATCCTTGACTGTCTACATTATCGAGCACAGGCATCATCAGTTCATTTCATCCCTTCAACAATCCAACCCTGTTAAATCAAGACGTCATAGACATGTCTTCCTCTCCAGAATACGTCTTTACCCGGGACTACTTGGACAACAACCGGTATGATTATTCCAACTTTTGCTATTCTGCCTGCTTACATTTGCAGCATCAATCTGCAGCACTATCTGGTCGTCCAACTTTTCGGATACCGCACTCACCCCTCGATTCCCGTCAAGGATGTGAACAACCTACGGATCGCAGACGTTGGAACTGGTACTGGGTATGTCAAGCTCGACTTGTTCGATGGCAGCTTCTCACACTGGCAGAATCTGGCTCACCGATTTGGCCGACGAATTCCCTTCAACTGTCCGACTGGATGGACTTGACATCTCCTTCGATGCGGCTCCTCCACGCGACTGGCTCCCGCCCAATATGAGCCTTCACCATTGGGATATTAAGGCCGAAGTCCCTGAGCACCTGGTTGGTGTCTATGACGTGGTTAATGTTCGCCATTTTGTCTTTGTTCTCCAACAGTCTGACTTGAAAGGCGTACTCGACAATCTATTCAAACTTCTCAGTACGTCAACAGCTTCTACAATTTTTATATCTCTAACAGCTGGTCTACAGAGCCTGGAGGTTATCTTCAGTGGACTGACTTGGACATGTCCTCACTTCGTGTCGAGAAGATCAATCCGGACATCAAGGCGGACGCGAACGTCAAGTTAATGGGACTTTTCCAGGCCAACGATACCCGTCTTCGTTCCGCGTGGGGTGCCAGTCTGCCCTCGCTTTTTGCACAGAGCGGATTCACCAAAGTCGAATCAGATGTGAAGGATGCACCACCCCATTTGGCAGTTGCACTGCATGAGTGTGGGATGTTGGCCACGGAGGTCTTAGCCCGAAACAAAGCAGGTGGGAACGAGCAGATGGTGCAGCAACTTAGACAGACCTTGGCCGAGGCTGCAAAGGAGACTCGGGAGGGATCAGTTCTGGCTTTTACTAGACTCACTGTCGTTGGTCAGAAGCCGAGCCAGTAGACTGCCCTGCGTCTGATAGATATCGAACCGTCGCACATCCTTAGCCACTGGAGGTAGACTCATACTTTCTCACATGATATCATGCCTAGATATCATACCTCTGCTTAGGAATGATGTACGTATGCTCATAAGCCGATTGATGCGCCGTCAGTTCAGCTCGCCATCGCCATCGCCATCGCTCAATGCTTACGCCCCTTTTGTGATACAATAGTTCCAAATCTGACCAAGCCCCGCAGGGTGAGCGATGCTGACCGATTCAGCCTCAACTTCAAGAATGTAACCCTGTGTCACGCAATAAGTACGTACGAGAAATACCGACATGGGTATGATGTGTACTCCTATCCCTACACCTTGCCCCTCACCGCGTATGCCATCTCATCTGCCATTGTGAAGGTTGGTCGCACAAAACCAGCGCAAAAACTTCCCGGAATGGCATTCTGCACCACCATTGGGGGTATTCATAACCTCGATGCCTTCCTGGCAAAAGCAATGAGCGCTTTAAGTGACATGGCTCCTCCAACTAAGACTTTCTTTATTGCGCCAAAAATCAATAAGACGACCAGATGGCGGACCAAGACGGAACCCAATACTCGGTGGCTTACCTTGCAGAAGATCGACGACCTGCCCTTTTGAGCGTGGCGATCACCTTTCTTGTACTGAGCACGTCTGCAGTCATCTTACGCTTCGTGTCTCGTCGTATTGGGCGTGTTGGGTTCCACCATGATGATATCTACATTATCTTGGGTTGGATATTTTATGTGGCCTTGATATCCGTGGCAATCGGTACCTCCCCATCTTCTCCTTCTCTGTCAACAGAACATTCACTTGACGATGTAATGCAGGAGACATGCACTATGGCGGCGTAGGCCTCCATCAAGCGCGCGTCATAGCTATCGACCCGGTCATGATGCAGACCTGGGCCAAGTTTCTCCTTGCCATCGCATTCATCTACATCATTGGCGTGATTCTCCCCAAACTCGCCGTGCTGAGCCTGTACATCTCCATCTTCAATCGGCACCGGGCCTCCCGCATTACTTGCTATGTCACCGGCTTCCTGATGATCGGCAACTGCATCGGCTGTGCGGCGGTAGGCTTCGCGGTCTGCACACCTCTCCGGAAACTATGGGACCCGAGTGTGGACGGGCACTGTGTCAACATCAATGCGTGGTTCCGATACTCGCGGATCGTGAATATCGTCTCGGATGTGATCATGCTCATCCTGCCTATCCCGCATGTCATCCGGTTGCAGTCAACCATGCGGTTGAAGGTTGGTTTGTTAATCACCTTTTTGCTGGGGAGTGTGTGAGTCGGGCCACTCTTCTTACTCTGCGTTGTGGTACAGGGCTGACGAGTGTAGGGGTCTCATCGCCGGCCTGATTGCCCTCTTTACGTTCAGCACTACCAACGCCGTCACGGACAACACCTGGAACGCGGCATTGTTGATCATTTGGACCCTCGTCGAGGTGGGGATGTATCTTATTGCTGCGTGCTTGATCTCGTATCAGCCGCTTGCTAAGTTGATTTGGAGAAATACTTGGCGTCGACGGCGAGGGCAGAAAAACAGTTCTCTGGACCAAGAACATAGCCATGTGTGGGTCCGGACGAATAGTATGCCTAGTCAGAGTCATAGTACGAGGGGAAAGACCGAAGAAGAGTACCTGGAGCTGGTGACAAGGGAGCGCTTTGACAGGGGGTCGTCTATCTCCGGGGGTATTCTGATTGAGCGCCAGGTAACGACGGACTGAATACCGATGGATTATGCTTATCCATCGCAGCTACTGTTGGCATCTCTAGCGTAGAAGAAACACAATGCAGTTATTCCAGACCGCAGACAGAGTGAAACTGATTATTATGGTGATGGACAAAGCCAGTGAAAGGAGCGGTCAGAGACTCAAAGGACCCTGAGGATAGCTGGCCTCAGGCAGAAACACCTGCGTCCCTTGATGCCTGAGGTACCCCTGCCCCGCCGCAAAAACCCTCCGAGTCCGAACGGCGTTTCCCCTCCGACAGTAGCCAGAGAACGTGCCTGAGAGGATTTCCCCCTCCGCTCGTTTCTCCCTTTTATTTCTTCTCTTCCCTCCTCTCTCGATCTCTTTCCTCTCTCTTCTCATCCTCATCATCCCCTTCAGTAAGTCTTCTCATCCCATCTTCTGTTCAATTGCAGTCAGTCAATTTATCAAGACTTGTCCTAACTAACCTCGTCCAGCCTCTTTTTCTTAACTACCTAATCCTTCATCATCATCACCATGGCTGCCCCCGCTCAGAAGTTCAAGGTCGCCGACATCGTACGTGGCCTCTCAGATCCTCCCTCTCACAATAAACAAACCTATAAAACATGTTAACCCCTTTTAGTCTCTGGCTGCCTTTGGCCGCCGCGAGATTGAGCTCGCCGAGATTGAGATGCCTGGTCTCATGGCTATCCGCCGCAAGTACGCCGAGGACCAGCCCCTGAAGGGTGCCCGCATTGCTGGTTGCCTTCACATGAGTATGTTGTTTATGTCAGAAAGAGGGGTTAGAGACTAAAATCTGACTCGCCTTTTAGCCATCCAGACCGCTGTTCTCATCGAGACCCTCACCGCCCTTGGTGCTGAGGTCACCTGGACTAGCTGCAACATCTTCTCCACTCAGGACCACGCTGCCGCCGCCATTGCTGCCGCCGGCGTCCCTGTGTAAGTTCAACTGCCATTCTGAAACCAGGCCAGCTCTAATATCATAATAGCTTCGCCTGGAAGGGAGAGACCGAGGAGGAGTACCAGTGGTGCTTGGAGCAGCAGCTCAACGCTTTCAAGGATGGCCAGAAGCTCAACCTCATCCTCGACGATGGTGGTGACCTGACCGCTCTCGTCCACAGCAAGTACCCTGAGATGCTCAAGGGCTGCTACGGTGTCTCTGAGGAGACCACCACCGGTGTCCACCACCTCTACAGAATGCTCAAGGAGGGCAAGCTCCTTGTTCCCGCCATCAACGTCAACGACTCCGTCACCAAGTCCAAGTTCGACAACCTGTACGGTTGCCGTGAGTCCCTCATCGATGGTATCAAGCGTGCCACCGATGTCATGATTGCCGGCAAGGTCGCCGTTGTTGCCGGTTACGGTGATGTCGGCAAGGGCTGTGCCGATGCTCTCCGCAGCATGGGTGCCCGTGTCCTCGTTACCGAGATTGACCCCATCAACGCCCTCCAGGCCGCTGTCCAGGGCTACCAGGTCGTCACCATGGAGGAGGCTGCTCCCCAGGGTCAGATCTTCGTCACCACCACCGGTTGCCGTGACATTCTTGTTGGCAAGCACTTTGAGGTTATGCGCAACGACGCCATTGTCTGCAGTGAGTAACGCGTTCCACTAGTTTCCATGATTTTTATACTGATCGAAACAGACATTGGTCACTTCGACATTGAGATTGACGTTGCCTGGCTCAAGGCCAACGCCAAGTCCGTCCAGAACATCAAGCCCCAGGTTGACCGCTACCTGATGCCCAGCGGCCGCCACATCATCCTCCTTGCCGAGGGTCGTCTGGTCAACCTTGGCTGTGCCACCGGCCACTCTTCCTTCGTCATGTCCTGCTCCTTCTCCAACCAGGTCCTTGCCCAGATTGCTCTGTTCAAGGCCGAGGACGAGGCCTTTGGCAAGAAGTACATCGAGTTCGGCACCGCCGGCAAGAAGCCCGTTGGTGTCTACGTTCTTCCCAAGATCCTGGACGAGCAGGTTGCTCTGCTCCACCTGGATCACGTCAATGCCAAGCTGTCCAAGCTCACTCCCGTTCAGGCCGAGTACCTTGGTTTGGATGTTACCGGTCCTTTCAAGAGCGAGATGTAAGTGCGCCTGATCTTTTGTGTCTGGTCCAAGCTAATGGTTGCAGCTACCGCTACTAAGCATCTTCCTTTCTCGATGGCGTCGACGCTTGATATACCTTGACACATAGACCTTTTCAACATGATCACGATGTTACGAACAACATAAAAGGGTTCTCTCAACTTAGAGCTCAAAAGTATTTGTCTTCAACGGCAATAAAAGGGGCATATATGGGGGGTTTTTCTTTTCCTATTGGCTGTATGGGCTGGGTCTACTTGGGAGTATGTTTGCATTCAACAATGCCTCCGATATTTCTCGATATTTCTTTCTTAATATTCAACCCGACTACGTCGGGTCAAATGATACCAACAGTGCATGTGAATGCATTGAAATGCATTGCATTGATCACATTTCGTCACTATGTCGTAGGTTTGTAACTGTATCGGTCACTCGGTCACTCTGTATGGCCCATGCGGAGCTCATTACTTGATCTCAACAAATCTGCTAGGGAATCGGCTACGGAGATGGCAAACTCGGGATCATTGATCTCTCTACTGTCTCGCAGAACTGCAATTCCTGTCCCACCGAGCTCGTTCTCGAGCGTGGAGAAAAGTGCCTCATCAGCTTCCTGGTCATGGAAGGGCTGGCCCGGCGTATCCAGCATGCTGATACCCGCCGCAGGTAAGATCACCCTTACTCGCTCCGGGCGAGCCACATGGGCCTTGAGCTTCTCCGCCATGAAACGGGCAATCCGCACACATTCCTCGGGCGTCGTCCGCATGAGCGTCACAGTCGGGTTATGCTCATACAGCAGCCGGTGACCGTCGCGGAACCGCTGTGGCACCGTCTCCCTTGGCCCGAAATTTACCATGTCACACGCACCCACGCTGATGATCTGCGGGAGGCCCGCTTCGGCCGCCGAGATGAGACGCCGCGGGCCCGCGGAGAGCACGCCGCCGACAACCTCATCGGGGATCTCGGTCGTAGTGAGATCAACCACGGCGTCCAGCTGGCCCTCGCGGATGAGCCGCTCCATTGCTTTCCCGCCGGCCCCTGTCGCGTGGAACACGTACACCTCGCAGTTGAGGGTCTGCTGTAGTCGTTCCCGGATGGTGTTCACCGCTGGTGTCGTTACCCCGAACATGGTGATGGCTATCTGTATCTTGTTGCTGCTATTGTTGCAGCGTGCTTGAATACTCTGTGCATACGACACAGCCATCCCGGTCACGGCTGCGGCGGCGTTCGTTAGAATCCGGTTGAGGATGCGGTTCGTGCCTGCGACGTCGACGACGCTGTACATGAGGGTTAGGTCGGTTTCCTCGACGTAGGGCGATACATCGCCGCTGGCCATGGTCGAGACCATGAGTTTGGGGAAGCCGACTGGGAGGGCGGCGCGCATGGCGGCGGCTGCGAGGGCGGTGCCGCAGGAGCCGCCTATACCCAGGACGCCGTGGATGGAGCCGTTACGATGGAGGGTGGTGAGGGCTGTGATGGCATGGGTGGTCATCCGGTGGATGTATTCTGAGCGGGGGAGATCCGATATTTTGGTGTCATTGTCAGTGCTGGTTAGGTCAGGATGTTTGATGGCGATGGAGCTGTGGGGGCATGGGGTACGGCCGATGTCCATGAGCTGGACGGCGCAGGTGTTGTGAGTGAGGAGTTGAGACTGCGTGAAGCATAGTTCGTCCCATTTGGTGTCGCAGGTTCCGATGAGGACGACGGTTGGCTTGGCCATCATGTTATACTCAAGGTTGTACTTGGTTTACCACCACCCGGTGTAATTGTACACTGAGCAGATAATCCAACCTGGCCATATTTCTATCTTTCAGATAGACCGGAGCAAGGTGGATTTGACTCCTCCTGCAGCTGCTCCAACTAAGCATCAATGACGCAGTGCAGGCGGGGTTGTCACACCATGCATCCGCATTTAATCTGCCTCCTTCTGTCTCTCCTCTATGCCTGCACATGAAAGAGCGGAAGCAACCTAGAAGCAAGATAATTTCACAATGCCTCGTCCAACAACCCGTCAAGAAGTGCTTGCTCGACTCCGCCAGACCATCGCCGAGGGCTCGATCATCGTCGGCGCAGGAGCTGGTTCGTCCCACTGCACTCACTCACCACCTCACGCCCAATCTAACTGATATACTCCGTACGATACGCAGGAATCGGGCTCTCCGCCAAATTCATCGAAAAAGGCGGCGCGGATCTGATCCTCGTTTACAATTCGGGCCGGTTCCGAATGGCCGGGCGAGGGTCGCTGGCAGGCATGATGCCATACTCGGATGCCAACCAGGTCGTCGTCGAGATGGTTCGTCTCACTACACTCTACAATTTCACTGCATAACTAAAAAAAGAAAAAACAATGGAAAGGCAAACGAAGTCCTCCCCGTAGTGGAACACACGCCCGTCCTCGCCGGCGTCTGCGGGACAGACCCCTTCCGCGACATGCGCTCGTTCCTGGCGCAGCTGCGCGGGCTAGGCTTCATCGGCGTGCAGAACTTCCCGACGGTCGGGCTCATCGACGGGAAATTCAGGCAGAATCTCGAGGAGACGGGGATGGGCTACGACCGGGAGGTGGAGATGATCCGGCTCGCACACGAGATGGATCTCGTCACGACGCCGTATGTCTTTACCGTCGACGAGGGGGAGCGCATGGCGCGCGCGGGCGCGGACGTCATCGTCGTGCATGTCGGGCTAACCACGTCTGGGACGATTGGGGCGCAGACCGCGCTGTCGCTGGATGATTGTGTTGGTGTTGTTCAGGAGATCCGCGATGCAGTTGTCAGGGTTAATCCTGAGGTGATTGTGCTGTGTCATGGGGGCCCATTGGCGGGTCCCCAGGACGCGGAGTATGTGCTGAGTCGGACGCGGGGGTGCATGGCTTCTTTGGGGCGAGTAGTATGGAGAGGTTACCGGTTGAGCTGGCGATCCAGGAGAATGCTCAGGCATTTAAGCGGTTGAAGATCCATCAGTGATCTGGTCAATAGTCGAGATATTGATGAACTGATATGAACCACCGGAGACCCAAACGGGAAATTCTCCGTGGTACAGACAGTGGAGACGTAGATCCACTGACAGACTCGGTTATTATCTTTCTATCCGCAGTCTACCCGTGCAACGTTACTCACTGGACTAAACTGTCTGGTGGGATGAAGCTGGATTTGTATGCTGTGGCCGCGTGATTATCTGTAGCTGTATTTAACGTGGGGTGACCCGCGACACTATGATTTGGACGGTTGCAACTAGAGACCTCTATATAACTACCTAGCATTTAATTCATTACCTTGAGAGCATATCCTTTTAATCATACACTCAGACTAACAATGTCGCGACCTTTGGAAGGAAAATTCGGTATCGTCACCGGGGGCTCACGGGGTAAGTCTACAAGTCTACAGTCTACACCATCTCGTCACAGGCTACAGCTAACGAACCAGGCATCGGCGAGGCAATCGCCCGGAACCTCGCCGCAAAAGGCTGCTCGCTCCTTTTGAACTTCACCTCTGAATCCTCCCGCGCTCGCACAGAGGAGCTCTGCGCCTCGCTGGCCTCAACGCACTCGATCCGCTGCGTCGCCGTGCAGGCCGACCTCCTCCACGCCGAAGAAGCCGTCCCCAGATTCTAGCAGCGGCCAAACAACACTTCACCTCGCCCGAAGGCAAGTTCCAGATCGACGTGCTCATCAACAACGCCGGCGTCAGCGCCGACCGCTTCCTCAACGACCCGGCAAAGGGCCCATCGACCGCGAGTACTTCAACTGGCACTACAGCATCAACGTGCTGGCCCCGCTGCTGCTCACGCAGGCCTGCGCGCCCTTCCTCCCCACCGACCGCTCTGGCCGCATCGTCAACATCTCCTCCGTCTCCTCGAGTATCGGGTTCGCGGGCCAGAGTGTCTACGGTGGAACCAAGGCCGCGATCGAGGCTATGACGCGCACCTGGGCGCGGGAGCTGGCCGACCGCGCGACCGTCAACGCGGTCAATCCCGGCCCTGTCATCGGGGATATGTATTTTGCGACCGGGGAGGAGTTCTGGAAGCAGATGCAGGGGTTCCAGGATGCGACGCCGCTGAGTAAGATGGTTGAGGACGATCCGCAGATGAAGGAGTTGAGTGAGGAGCAGATCCGCTTGATCAGGGAGAAGATGGGTGGGCGGCGGCCGGCGTTTACCAGTGAGATTGCGGGGGTGGTGGGGATGCTGTGTACGGCCGATGGTTTGTGGTGTACGGGGAGTGTGGTATGTGCCAATGGCGGCATGAAAATGGGATTCTAGTAGTCTACTCTCGTACATAGATCATCAATTGTTGTTGTACATATGCATCGAATTGTCTACCGAGTAACGGTGTCGAGGTGGTACATTGTCCCCTTGTAACGGGAACACGAGACGAAACAGTAACTGATGTCATCATCGTCAACATTCCTCACCTCCGCAGCTTCAACTCCAATTCCACCTCACCTCTCGTTCATCCATATTTCGTGGCGGATATTCGTGGCCGAATCAATTGATACAAAGAAAATGACTCCCCTCCGACTCAATCTCTCAACCCTCCGCTTAACCCCCGACTCGCCAAACCTCTACCCTCCCAGTCCCGCGTCCTCCGCGCCTCCATCACATCGTCCATCGCCCTCCGACCTCTATCCACCCATCCGTTGAGGCTACCACCCTTCGCAACTCGATCTTCGTTCGAGAAATCTCCCCCATCAACAAGACCCTTCTCCACCGGGAAATCCCAAGCAGACCTCCTCGTCGAAGAACTCCAAGAACTGTACTCCTTCCCTTCCCTTCCCTACCCCTTTCAATGCAAATGCAAATAATCTAACGAGAGAAGCTACGAAACCGCCAAAGACGAATTCGAAATCGCCACAGACAGCACCGCCAGCTCCACCATCTACGCCGCCTCGGACCGCGAGTCCGCCCGCGACGCCCTGAACCAGCTGCTTGCCGTGTACAGCCTCTACACGACCGATATCGCGACCACGGCCGAGTCGCATGCGCCGCAGCAGACGCAGCAGGGTGATACTGACGAGAGGGGGCAGTTGGTGAATACTAATTTCGATCCGGCGGATATCCCGGCGCGGGTGCGCGAGGAGGTGCGGAGACGGGTTGGGCAGCGGGTGAGGGAGTTGAGTAATGCTGTGGAAGTTTTGGAGGAGAGGGCTCATGCTGAATAACTGAAGGAGTCATTATAGCTGCTAGCTGCTAGCTGCGCTGCTGCCAGTATATACATTTCCATTTCATATCATTTGGTTGGTATCATCATTTGAAAGCAATCCCTCCAACGCCGGGTAATTGCATAGAATTGCATAAACTTTTTATACCCAGACTCCGTATACCGCCTTGTCTAACTCCAATGTGATGAAGAAAAGGTATTGATCAAACAGTGCCCAGGGGAAATGCGAAGTGGTCGGACAGCGGCGACGGTGATGGGAAGGCCGTGCTGTCTGCTTTGTGTGTCGTGCGCATATGCCGTTTCAATTGGTCTACAGACGGAGTCAGCACTGGCCTGCCAACCTGCCAAGGGTCAAGTAAAATAACGTACCAGGTCGAGTAAAGCTTTTGCTGCATCCAGGAAAATTGCATTTGTGTCTTCGTTCTCCGTGAGCTGTACTCGTTAGTCATGTACTACTACCAATAAGCGAGGGACATACTTAGCCGATGACTCGACATGTTGGACGACTGTAGATGTTAATATTAGTACATGCCTACATGCCATTCCCCAAAGGAAGCGACTTACATCGCCCGTCTGAAAGTTGCATCCGGGAAATGTGCACTTGAACGGTTTCTCGCCCGTATGCGTCCGTGAATGCGTTTCTATCGAGTCAGCATCCTACCAATGACACAGTATCAGGTAGCTCACTTAATTCACTGCTGTCGGTGAATGACTTGCCACATTCCGTACACTTGTACGGCTTCTCGCCTCGATGGCTTCGTTCGTGTCGCTCCAGCGTCGCTTGCCGAGCAAACAGCTTGCCGCAAACCGAACATTTGAAGTTTTTATCTGGAGAAATACTGTCAGATTCGGCTCGAACCCGACAAGCTTATGAACTTACAGTTACTGTGCGTCAGGAAATGGCCCTGCAGCTTCGACTTTTGGGAGAAAGGCTCGTCCGGGCGATGACATCCTTCCCAACAGCAATAGTAGCCGGTACCCTTTGCCCCTTCCACGGTCCACATATGGGTTGCAACTAGATGCTCCTGGAGCGCACAAGCCTCCGCAAATGTGGCTCCGCAGGATCTCTTGACACCATGGCTCGTGGTGGTCCATTTGCAAACATGCACCTCCCCGCCGACGGAAGAGAACCCCGGACTGGTCAATACCGATGAGGCACCACCCTCCAAAGGCGGGGGTGTCTCGCCCGGACTGGATGTCAGTTGCGAACTCACGCTCGATCGGGAATGGCGGGAATACGCGGAGTATGGTCCGTATGGGTGAACATGCGCGTGCGGGTGAACTCGACACCGATGATGCGACCGGCATGGTCCCTTGAGCGGCACATTCCCGTTGATATTGACTGACGCTTTGGACGAATCGTTGGGAGTGGGCGGTAGGTGAAAGCACGTGAAGGAGTCGTCCGACCGGTTGTCCAGTTTGCTTAGATGAATGTGGCAGTTCTGGTCCTCGTGGGTGTGGGGTTCAGGACAGGCAGCCACGCTGGGGCACATTCCAAGCATCTGGAATACATCCGCCGGATTGACATTATTAGGTAGGGGAAATGGCACATCCCCAAGGTGATTGTGCGAGTCCCGGGGTAGAGTATGACAGTGCAAGTGAGGATACGAAGGATGACAGTGATGGAACGTTGTTGGGAACGGAAACAGGGCGTCCGCGGACTGTGATGTGTTGACAAGGCCCGATGTGGCATTTTCTGTAGGTTTCGATGGCGGCGGCATTTGATTCTGATCGATGGTCGATGACGGAAGTAGGTCGCAGGCTTCCAGCGACAGCGGCTGCCCCAGTCCCAGCAGTGACTCTAGACTGTTATGATCGGCCGTCTGGCCGTTGTGGTCGGCGAAGCTAAAGCAGTGCTCATCGAAGCAGACAGCGTCCGTGCTTTTGCAATTCTTGTCGTCACAGTGTGATACAGAACAGGCAGTTGCCTCATCACATTCTCCGAAGCCGTCACAGACAGAAGGACAGTTGACGGAACAGTCATCAGCATCGCAACACGCCTCGTCAATTGTGGCACAATGCGTCAGCGAAGTGTGATGATGATCTTCGTCCAAACAACTCCATTCTGGCGGCTGAGCGGAGGTCTCCGCGCCGTCCTGGGAGTCCTTACCATCTAGATGGAAGGCCTCCCAGTGACATTCGAGGCAGAAATCATCTTTCTTAGTGTGGGAAGACATGGAGAGGGGAGATCCGCTGGCAATGAGATCTTCTCAGGCCTAAAGAATGAAGAATAGGGAACACGGTGAAGAGGAAACGAAACCAGGAGGGGAGATGATCAAGAGAAGTGATGATAGCACTGAGGACGTTTAGCAATTAGCACGACTCAGTCCCACATTGGCTGCATAGGGCAGGGCAGGGCAGAGGCAACAGGTACAAAGCGGCGAGCACCTACCACAATGCGATCAATCACTGCTGCAAACGCAATAATGGGAGAATTGAGTTAAGCTGAGAGAATCGTAGGAATGAAGCGATCGAGGCCAGAGCATAGGATTGACCGCCTGCAGTGTGCAAGTCGAAGAGGACCTTGGGAGCTTCCCACGTGTATATATTGGACGAAGTGTGACATCCAGATCTGTGCGAGCAACCTGAGGGAAATGGATCCTGGTAATACCCTGAGGGAAACAGGGACTACCTAGACATGAGGATTAGCGCAGGACTCGCATTTGAGCCTAGGATAATACGTACCTCAATAAGATTCTTTCATAAGGGGCGTGGGGTGCTACCTGACCCCATCCAGACACAGCGACTGGATACAATCAAACACGAGCGAGAAGGAGAGTGAGGACCCTGCGAGCAAGCACCTAATCTTTACTGAGGACCTTGGGGAAAAAGCGTCATGTCCGCTCCCCGCCGGCGAATCGTACCGCCTGAATTGTCAGGCCTGCAAATTATTATCTTCCCGTCCGCTTATCGTTGCCGACTCGCAAATCAGCGAGCAACACTGTTAACCGGAAAAATTCAAGTACTACGTGAGAGGTATTGGTCTCTTGAAAGCTCTTAACGATCACGCCAGTCGTCTACATTTACACTGCATCGAGAATAAATCCGGGTCTTTTCCATGGTTAAAGTGGAAAAATCCCTCCACCAGTGTCTGATTCTGCCCGATTATACCGCTTTGTGTTAGGTAATCGATTCCGATAAGATATCGACCCCTCAGGTACGCTTCATGGGTGCCTTGTTGCCTGATATACTTGCCAGGAGCTTGAACTGTATAAACTGTGGTTACAATGCTCTCTTTGTCTATGCTTACCACTAACTAGTAAGGTTCTTACCTTAACTTCTCAGGACTCGTAAGATTAGACTGTTTCGATTAGTCTCAATGAAGCTCGTCCCCCGGTCGATCCGTAGTTATCTGACGCCATTGCGGCTCGCCTTTGTTGAGTCTAAGAAGACTATTGTATCATTAAATCTTAAACCCACAGTATGAGGGAAATTTTCCGTTCTTGAGGATCTACTCCTACTATCTAGCTACTCATCTTTGGTGGCCCTGTTCTGTTCAGCAATGGCATGGTCCATGGCTGACTGACAGCCACGTGCTGACCGCCCCTGGTCTCCTCCGGATCGTCATTCCGCCCTGATCTCCACCAAGTCTCCAAGTCTCCAACATAACAGACACTCCGCACTTACACCACCAAGGGCGCCACTCAAATCAAGGATATCGGGTCTTCTCCTGTACATCGTAAACGAATTGCATCGCATCTCAAACGAAACCATCCGTCGCGCTTCGTAGCGCTGTTATTCCACATCCCCTGTCCGAACCACCCCCGCTCCACCCATCCTAGTCCATATCCATACCGTATCCCATCGCACCCGGCTCGTCACCACCCAGCACTACAACACCAATAACCCCAACCCAAAACAAATGGGCAACCTCTGCTCCACCTCCAAAAACGAAGCCGAGCCCTTCTCCCGCCCCGGCCGCGTCCTCGGCTCACCCGCCAATCCCCGCCCAACGCCGCCCCGCGCGCCCCGCTCCCCGCGAAATCAAAGGCGCCGTTCAAGTCACCGGGGAGGACACTAGGCGAGGCTGCGCCGGAGGTTCCGGATGCGGAGCGGGCTGATGCGCGGACGAATGCTGCGATTGCGGCACAGGTGAGTGTGACAGCCCTTGATGCATGCATGCCATATAAAGGTGGCTGGCTAACTGGAGGGCGCCAGAAACGAGCTGAGTCGGCGGCGAGTGCGCAAAAGGGGAAATTAGGGTCGAAACTGGCGGCGCAAAAGGCTCAGACCCAGGCGAAGACCTTGAGCGAAGTGAGTAGGGAGCAGACTGCTGCTAGGCATATGGATGAGTCGAGTGAGGCGAGGAGGTGGAATTAGTCTGAAAGAAGTCATCGACCTACATGACCTACGTTGAACTTGTTGGTGTTTCTTGGAGTATACTGGCGTAAATATCACTGTATAGATCTTGATGTTTCTTTACTCATGCTTATACTGCTTACACATTATGAATCGAGGCACTTGACAATGTATGTCTATAAACATCAAACCATAACGAATATGATACAGACCAGCTAATGGTGTAGTCTTAGACAACGTTGTATCGTCCTCCCACTGGTGCTCTTGCGTCGCTATCGGCAGCGGCCAGGGTGCCCTCTTTGAGCAACCGCATCAACTCCCGCATGGCATTCGTCACGGTGAGTTCCGTTTCACCTTCAACAAGGATATATAGCTTCGGGTTCTCGCCCGGGCCAGGCTCCTTGCCGGCAGGATAGAAACTTCCTTTGGTGGTGATAGAGGTGCCAGTAGCCTCCAGAATCTTGGCCACGTTCGTACGGTTGGTAACGGCCCAACGAGCTTTTTCTGTAGTGCGAAAACCTATTAGCAACTCCTCTCTGATTGAATATTGCAGGGAATAACTTACGAGGAAAATCGTTGATCTCCAACGTTGCATGGAAAGCTCCCGCATCGGGTCCGCGGTTATCGATCGGCACCCCAGACCGCATGACTCCAGCACGGCTGAGACGGGCATGGATATCAGCGACCGCCGAGCCCACCTTGTCCAATGGGTTCTTCGATGCGCCCGCCGGGTCTTTCTCGGTCCTGTGCACCGTAATCTTACCATCAAGATCGATACCCTTGGGAACACCGGGCAAGGGAGTTGGTGCAGCGGCGGCGGCGGCAGATTGCACCGAGGACATAACTTTGCTGAACCGCTCGTCCGCCTTCTCGGCCTTGTCTTCCTTTTCTTCTTCATCTTCACCCTCCTCGCCTGTCTTGTATGTCCGCCGTTCTCGCATCCGAGCTGCATCTCGCTCCTGGTCGAGGCGCTCCAGACCCTTTCCACCGAATCCAGAAGCGCTGGCTTTCTCCTTGCCCGCTTTAACCTTCTCCAAAAAGGAATCGACCATCTTCTGGACGGGTTCAGGCACCTGCTGTCCGCTCTGCTTTAAAGCCTTGGCGATATCCACCGAATACCTCTCTTGTTCTTCGGTCAGGAACGTGACTGCAGTTCCCGTATTGCCAGCACGGCCAGTTCGTCCGGCTCGGTGAACGTAGTCTTCCAGATGGTTAGGCGCATCGTAGTTAACAACGAGCTTGAGCTGCTTCACGTCTAGACCTCGGGCAGCGACAGAGGTGGCAATCAAAACGGGGAAGATTCCGGCCTTGAAATCTTCAATCGTAGAATCTCGGTCAATTTGGTCTTTGCCTCCGTGAATAGACATGCAAGGATAACCCTTGCGCATCAGCTCTCGGAGGAGAGTATCCGCAGCTTCTTGACGGTCAACGAAAATCAAAGCACGTGCATCCTCGTTGGCGTCGTCCGAATACAAGTTGCCTAAGATCTCCAATAGTCGTACAAACTTTGTGTCTTCGTTGCGCACCTCCACAATCTGGGTGATCTCAGGAGCGACAACGCTTTTGCCACCGACAGCAATCTCGATCGGCTTGGTCAACGACTTACGGGCCAAAGCCTCCATGTTCCGAGGGAAGGTGGCCGAGAACAGCACCGTCTGTCGATCAGGTCGGATATTGGCCATGATCTTCATGACTTGGGGCTCGAAGCCCATATCAAACATGCGATCCGCCTCGTCCAAAACAACATAAGTGACTCTTCGCAGATTAGTAACTCTGCCCGCATTCGCCGCCAGCAGGTCAATCATCCGTCCCGGTGTACACACAGCAATCTCGGCACCACGCTTCAGTTCGGCAATCTGGTCCTTGATAGGAGCGCCGCCATAAGCACAAACGGCCCGGAGATTCAACGCCTTCAAAAAGGGCTTGCAATCCTTGTGGATCTGAGTCGCAAGCTCACGTGTCGGTGTCATAATAAGCCCAATAGGTCCTTCCATGTTCTCCAGCGGCCGTTGGTCTCTGATATGTCGGAACATAGGAATCAGGAAAGCAATTGTTTTACCTGATCCAGTCTTGGCCACACCGATCACATCGCGGCCAGACATGATCGCAGGAATAGCCTGCGATTGAATTGAGGTAGGATTCTCGTAACCGAGTTTATGTATAACATCCAAGGTCTGCACGCCCAACCCGCACTGGGACCATTTCATAACTGGTTTGGGCACGTCAACTCCGCGCACTTTGATTCCGTCAAGTTCCAGCCGTAGGCTGGCAGCTTCTTCGTCGGTCATTTCAGCCAAGTTGGAAGGCTCGTTGTAAAACTTCTTACGGAAGGGCTCGTATTCCATCTTCTCATGGTCAACGGCCGGGATGTCCTTCTTCTTCTTAGCTTTGTTAGCAATCGCAAGAAAGTCATCAGCGTCACCCTCGCCCACAGCGGTCAAATCCACATCGTGGTCGTCGCCGAACATCGCCTCGGGCTGCTGTTCCTTCGCTTTGGCAAATCTGGCGCCAGTTGTCTTCTTTGGTGGAGCGGTCTCGGCCAGTTCCGACATGAAAGCATCCAGTGGGTCAACTTCCTCCTCCGCTGCATCAACCTCCATTTTCTCGGATTCTGGTTGGTGAGGGACGTCATTCATCTCGACATCACCGTTGGGTTGAGGCGCAGCCTCTTTTGACTGGGCCCGCAGAGCCTCACTCTGCAAGCGTTCTTCGCGCCGTTCCGCAGCAGCTCGTGCGGCAGCCGCATTCTCCTCCTCAGTCCCACCGTCCTGCATGTCGACATCATCTTCATCCTCTACGGCGGCATCCACAGCCGCCGTCTCGTCTTTCGCGTCCTCTAGTGGAGGGGTCGGCAAACGCTCCAATTTCTTTCGTTTGGATTCCTCTTCACCAAAACCGAGAGTCTTAACTGCTGACGATTTCTCGGCATCTGCAACTTGCTTGGCGCCTAACCCGAAACCGCCAACATTCCGTTTTGCTGTCAACGTAGCTATACAAGAAATGATTAGCAATTTGAAACAATCTTATGGTGGGAATAGATAACTTACATGGAGCGGTGCTGATGGCGGCTGGAGGTTTGTTAGCTTGTACATGATTATTCATGGAGGATAAGGAAGCGGACGCTTTGGCAGACTGAGGAACGGCAACGTCGTTACCAAGCACAGCAGGTGCACTTGGGGCCGGTGCCGCATTTCGTACAATAGCCTTCGGATCAAATTTGCCAGCATATGGAGCAGGAGTGGCATCTGTGGTAGGCGTCGCTGGGGATTGCGGAGAGCCAACAGCCGGGGATAAACCCGATTTTCGATCTATCTCCTCCAAGATACTTCTTGCTCCGCCAGCTGCAGCGGCTTCACGCTGCTTTCGTTCTCTCTCAGCAGCTTGCTTTTGCTTCCAGGCTTCCAATTTCGCCAGCCTTTCAGCTCTTTTCTCGTCCTCGGTTGGAGCTGCGGGCGCAGGGGTGGATGGCTTCGAGGTCTATTCACTTATTAGCATCGGATTCATAGATATTTTCAAAAGCATTATAAGTCAAACTTACTTCTCGCGACTTGGGATCCAGGTTTCTCGTCCGACTATCGTCCCGTCTAGACTTGTGCTTCAAGTCAGCAGAATCGTCTGTTCGCCTCCGAGCCCGGTCGCGGGAGTCATCTCGCCTGCTTCGATAATCTCTTTCGCGACTTTTCCGGCGGTGATCCCGGTCATCGCCTCTATCTCTTGATCGGCGTCGATCGCGAGAACGATCCCTCCGGCTTGGTCGATAGCTATCTTCATCCCGATGATCATCGCGTCTGTCTATGGAGCGGTCACGTCTCCGGTATGAATCACGGTCGCGGTCGCGGTAACGTCTCTATGAGAGTCGTGAAGTTAGGATGACGATAGCCAAATAAAATTGCGCGATTGAAACGGCAAGAAACATACCTCAGGGCTACGAGATCTTCGATAACTCCTCCCATCATCTCGCCTGCTCTTCTCGTAGCGATCATCATCTCTGCGACTCCGTCTGGATGAAGAAAACGTGCTGCCTACAGGTGATGGTGAGCGAGTATCCCCGTGGCGAGCCATTGTTGCAGGCCAACGATGAGTGAGTATTACTGAAACTCCAAAGACTCGAGCACGTAGTCAGAAAAGTAAAGCAATTTATTACCCTTCCATCGGGTGTTGAACTGTTGTTGACGGGCAATCAATAATCGGCACTGGTAGTGAGTGAGTTGGTGGCAATGTAAGTGATTGGTTTTCGCTGGCGGCTGCGGTTCTTCTTTTAAGTCTATCTTGAAGTAGTGTCAATCGTCCATGCCCGCAGCAGGTCTCACGTGATGCAATGTAAGGATCTACATCACGTGATGTACTATCCCAATTCGGAATTCCCCAAACGAACCAAGGACGTGACCCAGCCCCCGGTTTCATCTGAGGAGCTAACCACACCACTGCAGCCAAGAGCTCTTGCTTAGCTAGGGAGACCTGCCCATCTTACTGCGATTCCTGGATTACTCTTCCACGTCAACTCTTGGGATATTGGTGCGCATAACTTTGCTGTGAGTCTCAGAATCAATGCCTCGTAATATAATCCAAGGCGGAGGCGGCATCCTCCGATACCTTCATCGCAGCAATGCCTTGATTCGTCCCTCTCGCGTGGCCATCGCCAATGGCCTTGTCCGGCGCATTTGTCTCTCTACGAACCGTCATCTCGTGAACCCGACTGCGAAAACAACAATCCGTCCTTCAGTCATTCTATCGCGGCCTTTAATCAACTCCTTTGCGACTACAAGTACTCCCGATGACGAGACCGAGACAACAAAGTCGAAAGGATCCAAGACTGGCAAGAAGACCACAAAGACGCGCAGCTCGAAAGCCACGGCTAAAGCTAAGCCGAAACCCGCAAGAAGTTGACGGACAAGCAGAAAGAAGCCAAGAAAGCTGAGAAGATGAAGGAACTGGTCAAGCAGCTTAAGAAGACAGCGCTGGAACCCCCAAGAAGCTGATCGAGAATCCTTGGAATCTCGCCATCGCGACGGTCGCCAAAGAGATTCAGGCTCGCGGCGTCAAAGGACCAGACTTCGTCATGCAATGTTCCCAACTTGCACAGACGATCAGTGCGGAAGAGCGCGAGGTACGTTCGGGATAGATCAAGCCACCACTGTACAATCACTGATGATGTACGATTTAGCGTATTGCGGTCGAGGCAGAAGCCAATAAAGCTGCCAATGCGGCAGCTTATGAGGCATGGATCCAACAGCACACTCCTCTTCAGATCAGAGAAGCCAATGCAGCACGCCGCAGACTCAACAAGATTAAGAACACATCTCTTCGACTTCTCCATGACGATCGGCAGGTCAAGCGGCCTCGTACGGCATACCTACTTTACATGCTGGACCGGACTGCCGAGGGCGACTTCAAATATATGAAGGCCAAGGATATCGCAGTGCGCGTAACAGAGGAATGGAAAGGCCTGACATCTACGGAGAAGGAGGTATGTTTGGCTCTGTCTTTCAGCTGGCAGCTCTGAACCGGAGATCAATGGAGCTAACGCAGCCCTTCTAGAAATACCTCAGACAAGCTGAAGAGGATCGTGAGCGGTACCGCCGAGAATACCTTGAAGTCTACGGCGAAGAACCATCAACTTCTCGCTCAACAACCGCGTCTCCAAGTCCTTGAGCTCGATGCTTTTACTGAAGGATACCGTCACTTCACCTCATGGGATCGTCGCAATTCGTCATTGAATTTCGAATGCGGGAAATGATCGTCTATTGTATGGCTTACATGTATCTCGTGGGTATCTTCGTTTTGTCTGTGCCCTTTATCCGGTGTCCCTTTTTCACTGCGGTCTCTCTTGATACACCTCGGCCAGCTGTCTTATTCTGTACTTTATTGATTCCTCTGATCCGTGGGTTATGTGCGTTCGCGATTACTGTAGACAATGATATTACGGTCCTGCTTGCTCTCGACACACATAAGCACGTATGACCGCGTCTCATTGCAAGAAAGACTTAGTGCCCTCAAGATACTAGTTTCGACGGGTAAGTATAGTAGGTAGTATCGGCTCTGCAAAGCCACCAACAAGGTACTCCATCCTTCAGCTCTACTCCTGCAGCGGTGGGACGTGACTAGTGCAGAGTCTATTTTGGAGACTGCAGTCTGCGGCAGATAGGTCTCTAATTTACGGACTGGATTTGACCAAGCCTTGTTGTCTTATGTGCTTGAAGCAGGCGAGGATGGTATATGCATGTATGCTTTGGAGCAATATTGAGACCCAATTCAGCTCACAGGATTCTTTGATGAGATATTTGTACTCTATTCACTGACATTGCAGGTGTATCTGGAGGAATTGCGAATTGCATATCTTCACATCCCCCGGTGACCAGGTATTGCTCCTACTTCAGAGAGTATCATTACATAGTGATATGTACAAAGTGGATCCATCGACCGAGACTGGTCCTGCTTTTCCGCGGTCTAATCCAGGTCCGGGATACTGTACGGAAGTTCACCACTCCCTCCTCTCAGCGTCGTCTGCCAAGATTCACCCGACTCGTGCGCCTCACGTTCATATAGCTTCATCCCCGCCGGACTTGACACCATGCGGTCCAGCGCCTCGACCACCCGTAACTCCCAGTCGATTTTGGTGCCCAGTTCCCGCGCCAGCATATTGCAGTGGACCATTATCCGCCAGCAGTGGTCCAAATGCCGCCGTAGCTGCCTGCGGTTCCGTCGATGAAGCGGATCATGTGGCACCGGGAGCCACGAACGCGAACGCGAGCGATCATACTCTGTGCAGGCCGTGATCTGCAGAACTAGCTCCTGTGGCAACCTCTTCGCCCGAAGATACGCTTCAACCCGCGCCACGTCGACGGCGCTTCGGGTCTGATGCTGGACACCGGCGGCTCCCCCCTTCCCGCAAGCCAAGAACGCCTCGAAAGGCAGTTTGCCATAGGGGAATTCTACGGAAAGCTCCGAGATCTGTTCTGGCGTTTTATTCGACCACCAGCCGGCCGTTGCCAGCTCCTCGCGCAGCTGGGCAAGGACGGGCCGATCCCAACCGCGCGCGATCTTTAACGAGAAGCTGAAATTGCCATCCAGGCCGAAAAATTGCCGGTGAGGGTGGCGCGAGACGTCGCTTTCCGACCCGTCGTCGGTCCAGAGCTTGACAGTCTGCTGATACATCCGCGTGGCGCGGTACTCGTCGGTCCGTTTCTTGTTTCGGGCTTGCCGGGACGCAGGGTCCCAGAGCTCGGGAAAGCAGTAAAGGATGTTGAGAAGGAGGTAGATGTTTAGAGCGCCTTCAAAGACTTGGTTCCAGCCAAGATCCGCTGCCTATAATCAGTTAGACGAGCTGCCCATTTTTTGACATTGAAGAAGGACTACAGGACCAGGCCTGGAAAAATACGCCCACTCACCATACATTGACAATGACGCACAAGCATCGATTCCTTCAGATTGTTATCTGGTGTCGCGCACAGTCGCAGCACCGTATCCATCTCCCCCAAAACAAGGAGTGCGTCCAGCACCTGCAAATTGTAAAACACCTCGGTGTTTTCGTCATAAAAACCGTAGCAACTGTTGTTACGGTACGACCGCTGGAAAGCGGCTCCCTTCCGTTCGTGGTAGGGCAGGGAACACCCACAGGCAAAGCTCTCGCTGTCAACATGTCGGCACAGCCCTTCTGTCTTCCGGACCTTATCCTCCAGCGGCCAGTCGTAGGCCTTGCACCATCGGTGGGCGAGGGGGCGGATTTGCTCCGCCACCTGGTTGCTCAGGACCAGCTCTTCCGGCGTGAAGGGTGAGTATCGGTCGGGATATTTCCGGCGCTCGTCCTCCGTATGTTTTTGGAGGGTCCTCACAAAGGATTCGATAAAGGAGCCGATCTCCTGCCCTTGCGTAGGTTTGAACCGAAAGTACAGATTGGAGACTAGGTCTGCCGCGGGGTAGGAGGGAGAGCGGTGGATGAGATTAGCAGCTAGGATGCTCCAGTTGATGTTGTGCTCTTCGTGTGCCATTGTCGTCACCCTGAACTTCTACTTTGGAATAGACGGCCTTGGGTGAGCAACTGAGCATACATGTGCGGTTTTACCGTACGCAAAAAAAACTACGGTACGATCGCACGGTAGCTGGACGACAGTGTCACAGCCGATGCGATTGAGCGTATCCTCACCCTAGATTGTTGAGTTTTGTTGAGTTTGACCGACCGTGTGAGTTAAGTGAGTCAAGTACCAGGTATATATACACTCCGTAGGCAGCGGTCTGATCAAGTCGATGTCTCGGAATAGAGTCGTGGATAAGATTAAGCTAGGTAGTTTTGAGACTCCGATCAACACTAAGAGGCAGTATGAATCGGAAGGCCAACACCGCCTCATCGTGACCAACATAGTCGACAGGAACTAATGAACAATCAGGTTAGTATGAAGAGGAAACCGACAATGACACAGACAAAAGGCTCTCCCAAGACGGTTCTAGATACAGAGCGCCGCTGCCTATAAACTAACCAAGCCTATGTCTGTATGAGATGGTGAAGCTAAAGGATTGCCCATTCTTTGCAGAAGTCGATCATGATGCCAGGCCCCTTCATCTGTTGATGAATGTCATAATTGTGCAAGAAACTGGTTACAGCGTCAACATGACCGGTGTTCGCCCAGTTAAGAGTAGTTGGTAGGGACGCTGAATAAACCACCTGAGTACTGAGCAGGGATGGCTCGGAGAATCAGACTACGCTGGTGGCGCAATGTGCGCGGCATGATGAATGGGTTGATAGCAATTGCCAAAATCTCTCGGGCCAGGAGGGAAAGCGCAGAACCAGAATGTTGAAGTGCGCAGCAAAGTTGAAGCAGTGATGGAAGGCGACTTTAAAGAACACGCACGCCAAGTCCAGCGGCAAGAGGGCGCTTTTCTCGAGTAAGGGTAGGGAGGGACGTTATACCTGTTCCAGTAATTCGCCGTCACCGCAAGACTACCTTACTGAGTACCTTAGGAAAGCTGACCAAATCTAATCAATTACCTTATTGTAGTAGAGTTGGTCCGCATTGTAGACCAACCAACCAGAATAGATGGATGCAGCGAGTTCGTGAGGACCGCCGGGATCAATATATCCGTGTCTGGTTAGTCCAAGAACGCCCAAGGTCGATATATTGTATGACGTTTGCGAGTCTTTGCCTATTGAGGGAAAGCCAGATAGGGACCTTATGGACTGGGGGATTACATTGTATCTGTTAATGCTCCCTGACGCGCTGCGTCTTTGCTCGTTCTCTTTGCTTCTTAGAATCCCTGTGCTTTCTATATACTCCATATCTTTCTCTCTCTCCAGCTTCGACTTCACTACGACAAACTTACAGTGAAATTGAGCAACATGCCTTATCTTAGGGATTATCAGCAGAGGAGAACGAACTATCGTGCTCGCAATGTAAGATACGACTTTCAGCTCTTCTGTTATTGCTTGACCCTGTCAACATCTCTGTGCACGTCGTTTCCAGGGACAATGGCAGAAGTGAAGCCTGGGAATAGGACAGTTCAGAGGCTAACTGATACAGACCGGGCAGGACTCTGATACGGATGACACACACAGTGTGCATTCTTCGCTCAGTCATGGCGCAAGTACTCTGTTCAGTCACGATGACCGTTCCTCTGTTTCTTCAGGACCAGCATCTGTGTCATTAGTGCATGCCCTACATCACCGAGGTGAAGGGCTCTCTTTTCGACCTGAAAACGTCTACCCAGACCGTTTCACACTGGCGGACATCGAGGTGCCCCGAGGTCCGTGGGTGTACCTTGCGTGCCCAGGGTCCAGGCGCAAGTGTCCACATTGCAAAGTTCATGTGAGCCACAGCGACCACATCGTGGTCGCAGTTGACGGAGCATGCTCAAAGAACGGCAAAGACGGAGCTCGCTCATCGTATGGGGTGTTCTGGGGTCATAACAACGCGCTGAACACCGCTGTGCCCGTTGAGGGAGAAGGACACCACACGAACCAGGTAGCCGAGCTACGGGCTTGCATGAGAGCATTGCTGGACGTGGTGCACGTCAAATCTCTCTTTGAGGGCCAAGGGATCACTCTTAGCGCGGTTGTCATCAAGTCCGACTCGGAGTATCTGGTCCGCGGCGTCACCGAATGGCTCCCCAAATGGAAGAGGAACGGATGGAAGAACTCCAGGGGATTGGATGTGGCGAATTGGGAACATTTCAAGGCGATTGAGCGTCTCACGGAGGATTTGGAGAGACAAAAATTAACCATCAAGTTCTGGCATGTACCTCGGAGGAATAATCGCGATGCAGATGCTATGGCGAAGGCCGTCTTGAGGGGCGCCTGGAACCGGGGATTGGGCTTGCTCCGCTCATTCTAGGGCATGCCTTGTGGGTCTGGACATTGTATAACTTATGAGTGCTCCTGGGTTATGCGGAGGCGATCTTTTTCTTGAAACGGAGTCATGTTAGTGGGGTGTAGATGTGTTCACGGATGCGCTAGAGACTGAACCAGAACGTGAAGGCCTTTATGTACGCATATTTATCCCGTACTTCTTCCTGGTCTTCAACAACAAGAAAGAAATGACTAGCAATTGCATTGGTCCAGTTTTAACAACCTGGGATGCCTGATGCTAAAACTGCAGCCGAAGGATGGTCGTGAACTTGAAGGCCAAATTTGGCTTCACCGACAAAGCAACAACAGGGGTATCGTGACCGTCCTGTCTGCTCAGACGCGCCATACAGAGGGACCCACATTCTAACTGTACCTCTATCCAAGTTTCGAGCCTAGGGTGCATATAGGTCCGCGGTGGGGGAGAACGGGAATGGCCGTGCCATGCATGGTTTATGGGGAGACTGCCTGAGCGATGCTCGATCTGTCACTGTCAATAGCAGGAGTCAATGCTCAAGCACAGCGGGTGGTGATGAGTTAGGCTTTTAACTACTCTGTTCTCGGACATCGTAAGGAGTTGTTACTAGCCTCGAGGTACAGAGGACAGACTCATAGTCGTAGAGAGCTACGTAGCAGATATGGCTGCCAGTAAGCATGATGATGGGTCTCGAATGCCAACACGCGCTCTCATAGGTGGAGGCAAAGTCTTCGCCTTCGATGCGGTGAAGAAAATGGACAACAACAGAAGCTCAGAAACCCGCCAGTCTTTACAGTTATCCGAGGATGTTTGACTGAGGACGAATGGAAGTCGCCAGATGTTGTTTTTTTTAATCACTCTGCTGCCCGAAATCCTCGTTGCATGCATTAGGGACTTGTTGTTCTTTCCGGAGGGGCTGTCCAAAGGAGATTCTGGTCTGTAGAATGTGAACGATGGAAGCATTTCATGGGCGGTTCTCTCGCGCTTTCTTGGATCAGCATAATAATATCATTGTCTGGTGTTTAAGTAAAGTAAGTGTGGTTCCATGTATCGAGGCCGTGAAGTTGTATGGTTCTGTGGAATTCTCCACTATGTCCCAGGGTACTAGTACTGTAAAGTCTGGAAGCCTGCAAGTAGATGACTCCGCAGTAGGAAAAAGAACAACGCAAACTTGCCAGGGCTCATCTACGCTGTATATTGTTAATTAGCACATATTATTATTAAGATACTTCAAGTGAAAATGGTATATAGAATTAGGTCGTCTCCATCCATATATATATATATATATATATAACTTCTTGTCTAGATACTCACTCTTGCATACTTCATACTACACCAGTACACTATCAATTTCAAGGAGGGGGGCATCCGTTATCGATAGGATCTCCCTCCCACCGCCGGCATTCCACCAGCTGTGTGAGTTGCTCGTGCCTGCGTGACTCTTCATCTTCCCTGCTCATAAGACCCCAGCCTGTTACAATTCGGAGCTTTTCTCCCATCTCTGATTTGATTGAAAAGTATCTGCTAACCGGATGCAAATTCCTCCAGTTCTCCCGAGGTAGACCAGCGCTTGTCCCCGTTGGTCCTCCATTCGACCATTCCCCAGCCACCACTTTACAGATTTTATACCCCCGTTCACAATACGCAGTACCTACATCAGCAGTTCTTCCCGTTCTGTGAATGGACACGCTGATCAACGTGCATTGACTGAGACGATCAGGCCGAAAGGAGTAAAAAAAAGCAAAGAAAGGTCAGAGATACTCGAAAGAGGGGAACATACATACAAAAAATTTTGATGTTTCACGCAAACGCAAAGTCCGCCTCTGAAAACTGAATATACATCTGCTGCGTCCTCAACGTATCGCAGGCTGTCTAACTGACCCGCGTACTTCGTACATTAGTTCGCATTCCTAGCCCCAGTCCATCCCATACCAGTTCGTCCAATCCCGACGTGATTTTCTCGAGACGATCTTCAAATAGCTCTGCTCTCCTACGTTCCTTCCCATCACTTGATGGTCACGAATCACGACGCTTCACGGCCATTTGTCATATCCTTGTGACTGCGACTGCTATCTACTCCCTGGTGCTTTTTCTTGCTGTTCTCCTTCAACTCTTGCGCCTCGCATTCCCGCCATTGAACTTGCGATCCGATCACATTCTTCGCCGCCTGTCGCAAATCATAATCCCAAATTACTTCATGGTTTTGCGTTCCACATAGTGCAACCTTGAGCGGGTAGCCTTTTTTTTTGGTCCTTTGTACAGGGAGGCTTTCTCGTTTTCGCCATCTCACTTTTACGCTCGTTTTCTCTCATATTGTGTCGATTGACAATATATTTGAATTCTGCGCTTGTCAGTCGTTCAGAGCAAATCTGAGTTGCCTCGACCGAGGCCGGTATATCCTCGGTATCCATGAGTTTACTATAACTACTAAGTGACGGGCTACCGTTCGACAGTCGGTCGCCTCGCAGCATGGAAGGAGTCCGTATGGTTCCTAATGCTAGGCTTGCAGCGGATTTTGGAGCCAGATTACTCCCATCAATCCCTGAGCACGACATCCTCAGCCATGACTTTCCCAACGATAGGCTTTGGCAACAGGACCGGTTTCCGAGTGCTGATGCCAAAGGCAGGATTGCAACACGCCAATTAGGTGCTCGCCTGTTAGGCCCTGAGAATGAGTATGAACGGCGCCTATTGATATCTGACCTTAAGGGCATCCTCGACAAGGTAGGTGTTTTCTCCGGGTTCCTTCCAGCCCTAACCGTGAGGCCATCCTGTATCATCTTGAATCGAGCGTTAGTACTAACTGGCAATTCTTCTGAAAGGAATCGACGAGACCTCTAAACTATCTCTTAAAAGAGAGTCTAGCTTTCGAGTCGGGCCTTGAGATATGGGATCTGCCAGACTACGGTCAACCCCCTCCGTCGTACCAGGATGCGGTTAATGACCTACCTCCTGATTATGACTCACTCTCCCCTCTAGCCCGACAGAAAGACCTGATTGACGAGTCAGCGCCAGATAGAACCCCGGGTGATTTCGAGGACAACTATTCTTCTCGGCCTATTGACTTCGACGATCCAACCGGTATCCGAGAATACAAAGGAGGAAAAAAGAAGAAGAAAGGAGGAGGCGGTGGAGGTGGAGGTGGAGGCGGAGGCGGAGGCGGAGGGGCACCACCGCCGCAAGAGACTACACCACCACCAGAGGATAACAGTGGAGAGCAGCCGAATGAAGGTGGAGACGCCGGACAGAACGATGGCGATGGAGGCAATGATGGCGGGGATCCTGGCGATGGGAACAATGGAGGTGATGGAAATGGTGACGGCGGTGACGGAGGCGATGACTGGGATGCTTGGAACACCAGCAGCAGCAAAAAGGATAAAAAGAAGAAAAAGAAGGAAGAGGAAGAAGAACGGAAGAGGAAAGAAGAGGAGGAGCGGCTAGCTAAAGAGGAGGAGGGACGGAAGGCGAAAGAGGAAGAAGAACGAAAAGCAGCCGAGGAAGCAGCGGCTGCTCAGGCCAGTCTCAATTGGGCTGATGAAGCTGACGGAGGTGGTGACGATTCCTGGGCAGGGTTTGCCACAGTTGGGAAGAAAAAGAAGAAGAAGGGAAAGGTATGGCATGTTCCAACGGCCCTTGGGGCATCGTCTTCTAATCCATGAGCAGGATGTCGATCCGCCCGCCGTCGAGGCACCGTCAAACGGCTTTCAGGATGTCAGTCTGAATGATAGTGGGGTCCCTCAGTTAGATCTGAATCTTGACCCTCCTGCAGGCAGCAATGGTGGTGTTGGCTTCGGTTTCGGAGGATGGGGCAAGGATTGGAACACCGGAAGTAAATGGGGTCTCGACGCTCTCAATGTGAATGGCAACGCCAATGCCGATAGTGGAAAGGGTACCAACCCTTGGGGTGCCATTGGCAGTAAGAAAGACACCTCAAAGACCCCCGGTGGTTTTGATTTCGGGGACTTTGGAGACTCGGGCGATGCCGGGCAGAAGAACCCTGCTGCAGAAGAGAAGAAGCCCGAGGAGGATATTTGGGCCGATTTCGCGCCAGTTAGCGCCAAGGATAAGAAGAAGAAAAAGAAAGATGTTGTGGAGGAACTCCCCAAGGAACCCGAGCCTGAGCCTGAACCGCTACCAGCTCCTGAACCAGCACCTGCGGTAGATGATAGCTGGATGGCCGGTCTTTCCAAGAAGGAAAAGCGAAAGGCGAAGAAAGGTGCCAAAGTCGCCGAGGAGCCACAGGCCCCTGAGCCTGTCATTGAGGAACCGAAAACAGACAACGTGTGGGGCACGGCTGAGGAAAAGAAGGAGCCAGAAAAGGCTCCTGAAGTGGCCGATGATAATGACTGGGGCTGGGGTGTTTCGACCAAGAAGAAGGACAAAAAGAATAAAGGCGTACTGGAGACAGTCGCTCCCGTGGAGTCTCCCGCCCCTGAACCTCCCGCTCCCGAGCCTGCCCCGCAGAAGACGATTGGGGAATCGCTTGGGGATCAGTCGGCAAGAAGGACAAGAAGTCCAAAAAGGGAGCGGTTGTCGAAGAGCCTGCACCTGCCGTTAAAGAAGCGCCCCCTGAACCGCAACCGGAACCTGTACCAGAGCAAAAGGCACCTGATGATGCTTGGGGAGGCTGGGATGTTCCCAAGAAAGAGAAGAAGAAGAAGAAGGGGAAGGCGGTTGAGCCTGAGCCTGAGCCCGAGCCTGAACCTATTCCTGAGCCTGAGCCTGTACCTGAACCTGAACCTGAGCCCGAGCCCGAGCCCGAGCCCGAGCCTGCGGCCGAACCTGAACCTGAGCCGGAGCCGGAACCTGAACCTGAAAAGAAAGCCCCTGGATTGCCCGATGACCCTCTTTACGACAACTGGGTAAATTTGTCGTCAAAGGAGCGGAAAAAACGCGAGAAGGCATTAAAAAAGAAAGGCCTTCCGATACCTGGAAAAGACATCGAGATTCTTCCACCACCAGAAGCAGAGCCCGCGCTAGAAGCGGCTCCTGAACCCGCTCCTGAACCTCCTGTGGAACCTGAGCCTGAGCCAGAACCTGAGCCGGTCGTTGAACCACAACCAGAGCCTGAGCCAGTTGCCGAACCAGTACAGGAAGAACCTGTAGTCGAGGATAGCTGGGGTATCTGGACCTCCTCAAAGGACAAGAAGAAGTCCAAGAAGAACAAGATTGCCGATGACCCGCCGCCCCTGCCCCAACACCTCCCTCACTAGGCTTGGATCCCGACCCCCTGTTCCGGAAGAGGTGGCGGAGGATCTCCTATGCGATGATGGCACCAAGCCTTCTAAAGGAACCAAAAAGGGATCCTTTGGCGTGGATGAAACTCCCACTAAAGCAGCGAGGGGATTTTGGGCGACGCTCGGTGCAGCTACAATGGGCTCCAGACCAAAGGCTACAAGGAAAAAATCAGAGGAGAAGCCAAAGCTCATTGAACCTGCAAAGGAACCTGAGCCCGACCCGGAACTACCTGTACCTGCCCCGGAGCCCCTTGCTGATCTGCTTGGGGACATTGGGCATGCACCAATGCCTGAAGCGCCCGAGCCGCCTGTCATTGACGAGCCAGCCGCGCCAACCGCGCCGCCAGCAAAGAGCACCTCCAAGGCCAAGTCATCCGCCAAGCTCTCAGTTGCCGAGCGCATCAAAGCCCTCGAGCAAGCCAAAAAAGAGAGGCTGAAGGAGAAGGCGAAAGCTAAGGAAATCGTACCACCACCGGAAACCCCTCAGGAAGAACTTGCCGTAGAGATCCCACCTGAGCCCGTCGAAGCGCCCAAGATCTCTCGGGAGTCTGTGCCGGGAAGCTTCCCAGACGCCTTTGAGGACGACTTCCAGGAACCTCCACCTCCTGCTCCTGAACCCGAGCCGGAGCCATCGGTTGATCCACCGCGTGAGCCTGAGCCTGAGCCTGCTCCAGCCCCAGCTCCTTTGTCCAAAAAAGCCGAGAAGAAGAAAAAGAAGAAGGGTAAGCTTGTGGAGCCCGAGCCTGAGCCGGTACCAGCGCCTGAGCCAGAGCCAGAGCCGGAACCAGCACCTGCGCCTGATCCTGAGCCCGCACCTGCACCAGTACAGCTCTCGAAGACTGAGAAAAAGAAGAAAAAGAAGGCCAAGGCTGTCGAACCAGAACCCGCGCCACCGGAACCTGAGCCAGAGCCAGAGCGGGCGCTTGGACCCGAGCCCGAACCGGAACCTGAGCCTGCTGCTGAGCCTGTAGACCCACCTGCCCAGGAGCCAAAGGCCACCAAGAAAACCAAGAAAAGCTCCAAGTCCAGAATGACCGAACTGACCATGGAGGTACCATCAGCTGGAGATGTACCTGCTGAAGAGCCTGGTGCAGAGGCTGGTGGTCCGCCTACTCCTCCACCTGAGCCCGCTGCACCAGGAAGATCAGCGAAGAAAGAGCGCGCTCGAGTTGAGCGAACTCCCGGTGTTGCTTCGTGGGCCTTCTGGGGCGCTACTCCTACTCCTAGGAAATCAGCCCATAGAGAGGTCAGGTCTAGCCGAAGGGAACCTTCATCCGCCGGAGTCGTACGGTCAAAGTCCACCAAACATTCAAGGCGACAAGAAGTGCCTCATGAGGCGGAAAAGACGTCTGGTTCTGACGGAGACAAACGACAAGGGAGCAAAGAGGACCGGACGACAACCTTCTCCAACTTCATCCTTGGCGGTCCTCCTGCGCCGACCAGAATGAAGTCATCACGTAGACATGGGGCATCCGCGTCTAAGCAGGCATCTAGGCGGCCGTCCATCGACATCAATGAGGCCGCACTCCCAACCCCTCCACCGGATGAGAAATTTAAAGTGTCGGATAAAGCAGCGAGGATGATGGGGGTTGGTGCATCGAGGCACAAGGAAAGACCGAGTGGGACGCGGAGAAGATCCAGTAAGTTAACAGTGCCCCAAGAATTTCAAGAGATGCCTAACATGGCCTTCAGGCGTACGTGATCCATACGCTATTGATGACGATATTGTCGTGGTTGACCGGGATGAGGTGGACGGCCATTCACCGAAGGAATACTCGAGAGAATCCCGGGGTCCAGGAAAAGATCCAGTACAAAGGTGAGTTATCATCCTGACCATGTCCTCCTAATGCACCGTCCAAAATTCTAATATCCTTGTCACACCAGTCGCAGTCCAGAGCGTATGAAGATGACGCGGTCATGGTCGAGCCAGATCAACACCACCAAGGGCCAGATGTAATGTCGGGTCCGGATGATCTGGCATTTGTGGAAGCACCGAGGGAACGACGCGTAAAGCGCTCTAATACCTTGCCGAAGAAACAAGACACTGGTGGTCTCATGGGTCTCATCGGCTCGCTCCGAAGGAACACACGCCCTGAAATGCCAGATCGTCGGAAATCTCGATCTTACCGTGATGAAGATGTCAGGTACATGACGGAACCAGAGCGAGACGAGGCTCGACGCTTGACGCGAGAAGAAAGGAGACGCCGCTCCATGAAACCTGGTATTGACGACGAAGGCTTCGTTACTGACGGCGGGCCTGTCAGAGGCGTCCCAGACGCCGAAGCGGAAGAAGCTGAGGCAAGGAGAGCGGCACGCCGATCACACCGCACATCACGCCATGCGCCTTCTGATCAGTTTCGGGAGGATGAGACTAAGGAAGCCGAAGAAAGACACGCCAGGCGGAGAGAGCGAGAACAAGCTCGCGAGCGAGAGATGTATGAGAGGCAAATGCGAGAAGACGAAGAGCGAGAAGCAAGACGTCGAGAGGAAAGGCGAGCCCGACGAGCGGCTCGTGAAGCACAACGTGCCAAGGAGGAACAAGAGGCCAGGGAGGCAGAAGCTCGCGCCGAAGCTAAAGCTGCAGAACGACGGGAACGGAGAAGACAGCGGGAGGCAGAGATGCTCGAAAACCCAGCATACAATTCAGGATCCAGACGGCGCCCTCCACGTGCTTCTGAAAGAGCACCGGAAGATTACTATCTTGATCAACGTCATGATATGGAACAAAGACATCGACGGACTCAACGATCCGTTGACGACCGCGAGAAATCAAGACGGCGAGGGTCGAGAGGCCCGGAGCCGGTCAGACCTCCACCTATGATGTCTGGGGCTCGGAGGGACAAGACCACCTCCTGGGTCGATTCGCAGGCGGTTGATCCCCCCGAACCACCCCCAATCGTGCCAACGGTGCTCGATGTGCCACTTCCTCCGGGGGACCAAAACGCACACTCCATCTCTTCGGACGAGGAGGCGCGACGTGCTTTGCGCCGCCGGGCTCGCCGACGGGCCAGATACCCGGGCCTCGCCGATGAAGAGATCGAAGAGCTGCGCGCGCGGAAGCGTGAAGCTCGACGATCTGACCGTGCGAAAAGCAGTTCTGGCAGTGGAGATTATGACCGGGACCGTGGAATGAGGTCGTACGACGGCCGGTATCCTCATGTGCCGCCTCCGACCTCTGGCGCAAAGATGTCCAGTTGGTTCAAGAAACTGACCAATCTATAATTTCTTGCTAAGGTTGCTACATTATCGACAGTGAAGGCTGAAACGAATTCAGCTTAATGATTGAAATGACGGAATGAATATGGACGATAGAATGATTATTTGACGACGATATACCTCGAAAGGCACGATACAATCTTACTGTTATGGAATTCAATATATCGCTGGCTTGGAGTAGCTGGTGTGTATGATTAGCAATGCAATCCATCCTTTACTCTGCTCCCTCTTTGCCAATATGTTGAATGAATCCATGCTATGGTGCAGAACGGGTTCTCTACTCTATAAAAAAGCTTAGGAGGCTCTAGCGATAGTCTAGTGTTACAGAGATGCTAAACATTAGGCAAAATCGACTGAAGCGAAACCCAATGATGCCCAGAATCGCGCTTCCAGTGCCACATACTGACTAGATGGCAGCCTCTTCTTTCGAGCCACCTACTTCAACCCGTGTGTTCAACCCATCTTTCTCCCGCCGTCTATTCTCTAAATAGAACCTTCCCCCTCATACATGCTCAGGTACATACTGAGCGAGACAGCCGTCCACGCAGCGCGAATTGCACCGCCCTTGAAGAGACCTCTGATCCCTTCATTGCGGTAGATCTCCTTACCCACCCTGAGCGTTCCCCAGCCAGCCGTCTTCTTCTTTGCGCTTCCATTCCCATCACCATTGTGATTCTTACTGGCCGAAAGCATCATCCTCGTCTTGATCACATCAATCGGGGTCGTCACGACCGACGCGATCATCCCGGACATGGACGCCGACATCCCCGTCAGCGCCGCCCTCTCCACCACCGGATCCCACTCCCGCGTCTGCATCGCACCATCCTCCTTCCGCCTCTTCCTCCACTCCACAAGATGCGACCTGAAAAACTCAAACAGGGGGAAATTCAGCCCCGTAAAGGGCAGATTGCGCCCCACCAGCGCCGTGTACCCGCTCCACAGCTTCCACGGCCGATGCTTGAACCGAGCAATCACCTGCGTCATGGCGCTCTTTGCATCCTGCCCGCCCTTGCTGGTGTTCACGTTGGTGACCTGCGCGTTCTGCTTGAGGACTTCGGCGGGCGTCATCATGAGGCAGGCGACCATTTCCGCGGTCGAGGACGAGATGGCGTGGATGATGGGTTGCGGGAGGGAGTGTGTGAAGGGGAGAGGGTTGTTGTCTGGATTGTGGTGGTGCCTTGATGCGTTCATCAGGGTGTACTTGACTGCTTCGTAGGTGGTGAAGAAGGCTCCTGCTGTTTTCATTTGTGAGGTTTCGCTCTGGCTAACACACACGAAGAAACGGGAAGAACGAGAACATACAACCTGGTATTGTGGACAGCACCACGCTCCAAACTCCCTGGTATAAGCCTCCGTAGAGGGCGCTCCGGCGCACTGCTCCTGTCGCTGCATCCTTGTAGAGTCGGTTGTAATCGGGCGATTGGACTCGGGTTTTGAGGGTGTCGAAGGGGTAAACGATCAAGTCTACGGTCACTGCAGCAAATGCTCCGGCCTGTAAAGCTAGATTAGCATGCGAATATGCAAGGTATGTGTCAAATCCAGTGTCAAATCCAAACAAATGTCTTGCTCGAGTGTACTAGTGTGACGTGGAGGCATACTCCCTGGTATGGAGAAGACTCACAATCCAGATGTCAAGGTTACTGTTGTACATAGAGAATGCTGCGCGAAAGACTCTAGGGCTCTATTATGATTCTATGAAATGCAAGGCAAGAAAATGAAATATCCAAGACCAGAAATGCATGGCTGAGTGAGCTCATTGTAGCTTGTCGCATTGTCTATGTATCTACCTTATCTAATCGGGTTATCGATTGCGACGATGCATTATGAGGTCATGATTGCTCACGTGCAAAGCAGTACCCTAACAAGGTTAGGGCATGGTGCCTGTGCCTGTTCCTGTGCCTGGTCCATCCAAGTGCCTGTCGATCTCAAAGAGATAGCGCAGATAGTGTCTAGAAAAGTCCAAAACGGTAGGCTATACATCAACTCAGACGGGACGTGCTCTCAGGTCATACCCGTAACTCTATTCGTCAAATGGAATAAGCAAACAGGAGACATATTAACAGTGGAATATAAGAATTTTTCCTGCCTACGCCATAAGGTCATGCAAGTCCCAAAATCCCCATAGATTGAGATAAATCATCACGAGCCCGGTCACACGCTTATTTGGCGGTCTCACCGGGCAACAGGTTGCCCTTCACAGCAAACATCTTTCCAGTCGTGGACGAAACAAAGCTGTCAATCTGGCGCGCGTACTGTTCCACCTGCCGGCTGTTCAGCATGCTCTCGAGGCGGCTAGGCTCCTGGGGCAGCTTAAACAGGCGCTGCCACTCGTCCTCGGGCAGAAGAGGCTGCTTGAGCGCCGCGCGAGTGGCGTTCTCCTGCTTGCGCTTCTGCTGCCAAGTGCTGATTTTCTGCTGCTCGCGCGCGAGCGAGCGCTGGTAGTACTGGAAGTTGTTGGTCTCAGTGTGGTGAGTCTCCATGCTGTCCAGAAGCAGGTCGCAGTTCTTCTCCAGGAAGGGGTCGATGCTAAGGGTGAGGTTGTCGTAGTTGGGGCGAGAATAGACGACTTGACGAAGGGTCCGGATTCCAGGGCGGCCAGCGATGGGGGAAGATCCGTAGGAGCCGGAATGTTGGGAGTCTGAAGCTGGTGGATGAAAGAGGTGATCAGGTGAGAGTTGTGGATCTCTACGGGAAGTTCAACAAAGATATCCTGGTATCTCAGGCCGGACTTTTGCAACCTATCGTTCAGTTAGCGACACGTTCTCATCGTCTGAAGAGTCGTGCTGAAGATGGAAAATCGGTAGACATACTCCTCCGAGGTAAACTTGTTCTCCTTGAAAGCCGCCATGAATTTAGGAGACAGGCGGAACGCTCTGAGGCTCAGGCTTCCCTGAGAGCTGCGGCTGACGTCGTGCACGAGAGCTACTGTCCGCTCGTTCATTTCCTTCTGGTAAAAGAACTGGTTCTCGATCATGTTCATGTTGACGAAGTTGCCCATGTTGGCGCTCGTATACCAACCAACGTTGTTGGCGTCCACGTTGACCTCTCGAAGCATACGGATCATCTCCGCCTGGTAGACGGTATTGGCCTTAGCGCGAGGAGCGGCGGCAGCAGGGTTGGCAGTAGCATTGTCAAAGTGCGACTCGGGAGGCACCTCGACGACGGGGAACGGGAAGCTGTTTGTGATTTCCAGAGTTCCACCAACATCCATGCCAACAATCGATCCGGTCGCCGTCGTCGGGAAAGTCTGAGAGCAGTGCTTCATAATCTTCATGACCACCTGTAAACGCGTCGCATGAGTATAAATTCTTCATTGCCCTGCTTCGATAAAGTGGGGGGGCGGATTTTTTCCTGGGGAAGATGATCATACCAAGGCCTCGACCTTGACGGCCGTGAGGGGGTTTCGTTCCTATTTAAATCGATCAGCCAAAGGCGTTTGATACCATTTCCGCGATATCATCACTTACTCCGCCATGTTGGATATAGCAGGCCGTGGAATGCTTCTGACAGCGACGATGGTTGATAGACGGCGTTGGTTTGTGTGGATGAGTTGAACAATTTCCCACCGCCTAAGGCCAGAATAAGTTTAGCGTGCCAAGACCGCTTGGGAATAGAGACAACAACATCACTCTGCGATTCCTCCCTCCATGCACTCGGGATCTCAGATTATGAATAGATTATGGACTGACACCTTCATCGCATTAATGACAGACCTCATCATCCTTCGGTGTGCGCAATTATGATAGTCTGAATTTAGAAGTAATGAGCCGCTGCACCATTAAAACCAAGGTCACTAGAGAGGTAGTAATCGGCAGTGGCTATGCCACCTCGGCCCCTCTTGATCGATAACCCATTTTCTGTCTACTTGACATTTCAGTTACTTGTACAGTGCACCGAGAACTAGCTCTTGGACGCAAATATAACGTGGTAATGCCTACAGAAACGCTTCAGTATGGACATCACAAGCTCCAAACAGTGACAATCTCCACCGTATCAGACAACCTCGATGCAGGCTATTGGGTGATGTATACAACCCAGGACCCCCAGATCTCAAGGAAATCTTAATTGACAATACGTGAACAAGACTGATCCACGGCGGAGCCTGGAGAGACCCAACTCAAACAGCCGTCTCGTACCTCACCCCGGCCGAGTCCATCCTCACCACACCCCCAGCATACACCTCCACAACCCTTCCGCACATCGCAGCCTTCGCATCGATCGAGTACCGCTTGAGTGCCCACCCGAGCTACCCACAGAATCCCGATCACACTGATCCTACTGAACACCGCAATGCCAAACATCCAGACCATATCCGCGACGTGCAAGCAGCTCTGGATCTCTTGCAGCGCAAGTATGGGTTCGGGACCAAGTATATCCTCGTCGGGCACAGCGCTGGTGCGACTTTGGCCTTTCAATCGGTGATGGGAGCTTTCCGGGACAGCGCCGCTGCTGTTGTTTCTCCTCCAGCTGCGATACTGGGGATGGCGGGTATTTATGATTTACGACTTCTGCGTGATACCCATCGGCATATTTCTGCGTATCAAGAGTTTATTGAAGGGGCGTTCGGTTCTGACGAAGCGGTGTGGGGTGCGGCCTCGCCTGCCTCTGTGAATGGCTCGGAGGGAGTTGAGGGGGGATGGACATCTGGTCGACTGGCTGTGCTGGCGCACTCGGCTGAAGATGGGCTTGTGGACGCTGCTCAGCAGCAGGCGATGCAAGCTGCACTCAGTCGCTGGGAGGACAGCACACCGCAAGGGAGTGGCCAGAGACGAGTTGAAATGCTCTCTCTCAAAGGCGACCATGATGACGCCTGGATAAAGGGAGACGAGCTGGCAAGGGCCATTGCTCATACATTAGCGGGCCTACAGAAAGTGTAGCGTTGCCTCAATAGTGCTATGTTATGTTCGGGCTTGAGGCTCTACTGACTCGTCCTACGCTACGATTCTACAAGATAGAGGAAAAGGTCAAAGAAGCGTCTGCTGACCATCACCAGTCATTTCATGAATTACAAAAATCCTTGCTTCATCTCGATTAACGTCCGGAGGGATGTCCTAGAACAAGGTAGGATGTGAAAGTAGTACACATTAGAAGGGAAAGGGGCAAAGCCGTTTTCAAAACTCGCCAACGCCCACCCAGTGTTCATCATCGTCATCACGATTGTCAATTACATGCAAATGAAAATGAAAACTCCGTAATACGCCTGGTATTCGGTTAAAGCCAGCTGGTGAGAAAGTATCAGAAAGATGAAAAGGACCACCCGGCGCCAATTGCGACAGTCGAGAAGCGCATCGCGACATGTGCAGAGCTCTCTTGAAGAGATGCTAAAGGGCGACTCAGTTGCCGAGGTCCATACGACCCGAGCCAGCGTCACCCAAAAGCTTCTCTTCCTTTACTTCAGAGGCCTGGTCTTCACCCTCCGAGTCTTCCTCATCGTCATCCTCCAACTCGCTGTCTTCGGCGTATTTCACCTCCACACCGGCTTCGTTAAGACGACTTCTCATCTGCTCACGATAGCGATCCTGCCAGCGGGCCAGAGCGGCACTGGCATGCACGCGGAAACCGTAGATGCGAGGCTCATAGCGGCGAGTGCTCTTGGGGGGAACCAGATTGGGGAACACCTGAAAGAAGATGCTATGGAATGAAGAACCGAAGTAGGCGCCGTCGATAGAGGAGTGACGAGAAGACTTAGGATTGTAGATGTCCTCGCACTTGGCGCAGTAGAGTCTGACAGTGCTCTGGTTGGCAATATCGTGCAAGCCCATCGGGAGGAGGTGCTGACCCTCGCACAAAACGCGGGGCATTTGCCGAAGTCGCCATTTTTGTACTTTTCAGCCTAAACGAAGGAAGACGAGGTCAGCTATTGAGCCTATAATCTGATGTGGTGTTCTGGTGGCAGCAACACATACCATCTTGCCAAGGCCACGAGTAGTGACAATGTATCTTGCGTGAACGAGGCCGTAGAGATGACGGGCAGACTTCTCGATCTGCTCGCGTAGATCATCATCCGCATCAAGATCAAAGACGTCGGTCACAAGGTCCAGCGCATACTGGTAGTAAGGAACTTCAGTGTTGAGACCGGTAAGATTGAAGCGATCGGTCAAGTATTCCTCGTCGATTTCGCAGAAATACTCGTTTCCGCGGGAGGAGATAAACTGCGTGGTATACTGTGAGCAAGGCATCGCAGATGGAGGATTATTGCGTCCCCAGAAACAGAGGTTGTAGAATCTTTCATTGGATTCATTGCCCCGAGCGTGAGCGAAAAGATCGTCACTAGTCGAAGACTCGGCCATTGTGGAAGGGTCGGGTTAGGATGTAGAGGGTTGGTGGGACGCGTGGTAGGATGATGCTGATGCGCATGAGGTGAAATTGAGCACCAGCCAGCTCTCTAGGAGAGGCCTCAATGTTTTCACCAGCCGCGATTGCATCGTGAGGGCAGCCACGACCCATCTCCGGAGATGAACACCCTCCAACAGTACTTAGGTTCAAAGAAACAGATTCAACTTACCCAATCTCTCCAGTAGCTAGTGTAATCACTATCGGTTTCACTGTTAAAGTCCTCCATCATGTTTACTGTTTAAGTCGACGACCAAATGAGGGGGAAACAAGTGGTGCTGGTTTGCTCTGCCTGTAGCAGTTACTGAGAGAAGGCTGGATTTGGCAGCCCCAAACCAACAGAGCTCTCAGAACCGTACAGCTATGGAAGATTCTCCTCAGAGCATAGAAAAGCCAGATCTCAAAAGGCGGACAGCGATCAAAGTGTTAGGAACAGAGAATATGAGATAAATGTCAGATAGTAGTCGCAGTGTGTGTCTCTTCTCCATTCTGTTCGACTGTTATCAGTGGATCACACTCTTCTGGTTAGCGCGGGGTTGGCGGTGAACATTTTGCCTAACAAGCATCACCGCCTTCATCAACATTCTCTTCTAAGGGTGATGGGTGTTGTCTTTGATTCTCTGATCCTACTGTGTTGTGTTCTTGCATTACTCGTTAGAGAACCAGAGGGGCGAAGTTGCATATCTTGACCCACGCATTACTCTGAGGTCATAGTCGTCGAAATGACGTGCTATATACAGAATGCTTCTGCTGAGAAGAATATGTAAACAGAGAGTATCCACCGAACCATCCAGTGATCCTCTGGCCTCGTCTAGAACGAGGGGTTGGCGTTTCGAAGAAGCTGTTCAAAATAGGCCTGTGTTCTATTCGTTAGTACAGCCCAGACTTGGATGGAGCTGCTTTGGGAACATACCTGAAACCACGTGCCAGCTTCAGGGGCTGGCTTGAGAGCGTCCTCGAGTCCACATTTTGCATCGTAGCGTTTAGCAGAGGTGTCCGAGGTGCCATCACTCTCACCACCGGGCTTAACCCAGACGAAAGCATCCACCAACTTGTCTCCTGTGTCAGTGGTTGGCCGGACTCCGAAGCCAGTGCCAATCACGTTGCACCAGTCACCCCATGCAAGCTGTCCAGTGGGCTGCTTTCCGTTGCGGCCTATGAAGGAACCTTGTTAGGCGGTCGGTCAGGTGGGTAACATTGTAAGACTTACCGGTGTCAACGATGAAATGAGCATCGAATCCAGCGCTGGCCAGCTGTGGGGCGAAGTTGTTGATATAGCTCTTCTCGTCGCAGACAGCATTTCCTTGGGTGTAAGAGGGGCACGTCGTGGCGACGAAGGCATTGAAATTAGCCACGTTGGTCACGAGACCACGCACTGAAGCAGGTGAACTTGCGTTCTTGTACACGGATGCATACAGTTGGGCTGCTGGACCAATATTCGCGGGCCAGCCCAGCCAGCCAGCATGTCCTGTACAGCATACTCAGCAAGGCGTCCTGCACACCAATCACACGGGGCGCATGCAGCCAACTTACCAGCGTCTAGATACATCGCAACATTCGGGGCACTGAGTTTCGTCAGAGCATAGTTGGTACACTCCAGATACGCATCATGAGCGTTCGCACACTTGGGCACTGCCATGTTTGTCACGAGATTGGCCAAGCTGTCAGGCTCTGCTTGAAGTCAGAATCAAGCACGAAGGGTACTCATCGGCAGCGGAGCGGACTCACCAATGACGAGGATAATCTGGGTATCAGGATAATTGTCGATGTGTTCGCGGATGGAATCAATGTAGGCCTTGTACTTCTCAACACCACCATCTGCAATAACTAATTCTCCATTGCTGGCCAATGCAGCGCAGTCACGGTCTGGAAGGTTGTAAACAACGAAAATCCCAGCAATTGGAGGGCTTGCTCCTGCATCGTTCTTGGCTTTGATGTCCCTGAGGTATTCGCCCATTTTCGGGACTTTGGCGCTGGTGTCCCTGAACAATCTGTTAGGAACGGACTCGCAGAAGTATTCAATGCAGCGGTATAAACTTACATCCAAAGGAAAGAGGGTACTTTCGCAACTGCACTTGCCTTGGCGACCAGAGAGGCTGGCAACGAGGGAATGGCAATATTCTCAACCTCAGACGCATAGTAAGGATTCACATAGAGCTGATGTCCCTCAAAGGGATTACCACCTGCTGCCGCCGTGGTCGCAGGGGCCCCGTAGTGGGAGCAGGAGAGGTAGGAGTGCCAGTTGGTTGAGGCAAAGCTCTCACTGCAGAGCACAGGAAGGGTAAAAGAGCAAAAAGAGACCGCATATTGACGGCTTAAATCCAGTGATAAACTTTGAATCCTCAGCTGAGACGCCCGTGTGTTGCGTTGAAGTGGAATGCAAGGTCTGCTGTACAATGCCTGACTCTCATGTTGAGGGTCTTCGAGGCCCATTTATACTTCTTCTGTCTTCCTCTTCATAGTTCATATCTCATGCATCCGGCACCCCGGCTGCCCGAAGAGACAAGGAGTTAGTGAGATATTCTGCTAGAACTGAAACACACAGAGAGCCGGACTAATTGGGTGAGGATTGAAGAAAGGCATCAGAAGGGCTTTTTCCAACTACTCTTGGCACATTCTGGCCAATATCGTGAAAGGATGCTGACACTCCAAGGAAACGATACGGGCTGTCCGTCACTGAAAAGGCTCATCATTTGATGATCGCTGTATCTTCGGCACACCTTGACTTTCTTCCGCCACCTGCCATACCCTCGATGCGTTGAAAAGCCTGATGATATTTAGCCGGACTGGTCCTGCCGCTTGCTGATATGCCCAGAGGCCTAGGGAGCATGTCCCCTCCTGTGTTCAGACACAATCGCAAGTCTTGGAAGCGCCGTTCGAGCAACCAAATACCAATTGGGAATCGTTCACGGAAAATTACCGGTTCAAATCAGATGATCGTCGGGGAATTTTTGATGAAGGAGCACGGCGTGAGGAATCGAAATGGCAGGAAATCGCGGGGGCGGAAGTGTGTCGAAACTGGGCCTGTTTCATCTATGGTGATAATTTGCTCCTTCTGGAAGCGAATAATACAATCTTCTGTCTCCCTGTGAGAAAGGAGAGGAGTGAAATTCAACTTTGTACGAGGAGCACTGAATTGCCGATCCTTTTTGGGTAGTACCCTTCAATTCGCGCAGGGTTTGAGACCATGATCCGTGCCCATGAGAGATAGATGAAGCTATCATATTGCACTGCCAAGATGCGGAGTTTTTGAGTCCAATCCAGATCCGTTCAGAACATGATCTTCTGATCAGTTTGCGGCCCGAAACCCCGTTGGGAAGTGGGCATCTTTGAATATATGAGCATTGTCTCTTCGGTGAGAGCGAAATCCGTGTACTTGGCACACTCATTGATTCCGCGATTGTCAGTTCAAAACGTGGACTGTCAATATTGCGGAATCCTTCCTAAACTCTGATATAGTCAGGAGTATTTGTTGTCTCAGCACTTAGATTGGCTGGCGTAATTAGGCTCTCAGAATAGGCAGATGGCGTTGCGCCACCTTAAAAGGTTAATATATAATACGCCTCCCTCGATATTCAGCTGCAGTGGCTCCTGCAGCCAGCAGTAGGTATGGTCGCTAAACTAGCTGATGGACTCGATGTATATTCTGCAAACTATGAAGTACTTGCAGGATAGTGATTTCTTAATTAAATTCGAATACGTTACTTATGAGCTAATAAGGAAATGACTGTCAAAGTCTGTAGATAATAGAACAACAAGAAAGAAGATAAAATCACTTAACGAAAGTGCTCGGCACGATCACATTCAGCCAGGAACCTGTGAATACCTTCGACTCCTTCGTACTCTGATGCGCTCTCATGAAAACCGGCGCTGGAAACCTCAGGAAAGAAGGCACGATCGCCAAGTTCGCTGACGTTGATGCTGGAATATCCCGAAGAGGATGATATCCAAGGATTCTTGTCGGCAAAGATTGGAGAATCCTCGAAACTGAGCCCATTGCTCGACTTTCGAGGATTCTCAGGCGAGTTGCCTGTCCCATCCTCGGAGGTCATCATTGCTTGCCAATCGACCTCATCCGGAGACTGTCCCTCCGACGCTTCTTGTCGGAAAAAGAACTCTGCTACATCCGAAGGAGCCGATACGCTAGGAGCAAATGGGAAGAGCAGAGCGAGATCAGCTCCTGTTCGGAGGTTGAAATCCTCATCCTGGCTAATCCGTCCTCGCTGGACACCCACCTCATCGCACAGCCGCTCAACCGTCTCAGCATCGCACCCTGGAAATCGCACTCGTATGGTGGATCTGTCATGTAAAGAGATAGGTAGATCGCCCAGTGAGCATAAACGCTTGAGGTCATTAAGCACGGCAGCCAAATCTTTCAGAGCACGTGCGAAGTCGGCAGAGAGGAAGCACAAGGTATCCGAGTTCAAAATTTGAATACCGGCAGAGGCAGCCTTTTTCTGAAGTCCAAAGGCTGTAATAGTTGGAGAAATCTGGAAGTCGATGAATGAACCGGAAGCCGTGCGAGGGATCGCCGCCATTTTGCGCTCAGCCTGATCTTGGAGCGCGCTCACAGCCTTGTACCTCTTCTGTCCCGTAATAGGGTCGATGCCGTCAAATCTGGCTTTCTGGCCCGAGAGGAAGAAGGCTCGCACGCCCATTGACACATTGTTGATCACCTGCGCAGGGGAAGCCGGACCATGCGAAAAATAACGGGCACCACCAATACGTCCGGCACCAATGGTATAGCCTCCAGCCGTGCGGCCAAGAGTGCCGCCGGTCAAGTTGGGGCGGAGGGTCGACGCAAACGGGGCACGACTAGTCAACCGACCGATATTGGCTGCAACACGGGATTGCCGATACGCTGCGTGATCCCCCTGCAAGCCATTCTTGACAAAGGAAACGAAGGAGTTTGCAGCACGAGTAGAGAAATAGCGATTGCTGCGGGATTGGCGGATAGCGGCAGCTCGGCTGATGGGCTGACGGGTAGGAGTACGTGCATAAGCTGGTTGAAGCCGAAGCGAGACTTGCTGAGTTGGCTCAGGAAACTTGGCCTTGAAGGTCTTCAGGGCCTTCTCATAGGCAAACCTGGGGAAAGTCAGACTATTGAAGTATACCTCTATCAAGCAATGAGAACTCACCTTGCTGCTCTCCAGAATTTCGGGAGCAACAGGTGCCCACTGGAAGGCGGCATCCTGACGATGATAGAAAGGTGCTTCTAAAGAAGAATGGAGGATGGAAATACCATTCTCTTGATGAATTGATGGTGGGAGAATGGATGATGAACGACGGTGCCTGGGGACCGATGACTCCGCACCGCGGTGGCGGTGCACCTGATCTGCTGACGCCACGTGCTTATTGTTGTTTAGGGATCTTGCCACTGACATCTATGAGAATTATTCTCAAGCTAGAAATTTTTACATCAATTACCCCTCTAATTTTTCAGGCACAATAATGGTATCTGGTAAATACAAGCGCTGAAATTCTCTTGGGACGCGGTTAGCACAATATAACTGGATATGACCTCATGTCTGAGCTCGAAGCGGATCTGTTCCATTAAGTGATAATAATTATCCGACTGTCAAGGCTGGTGAGGAAGAACCTTGAAGATTCAATTAAAACTAGAATAAGTGGAGGTCTGCCGATAGACTTGGCTGGTAATCTCTCTAATTCAACTTCAACGTTTGAGAGGATATATAAAGCAATTCGATCTATCAATTGATATCTAGACATGTCAAGAACGCAGTGACTTCACATGATATGGGCATCATCAGTTAAGAAACATTTATTCGTCATCACCAAAGAAAACCTTGACGGGCAGCCAGCTGTCACCACAGACCTTGAAGCGGTCCTTGAGGTTATCCAACTGATTTACCTCGTCCGCTGTAAGATCCCAACCATCGAGCTCAAAGTTATTTGAAATCCTCTCTCCATTCACGCTTTTTGGGATCACACTCCATCCCTTCTGCAAACCCCATTGAAGCAGAACCTGCTGAGGGGTCTTGCCCTTCTTTTCCGCAATTTGCAAGAGCGTCTGATCCTTGTACAAAGGAGAGTTTGTCGAGCCAAGGCAAGAGTAGCCAGTAGAGTGAATGCCCTTGGAAGTGTTGTAAGCCACGAGCTTAGGCGAGGGGTTGTTCGGGTGCAGTTCAATCTGGTTGACTGCGGGGACAATCTTGGTGCTTGGATCATTGAGAAGCTTCTCAAGGTTTCTGATTCCAAAGTTAGAGACACCAATGTTGCGGACCTTGCCGGTGGCGGGCAGTTTCTGCATCTCTTGCCTATGGTACTTGTTATTATAACACCATTCGTTATTGAAAAATCCCGGAAGCTTACCATGTCTTGATGAAGTCCCAGTCAGGAAGATGCTTCGACTTGTCATTAGGATCGGTCGAGCATGGCCAGTGCACAAGATAAAGATCGACGTAGTCGACACCAAGGCTCTTGAGAGACGAGTCAATTCCCTCCTGGACACGGTGATGCCATGTGTTATCAAGCTTGGTGGTGATCCAGATCTCTTCGCGGGGAATACCCGAGTCCCTGATGCCCTGGCCTACTTCAGCTTCGTTACCGTAGGCGAGGGCACTAAGATTGGTCAGTCCGCGCAGAACTTCGATGACAAGATGAAAAGAGGCACGTTCAACTCACGTGTCAATATGGCGATAGCCCTTCAACAGAGCGGTTTTGACGGCCTCTCTGACTTCGTTGGGCTTAGATTGCCAGGTACCGAGACCGATTGCGGGAATCTTGTCACCCGTGTTCAGGGTGTAGGTCTTCCTACAGATTGGAAATTGTTAGCGAAGCAAATTCTCTTGCGCATCACCGTCTCACGATCACGTACTTCGTATGCTGGAGGGTCGACATTTTGCAGGATTGAACAAAGAATATACTAGCTGATGTTCTGGATTGGAATGCAGCTGCAGCAAGGGATGATGGTCTCGGGAGAGAACATGGAAGATAAGGGGGGAAAGGAGAGATTTATAATCTGTCTTGAGCTCCGAGCTGCGAGGAACCGCATAGTTAGGCAGGTCCAAGCAGTAGGCTATGACGCTATACGAGCTACGATGGGCGGAGTTGCCCCTCTCAAAGAGTGGGGGAGCATCCGTAGATATGTCTGGCCCGCATGGGAGCAATTATCCGAGCGGTATGCCTCTTTATCCAGGCATTCTGCGTTTGAGCGAATAGCAGAACCTATATCAAAGACAAGGTTTAAAGATCCCTTGTAAAGCATGGCATCTATCGAGTCGATCGTTAGTAAGCGAGAAAAAGAGGCCAGGAACGTCAGATAAGCATTTCAGGCTGTACACTACCTGCAGTATTTGGAGTAGTCCCAGCTTATCTGGGTCCCTGGATGGAACCCTCGCAATGTTGCATTGGCAAAAGTCCGGTGAGTGGGCCTGCATCCACATGCATTTTGCCTAAAATGGCATTAATTAGGAGAGTGCTTAGTACAAGGCGGCGACGGCAATAGTAGTCATTCACCGCCTCATTTCTGCCCGTCTATCACCATAGTACCACCACGCAAGCTCAAGATTCTCCCTGCGCCATCCGCGCCGAACGACGCAAATTTGCTAAGCTCGAATATTCCTTGATAGAGTATTGTCACCGATTGCTGAAAGCAAGTGATTATTACGTTTTGCAATTACGTCTACATCATACCCCCAGAGTAGCCTGCATCCACAGACAGAGAGCTACCCAGAAGAGTCGATATGTCGTCTGGTTTTGTGGCTGCCGGAACCGATCAGGAGCCAGTAGAGCGTGATGATGAATGGCGTCGTGCACAGCAGGAATTGGAGGAGGAGCGGAGACGCAAGGCGGAGCTAGGCAGGCAGGAGGACGGGAAAAGTCTGTATGAAGTCTTGCAGCAGAACAAGAGTAAGTTACCACATTTTGCAAAGATAGCTTACGGTACTTTATTGGATGGATTCCGTTTGGACTGACATGTTAGGATGATTGTTCTGCTGCGTAGTGGCCAAGCAGGAAGCCTTTGAAGAGAAGATAAAACTGAAGAACCAGTTCCGGTCTCTGGACGAGGACGAAGTGGAGTTCCTCGACTCCATCATGGAGTCGACGCGTGCTCAAGAAGCGGCCGTGAAGAAAGAGACTGCAGAACAGCTTGAACTATTCCGTCGACAGCGAGAAGAAGCAGAGAAAGCTTTGCTGGAAAATTCACCAACAGATGTTGTGCCGTCCAATGACGGAGAGGACTGGAAGATTCCTGCCCGGAAGAGACGACGGGATAAAAGCAAAGAACTCCTGATACCAGGCAAAAAACGGAAATCCGCAAGCGAAGGCGCTGCTGAACGGCCTTCGCCCAGTGAAAGTAAAGCAGAGGCTCCCAAAATGCGATCTCCTTCGAAAGACAGCAAAATACCAGCCGCTGTTGAAGTACCGCCGGTTGCAGAGGATACCAAGACGACGAAATCCTTAGGGACCTCGTCTACGTCAGACACGCAAGGCGCGAAAGCAAGTCTGCCAGCGGCGCCAGCTGCAAAATCATCTACATTGTCCCTCGGGCTAGCCGGGTATAGTTCTGACTCTGAATGAACATGATCTCAAACTTATTACACTGTACCTACGTTGGTTAATTGGAATAGTTCCTCCGTTCAACATGACCACCAGTGTGGGGAATTATCCAGTAGACACCCTGTTAAGAATCCACCTCTGAGGAGGCAGTCGATTACACTTCTCTTAAATACACATGGCAGTGCCGCTTTACCTTCTTCTAGTTGCAGTCAGGTACTCAAGAGAACACAATTACTCGTACTTGCTGTTCATTATGATACCTGAGATATCGGTCAAAAGCTAACCTTCTTAAATAGTCCATGTACATCTTCCCAATCCAATGACAAAGTGTCAAGGAAAGAACAAAATACAAGACATTCTCACTCCATCTCAGACATACACAGCTCGAGAAACGTGGCATCGGATTGTGGAAGCAGCCTTGTTCCTCACTCCCCGGCTATCTGCACTCTTCTCGTCATTATCACAGAATTCACTCGTGATGCGTCGCAAAAACAGCCTGTTTCTCTTGCTGTTCCTCGACCTTGCGCTCCAAGTCGTGCGGGGTATAATCCTCCTTGCGAGAACCAGGCACGATCCAGGGAGCGTTGGAGAACAGGTAGTTCATCTCCTCGAGAGGCAATTTCTTGGTCTCGGGAAGGAGCAGCCAGAAAAACAGTGCATTAGTGAAATTGCAGATGATGAAGAGATAGTAGTAGCGGTAGCGGATATTTGTCATGGCGATGGGCGTCACTTGACCGATCATGGTGTTGAACGCAAACGATGTCATTGTGGCAATGGAGACACCCTTCGAACGGGTCCGTGTGTCGAAGACTTCGGCAGGGATAATCCACGAAAGGGGACCGCAGGTGCACGAGAAGGAGAAGTTGTACAACCAGGTCATGATGATGAAGCCCCAATGAGCACCGGTGTTGTTGGCTTCAGGAGGGAACCGCGCCAGCAGGATACACGCGATGATGAAGGTGACCATGTTGCCCAGATTGCCACCGATGAGAGTCCAGCGACGGCCGAAACGATCAATGAACGCCATGCATAGGCACTCCGCGACCAAAGCGATAATTGAATTGATAGCCTGGTACTTGAGCGTGTCGTCGCCCGCAATGCCGATCTGTTTGTAGATGGTCACAGAATAGTACCTGCAAGGTTTATCGTTAGAACTGCACTGCTAGTTTTGTCACATATGGAGCACACTCACTGGATAGCCGAGACACCAGTCATTTGCACGGACGCCTGCACGGCACAGCACAGGAAAAGGCGGCGGAAGGACGACCGATTAGTGAATAACTCACTGTAGGACTTGGCCTCGTGCTCGTGCTCATACACAATGCTCTCCTGAATCTGATTGTACTCTGCGCGCACCCACGCGTCATCCTCATTACCATGAGCATGGAGCTTTGCGAGGGTCGCCAGGCCCTTTTCGTTGAAGCCATGGTCGATGAGCCAACGAGGTGACTGTTCTTGTGTTAGTATCGCATTCTGTTAAGGAAAGCATTACATGTTATTACCTCAGGAAAGAACATAATCAGTAGACCCAGGACGACTGCAGGGGCAATCTGCAGACCAAGTGGGACTTGCCACTGGGCGTTGTTCGATGGATCAAATCCGACGTAGGTACCATATGAGATCCACGCGGCGCACAGCGCACCGACACCCAGCATGAACTGCTGCAAGGACGTTACACGGCCTCGGATCTTGGGGTGGCAGATTTCGGCTTGGTACATGGGAACGATCATGGTGAGGAAACCAACCCTGGGTTGTCCATTAGCAAGGTCGCCCGGTCTGTTTGAGGGGATTCAACCTACCCAAGCCCGGCGAAGAATCGTCCGGTGTACAAGTATGCAATGGTCTGAGCACCAGTTTGAAGACCTCCTCCGAGGCAGAAGACGAGGCAACCGATCGCGATGGTCCATCGTCGTCCCAAATAATCACCGGTGGGACCAGCAAACCCTGCGCCAAAGAACGCTCCCGCCGTAAACATGGACACTACCAATCCACTACGCAGGCGTCAGACTTCATGACCTCTCTAACCAGCAAAGGCAGATACACTCACGTTTGCGTGTCATTTGCGGTAAACTTTGCCTCGAAAGATTGGCACGCAATGACTTCTGCAATGACACCCAAATCATCTTGACACGGCCGGTCAGCACTGTAAATAGTCGAAGTCCAGTAGATGGGTTACATACAGCCAAAAAGGAACGAACCCAGGGAGGCGAAGACGCCCACCAGGAACTAAGTCGACGGGTCAGTATGGTGTCAGGTACCTCAGGCATTGGGACACATACCTGGTACCACGACGGACTCAAGCGCATGGTCAACACCAATAAAGGATCTTGATTAATAGTAACAATGACTGTTCCTCTGGGGAAAGACAAAAAAATGCGGAGAATGAAAAGGATCGTCCTGGGGGTACTCCGCAGGGCCTTTTTAAGGATATCTACTCCATACTGGGGTTCAGAACCACGCAATAGAGTGGTAGCACCACGCGACGCAATAAAGCCAACGCCATATTGTTTATCGTGCAGCAACGATCTCTCGCGAAGCTTAGAACACGAATATCCGGTGGAGTAATTGCCAAAACGGCAAGTTTCCTTGATCCTGGCACCTCACGCGGAACCTTCAAATTCTGAGCAGACTGGCTAACCGTGGGACCAACAAAATTCTGGAGAAAAAAGTCCATGGCAAGGAAAAGTCAAAAGACAGACATACCTGGGCTATGCGGGGAGCTAGTTTCACGGTCTGAAAGTGAAAGCGACAAATCAGAGCAGAACATACCGAGAAACATCACCAGGAGAGTAAGCAAGCTGATTGATGGAACAACTGGTGGCGTTCCCTCGGCTCCAACACTAGGGAGGCACTCCCCCGTCAACTGCTCCAGTAGCCCATCTCCTCATCAGTGGAATCATCGTTCAGAGGGCCTGGATTTTCCCCCGCAGGGATTTTGCCCAATTCAACAATAATGGAGCGACAGCTGAAGATAAATCCAGCATACAAGCTGGAGTTTCAGAGCGCCTTATCGAGACGCCAAATCCATTGCGCTTGCTTCCGAATAATAGTACTGATTCCTTGTTATTCCTTCTTCCTCAGTCTGTCGTTCCTGTTGGGCTTGAGATCTCTTAGTCCTTGAGTATACTTGACTCATTTTGCCGGGATTTGTTGGCTGCCAAATCCCATCATGACTACCTTCACGAAGCTCAGTGAGCAGGAGACGCCTAGCATCTCCGTTCATGCATCGCGACGCATTTCCAAGATCAACCCTAATATCTATGCCGGGTTCACAGAGTAAGATCAATCCATGCTTGATGCTGAAGACATTGCAACGCGGGGAGTGTGCTAACCTATGATCTCAGGCATATGGGCCGATGCATTTATGGAGGCATCTATGACCCAGGCAATCCTCTGTCGGATGAGAATGGCTTTCGTAAAGATGTACTGGAGGCCCTCAAGGAGCTGAACATTCCTGTTGTTCGTTACCCTGGTGGTAATTTTACGGCTACCTATCACTGGATTGATGGTGTCGGTCCTAAAGATCAACGGCCTGCAAGGTAACTGCATCTCCAGCTAGAGCTCCGAAATTATTTTTTGAGCGAATAGTTTAACTCAATCATGGATCTACAGACCTGAGCTGGCTTGGCTGGGAACCGAGAGCAACCAGTTTGGAACAGACGAGTTCATGAAGTGGTGCGAGCTTCTTGGAACTGAGCCTTACTTTTGCTTGAACTTTGGCACAGGTACGATACGGCCCAGCTGTTCTATAATGCGAATGCTGACATTTCTCCAGGTACTCTTGATGAAGGTAGAGAATTTCAGCTCCGTACTTCCTTTCCGCTTATACTAATCTGACTGTCTAGCCCTTGCGTGGGTTGAGTACTGTAACGGTACAAAAGACACTTATTATGCCAATCTCCGGAGGAAGAATGGCCGTGAAGAGCCTTATAACGTATGTCATCTGTACTACTGGTCATTTACCAGACACTAACCATCAACCCTCCAGATCAAATACTGGGCTATTGGTAACGAAGTGTGGGGACCATGGCAGGTCGCGCAGATGACCAAGGAGGAGTACGCTCACAAGGCCTACCAGTGGGCAAAGGGTGAGAACTCATTAACTTCGACTCCGAAAGAGCCAACCAGTCCATCTAATATACTTTCTAGCGCTGAAGCTGCTTGACCCGACTCTGAAGTTGATCCTCTGTGGCCAAGACGGCACTGCCTCGTGGGACTACTACACGCTGAAGCAGTGCCTGCTTCCCGCTCACTCGCCTCTCTCTACTAGCACCGTTCCTCTCATCGACATGCACAGTATCCATATGTACACCTGCGGTTCAACTCATCTCCCCAACGTCACTGCTCCACTCGCCGCTGAACGCGCTATCGAGATTACCTCATCCCTCATCGACCTTGCCATGATTGAGAACGGTGTTCCTCCTGACCAGCCGCGGCCCACTATCTGCTTTGACGAGTGGAACGTGTGGGACCCCCTGCGCGCTGAGGGCAGCAAGGGCGCCGAGGAAAGCTATACCCTCTCCGACGCTCTGGCCGTGGCCATCTGGCTCAACGTCTTTGTGCGTAAGAGCAAAGACGTCGGGATGGCCTGTATTGCACAGAGCGTCAATGTCATCTCCCCATTGATGACGACCAAGGAGGGTATCATAAAGCAGACTATCTGGTGGCCCTTGTACCTGTTCTCGAAGTATATGCGAGGCTGGACCATCAATGCGCACGTCTCTTGCGGTGCCTATGAGGGCGAGACAAGTCCCAAGTGGATCCGCGCCGTCAAGGACACTCCCTGGCTGGACGTCAGTGCCACCTTGGGAGAGGACGGATATGTTAATGTTGCCGTCGTCAACATCAGCGACGAAAAGGATATGGAGTGCAAGTTCGAGGGGGCTACTGGTGATGTCACTGTATTCACCGTCACTGGAGACAATGTCTCGGCCTGCAACATGAAGGGGACAGAGGAAGTTGGCCTGACGGAAAGCACTTGGGACGGCAAGGGTGCCTACAAGTTCCCCAAGCACTCGTTCACTCTACTTAGATGGAAGGCGGAGTAAGTTTAGAGCTCTGATGACGACACGAAGCGTCCTTCTTCATATCATTGTTTAGTCGGATCCTTTCGGCCTAATGATGCTATACGGGAAAATAGAAATGGGGCATGATAGACATCACATGACATTATTTCATCAATCTAAGACATGTCTCGTCACAGGCGAGTAGGAGTAAAACTCTACGTGTAGATCCTAAACCATCAACCATCATATTCCCATATCGTAACTCAACCAAAGTGAACATCCTTGACTTTATCCTCCTCGTCGAGGTGGATGTTGAGTCTGACAAATAATTAGTCATCAGTGATTGTCCATGTCGACATAGATATAATGACTAGGTAGACACACCTTTCGGGTCTATGATCCATAGTCATCGCATCACCGGGACGAAGAACTCGATGATGCTCGGGTAAATCCTTCTTCGCAAAAGTCTGGCCACCATCAGCAACATGATTCACGAGCAGAGTAAAATTGGCCAAAACCGCACATTCACATCGCTGGTAGAGTCACCGATCTTTTTGCCCGCGAGCTTGCTGAGCCATTCGTTCTTATCAGAACCCATGTCCGAGTTGATTCCTGGGACGACGAGAGGCATGTTGGACTGTGTTTTTGTAAAGAATGTTCGTTCTAGTGACTTGTGGAAAGTGAAGGGTTGAAATTTTCTCATTCAAGACTGATGATGATTTCTCATGGTGTATTCTCAAATCCTGGGGATTTATATAGCTTGAAGGCAGCAATGATAAACGGCCATGACGTCGTTCGTGGAGAAGCAGGCATCTAGATCTATATATCCTGTTTGGGCTTAGTGTATCTGCCGCATGATTATGATTTCAATATCACGTGCTTGGTCGTGTGTGCTTTATATCCCTTTCATCAACATATGGTCTTTCAAGTCGCTGTAGATAATCTGTAAATAATTATGAAGTGGTTTGTGTCTCTTATGCCTCGGGAAACCATGATCAATGTCATCAGCCGGTGAGTAATGTCGACAAAGTGCCAGAATCCTTCCATCTTCTGAACATATTTTCAGACATTGCAACGAGGTCTCCGAGACGTCCAAGTCTTGATCACAACGCGACCCAATTCTCCTATCTCATCCTGTGCCTCATTGGATCTCTAAAAATTAGACATGACACGATGCTGAAATCCAGCTTTGCGTTTGTTCGTTGAAAATGGACAAAATGCGCAGAAGGAAGCTGCGCCGGCCGCTTCCATCGTGCCTGCTTTTACCAGCAGAGTACCAAGCCTCAGCTGCCCAGAGAGTAACATGCGAATGATATCCAGATCTCCCTTGTGGCGTCTCCTCCACTCACTGTACCTATGTTTTGAGTGTGAGGATTTTATGGCGATCCTAGGTCGACCTTTTGTGAACCAGGATGCAAGGACGCCTACTCGTCATGCTCGCATTACTTTGTAGTGCCATGTACACTCTCCAATCGAGCTCTCCCTTTGTGTGCTCTCCGGAACCTTCCATCGCTGTATCAGCATTACTGCCGTCACTATCCAAAGTGGTGCCGGCATCAACACCATCATCAACCGCACCGAAGGGGATTCATTCATGGCCAAAGGATAGATGGGACAGCATCTACAATTTCTTCAAAGATAAACTCCATATTCAGCAACTGAGCCTCAGAGAAAATGACCGATTGAATGTCGAGCTGAGCGATGAGGTCGATACTTCCGAAGATTCCAAGCGCTTAGATATCACCATTGCCTCGGGGGACTCGACAAAACACCGATCATTGACTGGGATGGAGACACGCGCAGAATCTGCAAAGTCGCGCAGATTGGCTTCAAAAACCCATGGCACGCGTATGCCAACAGCATTGTACAAGAGAACCGCGAGCTCAACAGTGGACTCTGTGACACCAACACCGTCGCATAAGTCCTTTCTCAAGCATTGGAGCTACAAGAAGAGCTCCATTGCTGCCGCGGTAATATTCATAGTTATTACCACTGTGGCGTTTATAGCCCTGACCGTCCTCCTCATCAGAAGGCTCCGACAATCCTGGAAGCGATACAAGAAAGGGAAACGCGATTTCGCGAATTCTAAATACGCTGCAATATCTCCTCTGGACGACAACATTGCTAACTACTCATTTGGCAGCACGCCGAAAATCAGACGCAGCCGCGAATTGTCGATATCTGACAAGAGCCGTTCAACTACCAAGGCATACGTCGCGGAAGAGGCGACGAGACTGGAAGCGGTGACCCGAGCATTTTGCGCACACGCAGATGCTGTGCCGGTTTCGCCTCTTGGCTCATTTGCTGCTCCGAAGCAGTCAGAAGCCAGGCTCCCACAAGCGTCTATGCCAGAGCGCCCAGGCAAATCCGAATCGCCAGCGGAGCCATGGCGGGCCGGCTTTGTTCCAAAGCAAGTGGTCGTTGTGTCGCCTTTGAATCGAATGGTGTCAGGAAAAGCAGCAGAGATTGGGTGGCAATCATCGTTGAGAACTATCGATGATTTAAGCTTGCCTAAGCCGGAAGCAGGCCCTCAAAGGCCACACCGAAAAGCTCGGCGCGAAGTCCGCAACCCAACTCCGTCTACAGACCAACCTTTCCGTCTTCCATCAATCGAGAGAAGCACATCACCTCTTTTCGAATTCTGAATGTACATGCCACTTCGTTCAAGCGTTCTCATCCTCACGGATCGCGATTTCAAAGGCACCATAGCTTTGAGTAACGTGCCCTTCCCCACCTCTCAGGCACAGGTAACGCTCGTCGAGAGCTTTTGAATAAACTTTGGATTTGTCAATCGCTTAGCGGTTCTAATGGACATTCCTCGAAGTCAGGCATTTTGTTTGGTTGTAGGCTGTATGACCATTGAACACATAGCCATGTCGCTGGAGAGAAACAATCACAAGAGTTGTACATCCTTGAATTTCTTTTTCCTCACAAAGTTGTATAACTATCCCACATGGTCCTTTCTAAGGAAGAATGGCAGACAATGCATTGATGCCGCCACCGTACCCCATCCTCATTTTCATCAACGTCGTCACAGATGTAGTGGGTCATTAAAAATTAAAGGCTTTGAACGGAAATGAAGTAGGCACAAAGCTATTCTATAGGCAAGCAAATGAACCACCGGCACGTAAAGTCTATCTATTGTACTGTACGGTTGTTCATCTCACGTATTCGGTTCAAGCACCGTTCAAGGCGTTTCCCTCGCTCCCTTTCTCGGACCAGGGTGGACCTGACAAAGGCGCGTATGGCGTCCCGACCGACTTTCTCCCGCCAAGATGTCCACCCGGCGAGTTCCCCGACCACAACATCCTTGTTCCATGAGATTTCCCGGGAGAGGCGCCCGATATGGGCTTCAGCCTCTTGGATCTTCTGTTCTAGATCGCGAACTGACTTCTGTCGGGATTCCTCCAGGCCTGGGAAGTTGATGTTGAATTTGCGGGGCAAGGATGAGGAGATGAGAGAGGTGCGATTGCGGGAGAGATTGCGGGCTGTGGATTGTAGATTCGATATGAGCGAAATAGGGCGAGAGAGCGAACCGAGTATTGCAACAGTCGTGTTGTCGATTGACGAAAGGACGGATAGGAACTGAAGAAGAGGAGAGGAGTCTGAGGATGAGGTTGACAAGTACGAGGCGTAGCGGGCGAAAGCGTCCACATGTGAACGGGGGAGCGCGTTTGTAGGCTCCTGGAGAGTAGAGACTACCGACGAGCACAGCGCCAGCGCGTCAGCCATATCTGACGCGGCATTCTGCAAGGAATGACCACGGCGAATCAGACTGCGTGTGTTGGCGTGAAGGGCACGAACCATGTCCTGGGCCTGTGCCACGAACTGTTCTGTCTCGCGCATGCCTTCAGCTGTCACAGGCGCGTAGTCGTCCGCAATCGACTCGGACAGCACCAACGCCTTGCGCCGGGACCTGTCCGTCATCATCTCCGGCTGTAGCTCGGGGACCAGGAAGAACTCCCACAGCATCTCGTGGGTCGCAAAGGTTGGATGCGTAAGCAGGATTTTCAAGAATCTGTCTAGTCTCTCTTGCATGTTGTGGAGAACAGACCGAGATGGTTTGGAATGGATTTGGAAAGGATTGCGAAAGTCAGAAAAGGAAGGGATATAAGAGGCCGGATGCTCCATTGCGAGGCACTGAGCAAGATTCTCGAAGTCCGAGAGGGTGCGCCGGCATGTAGTGACGGTGTAAGTGGTGGAGCCAGCTCGAGACTCGTCTGACTGGGACTGAGAGCTTGGGGCGCCGGACTTCAAAACAAAGCGCACTGTGGCATCCTCAACGAAGTACGAGCGTACAACCGTGGTGATACGACCAGATGGATCATCATATGCCGAGGGCGAATTCGAGACAAGAATGAGATCGTCAATGCGATTACGGACTTCATCGTCTTTGGCGAGCTCGACAGCCGTCAATCCGCGAGCTTCCTTGAGGTGAACGTCGACCCGGGGGTCCAAAAAGAGGATACGCACTTGATCCACGCGGCCGTACTTGCTAGCCATCATGAGCGGCGTGAACTTCTTCTCGTTGGTTGCGTTTGGATCGCAATCGCTTTCTTGTAGAATTCGGATTGTGATCTCTGGATCACCGACGATGTGCAGCAGTGTATTTCCCTTCGAGTCAACATGATCGTCGAGCCGCAAAGGCAAGCCGTCTCCCTGAGATCTTTGAGCGGCCGTCAACGCCTCGTTGACCATCGATTTATAATCAGGATGATCATAAGACCTGCACAGAGCAAACAGCGGCGTCTGGCCATTTCTGTCACGTTGTCGCCAAGGAATGAGTCTTTCCAATCTATACATTACTGATGGCGTACTGAATAAATAGTGGGCAACTGTGCGTCCGTGCATGTCTGCTTTTTTGAGGTAACCAGCAATTGTTCGCTCGTCCGTTGCACTGAAGAGAAAGTCGAGCAAAGTTTCTACCATTTCAGGGTGACCGAGTTGCACCGCGGCACTGAGCAACGTCGTCCCATCGGTGTTCGAATCCTCGAGAATGTCTTCCAGTGAATAGTACTCTTCCAGGCTGAGCAAGTACCTGAGAGCCTCCGGCTGGCAACTGTCAACGGCCATCATGGGAATTGAATCACCCGCAGGATCTTGCGTTTTTGTCAACGTCTCGATTGAGCTGTCCCCTTCAATTGCACTGGTCATTGATTCGATAGTGGTGGTGCGAGAGAGAAGTGAAGTAGCTGACGACTCCGATATGCTGCGTACATCCATCGAGACTTTCTTCACAGGACGCTGAACTTCCTTCGGCGGGGAGATGTTTGCCCATGTTTGAAATGGGAACACATGTGCCAGCGATGGCACCTCGGAAGGATTCTCATCAAGTTCTTGAGGTTCATTATTTGATCTTGAGAGCCTTCGATGAATAGAATGTCCTCGTAGCGGCTCATCCACTTCCCCGTCCTCATCGGTCTTGAAGAAGACTGATTTCCCTTCTGGCTCGTCCGGGGCATCGTCCATTGAGCTATGGTCACCTTTGGGTTCAAGAATGGCCTTCATTTCACCAAGTCGGCCGGCTCTAGTGGCATTCCACAGGCGCTTGTTGCGAATACTGGCTCTTCTGAGGCCCGCTGAATCAGTCACTAAGTACGTAAGTACCGCCTCGAATGTGCTCAAAGCATAACCCATTTCACCGCTATCAACATCGTCGATATAGATGAAGTGCTGCATATACAGGAGTCTTGCTTGAAGATGTCTGACCTGGGATCTGATAACCACAATAAGTAACAAGGAGACCAGAATATCGGCATTTACGGTGACAGGCGCAATCTGTTTCTCCGAGGCATGAAGATTCGCGTTATCATACGTCCCGGGGTACGATAAGAACTTGACTGTCTCCAGCAAAGTACTGAGCATGTCGTGTGGACACTTTGCGTCCGTCATCTTTCGGAACTCCTCGACCGCTCTCCCGACCCGATGTAGCAGCTCTCTTTTGCCCTCTCGGCCTCCTTCGACAGCGATACCTACCTGCGAAACATCCAGATTCTCCATATGACGGATTCTGGAATCCAGTTCTGCGTCCTCGGGTTGACGGAAACTGCATAGTCGAGAGAACAGCAGCGGTTCGTGCACTTGTTCGGCAACATAACGCTCAATCAGCCGCTCTACCAGAGGTCCAGTCAGGTCGGTTGTCGCGCCGAGGAGAGACAACTGCTGTTTGTCCACGAGCCGGAATAGATCGATGGCGGCGGTAACTGCTGTCTCCAGACTGCGGCGCATCAAGTCCTCGTCATCTTCGAAGTACTCCTCGGAATTAAAGGGAAGGCCTTCTCTGTTGCGGGACGATGCGCTCCGAATAGAAGCGACTTCATCCGCCGAAGATTCATCGCGATCCGGTTTACGTTCGTAGACATCAGGGATGGAAGGCGAGCGCGACGGAGGTGGCGGTAACGGTTTCCCCAGTTCTTTCCCAAATTCTCGAAATAATCTGTCCAAGCCTGGTTGCATCTGTCTTGCGATCATAGGAAAATTGGCCAGCAGTTCTCCGAACGACTTGATTTCTTTCTTCGGTAACGAAGCGGTAGAATCGCCAGACTTGGCACCAGTATTCGTGACTACTCCTTGAGGTAGCGACCCGGGAACTACAGCAGAAATGATCTTCCCTGGGTCGAATAAGCCGATCAACGGGCGGGAGATGTAATAGATAAGCCATGGCTGAGAGTCGGTACTTGGAGTATAGTACAGAGCGTCGGACAGGAGCTGAGCTTGGGTTAGGGATTTGAAGCCTAACAATGTGGTTCAGCACAGGAGAAAAACGCAGGACAAAAAGAGGCCCTCCTACCTTTATTGCTGTAGACCGAGCTCTCTTTTACAATCACGGTTCGTCCGTTGACAGTTGTCACCTGCTTTGCCTTCCCCCTGCTATCCCGAACGTTCGAATCGTCCTTGGCGTTCCCGGTAGCTCCATTGGCAATCGGTATTCGCAGCGTATGACTTCCCAGAAACTCTTCGGATACCACAAGATCGGAATAGAGGAGGTTGGACTCGCGATCTCGCGACCCGATTAAGGATTCTGTAATCGGAACGAGCAAAACCTGCAGAAAAGGTAAGAGAGTATTCCCCAGGCTTAGTTCAATATGACCCCAACAAGGCATACATGATTCTCTATCGGCAGACACTGCCCTGGGACAGTGCTTCGGAAGAAGGCACGGAGAAAGGGATTTAGAGGGTGCATCCAAACGGTCTTGGACGACGGCCCGAGAAAGAAATTCCGGCACTCATCAAGCCGTTCGTCTGAATCCCAAAGTCGGGTTTGCGCTGCACCCGGTGATCGTCACAAGAGAGGAGCAGTTCCGGCGCATACGCTGGCTGAGGATCTAGTAACCGCGCAGGCCCGACTATTGCTCAAACCTTCAAACAAAAGTCAAACCTATGTAGTGAATGTCGGATGGGCAAAATTCCATACGATCAAACAAAATTAGATAGCAGAATTGAGATTCACGTAGAAACGTTTGCGATCAAAGACGAGGAGCTGAAGCCTTTCAGCCAGCAGCTTTCGGAGAGACTGGAGCTCATGCGCTAGTCCGTATTTGGTAAGCTGCTAATTATCTATGGCAAGCATTGTTTTTTGGTGCATTCGGAACTACTATGGAGTTCCTCAACATCTAAAATGATAGCGCTCAAGGAAAAGGCATTGACATTGGTAGGCAATCGAGATGCGAGTTGGGGCTAGAGATAGGGTCAATATGCAGAATACAACCTAAGAATCTTTTGTGTATCTCCAGTAGAACAACACGAATAATGTACAAAATAGCTGCAGCCCAGCTGGGGTTCACTAAAGAGCTCAGACACTGCAAAGGCAAAGCCACATAGGAGACTCAAAGAACCCCAGTTGTGCGAGCCAATCCCTGATACTGAAATGGATGCGCTGTCCACCAAGCTCATTGTTTTCAGCTGACGCTGAAGCGAAGGAACAGATGCCTTTCGAGGCGATGGTATGGAAAGAGTATAGATACCACGCAAGATTAACCCAGTCTGCGGACCTTTCTGCTTCTCGTACCACCGAACTTTATCCGTGTCGAATCTGTCACTCGACTCACCAGCCCGCGAATATTCCTTCCCTCACTGCCAAGGAGAACCTTGGTAAACGCTTCTCGACCCTGACCGAAGCCCTGAAAGACGATTTCAAGTCGTTGGATGTTCATGAGATAGCCTCTTTCTTGAATTTGACCGAACACGTGGGACGTCAACTGATATGCTGGGTCATATCCAGAGCGGCCACCTTTCCGAAAGCCGAGGTGTCCACAACTCATCGACAGCATTGGGTTTCCGTTTGGTTGCGTCAGCGTGAGAAGTGTATTGTGTTTGTGAGCATAAACGTGAAGATGGTGAGGAGGAGAACGATCGGCATATGGGTCTTTAATCATCTCTGCTTCCAAACTCTCGGCCATGCGGGAATAGTCGCGACTGACGGCCTGGCTAGCACGAGCTTTCTCTCCCTGCATCATTCTAGTAATAGCTGAGAGCGGCGAATTGTCGTCACTGGTCTGTTCTGACTTGGGATTCAGAATTTGTCTCTCAATCTCGCGAGTCTTTTCTTTCGCGCTTGAGCTGTGGTTCATCGTGGTAGAAAATGGGCGCATCACGCGCGGGGAGATCACTCGCGCCTGGCATGATCGGCTATGTGACAATGCCCTGACCCAGGGGGTGAAAGAGTTCATCTTGCTGCGTGGCCGAGGATAATATCGGGGACGCCCGGCACAGTTGAAGCAAATAAGGGCAGCGAAAGGCCAGTCGAATTGGCCCAAACGCAGAATAGAACTTTGAACTGAACGGAAGATCGAGGTGATAACGAAATAAAAGGAGAGATCAAGTACAGAGTTTCAAACGAGATGCGGCATACACTCAACTAATCCCGGTTGAATCGGCACAATAATACCTTGTCGACGGGGCCTGGAGAAAATGGCGGCGGAAAAGGCGAGGCCCGAAGTTTTCGATCTTGGCACCCGCGATCTCAACTTTTTTTCCCTTCCTCACCAGTCGAATCGCTTCTTCTCTTCTACTCCCCACGCCCCAAATTTACTCCCTCCTCAACATTTGGGGTCAAACCCATATTCTTCGTCACCCCTCCTAAACTAGTCTTGCGATAATTGATTTATAATTTGTCTCCGGATTTCCAGAGCATGATCTCGGCTAACAAAATGACGGCTGTCGCACGGGCGGCCACTTTACGGTCCCATGTTCCCGGCCTGAGGACGACATACGGCAATGCCATCGCTTCTTCGCGGACTCTGATTCAAAATAGCGCTTATTCGACCTCCATCTCTGCCTCTCATACAGTATTACAGCGCCAACAATCGTCTCTCCCCACACGCGTTCAACTTATCTCTCCGTATGCTGCTTTGCCATTGACGCGGTCATTCCATATTGCCACTGCCCGTTGGCAACAACAGCAAAAAGAGAAGCAGAGTGAAGAACCCAAAAGTGAGAAGAGCGAAGAGGCGAAGAGTGAAGGGGACAAGGAAGAAGGACAGAAGGAGGCGCCTCCACCACCGCCGCCTCACGGAGACAAAACTCCATGGCAGGTTTTCAGAGAGACTCTCCAAGCAGAGTTCAAGGCATCAAAGGAATGGAATGAGTCTACGAAGGCTCTCGCATCCTCTGCTCATGAGCTCGCCGAGAACGAGAATGTCAAGCGCGCTCGTGCCGCCTATGAAGCCGCTTCGGGTGCAGCAACTTCGAAGACGTCGGCTGCGCTGAAAAAAACCGGTCAGGCCATCGGGAAAGGAGCTGCATGGACATGGGAAACCCCCGTTGTTAAGGGTATCAGGAAGGGTGTCAGCGCCACTGGTGCCGGACTTGAAAAGGCCACAAGACCCGTACGTGAGACGGAGGCCTACAAGAACGTAAAGGAAGCCATCGATGACGGAAGCAGCTCTCGCTATGGTGGATGGATTGAGAAGGAGGAGCGCCGTAGGCAGCGGCAATTGCGTGAGCAGAAGGAAATGATGAAGAGCGGGCGCCGTTCGGCCGAGCCGCTGGTTGAAGATCCAAAGTAGGTGCTACTTTCACATGGAGCTTTTTCTTTTCACAATTCTAACAATTGCCTGGTGCAGTGCGGGTACCAACCTCACCCTTCACAAGGACTCTGCTTGGAAGGAGTCGTGGCGCGAATTCAAGGACTCAAATCCTATGATGCAGAAACTCTTCTCTCTGAAGGAGACATACAACGAATCTGAGAACCCTCTCATCAGTACGGCACGCAGCATTTCGGATCGTGTCGCTGGCTTCTTCGCCGAAAATGAGACTGCCCAGGTCATCAAGAAGTTCCGGGAGATGGATCCCAATTTCCAGATGGAGTCATTCCTGAGGGAGATGCGCGAATATATTCTACCAGAAGTACTTGATGCCTACGTCAAAGGCGATATTGAGACGCTTAAGCTCTGGCTCTCTGATGCGCAATTCCATGTTTACGCTGCTCTTTCCAAGCAATACACCACTGCGGGACTCAAGTCGGATGGCCGCATCCTCGATATCCGAGGTGTTGACGTTTCTCACGCCCGTATGCTGGAGCCAGGCGAGATTCCCGTCTTCGTTGTGACCTGCCGTACACAAGAGGTACATGTTTACCGTAACGTTAAGACGGGCGAACTCGCAGCTGGTATGGAAGACAAGGTGCAGCTGGTTACCTATGCCATTGGTCTCACGAGAATACCCGAGGACGTCAACAATCCCGAGACCAGAGGATGGAGGTTGATTGAACTGCAGAAGGCTGCCCGTGACTACATCTAAGGTCCTCGCAACATCTACTCCTACGTACCCTTATCCTTCAACAACTTCTCAACCGTCACTCTCCATTTCCTGATTATCGGCGGCCTTTGATGATGAATCACCTCTCATACTCTCCTACATTGTTTTGATATCATGCCACTGTACCATATCGACTATCTAAATAGAGACTCGGCGGAACCGGCGCTCATGTTTTATCTGTGATAGTAACTTCGGCCTATTGATCCATTTCTTCAATGTCTTTTCTATTCCTTTTTTTATTATTACTACCTGAGTACCTTTGTCCTCTCCACAGATTTCATGGGCCTGGTTTACCAGTTTTCCTGGCCTTCATGGTCTCTCTGAGGCGATCGCTGTCAACAAAGGCTGGGCGGACGGATCGTTACGAATAGCGAGGACATCTTTGATCCTGGATTGCCTGCATAATAGCCAATGTCCTTTCTTCCCCTATCTCTATGGGCGTATACGGCGTTGTATTATGTGATCTGCGACAACCAACTCCACTCCGAACATGTTCATGTATTGGCATCTGGAATCATACCCAGCCTTTTAGCCGGTTTCTGCTGCTTTTTGGTATGAGCTACCTGGACATATATTTTGATCATTGATACTACAATGCACTGGTGGCTTTTTTGGTGTGCTTTGTCAGGGTAAACATATATCTAATTCAGTGACGAATATAACTGACTACTCCGTGTTTTGGCGAGATTGGATATCATTTAGCGATTATAGCTTCTATCCGTTTGCAAAAGTCATGACCAAGCTGGTATGGCCCGTATTCAATAATCCACAGGTGGGTGAAGCCAGAGAAGGTGGATATCTTTTAGATATATTCAGAGGTAATATATCGTAGCTGGTTAGAAAAGGGGGACTTTGATGCAACTGAGGGTAACTCCTGGTTTACTGCTGACCTCCACGCCCGGCACCGCCCATCATGTTCCTTGCCCTAGATAGTTTGGTTAGTTTTCTGTGCCAGGAAAGAAGAAGTAAATGCATGAACTTACATCTCCGCAAGGCTTGGGTCGCTCATCAGGCTAGACATGTCAGGCATTCCACCGCCGCTTCCGAAGTTCTCGGCCATCTGCCTCAACTGAGGGTTGCTCATGAGGTTGTTCAGCATGTCCGGGTTGCTCATCAAGTTCTGGGCCATGCTCGCGAACATGGGGTTGCTCATGATAGAGCTAAGGTCGGGCATACCACCACCGCCGCCGCCGCCGCCACCTCTGCCACCGAGCATGCTGGCGAGAGAGGAAAGATCAGGCATTCCACCAGCACCGCGCGATGCTCCAGCGGCATCGTCGACATCGTCGGCAGGAGGCTCGGCACCACGGCTGGCCTCTTCGATCTTCCGCTTGGTGGTTTCCAGACCTCTCTTCATTGCATCGCTACCTCCGTTACCTTCCGCCTCAATACCCTTTTCGTAGGCTTCTTTTGCTCCCTTGTAGTCTGCCATATCGAACCGCGCAAGACCGAGCCGACTCCAGGCCTTGGAATACTTGGGATCCACAACAGTGGCGAGTTCCGCATCCTCCGCAGCTTTCTCGTGTTGACCGGAGGCTGAGTAGGCAGCAGCACGGTTGGAGAGATAAATCGGGTTCGCGGGGGCGATGGACAGGGCCTGAGTGTAAAGATCGATCGCCTTGCTGTATTCCTTGCGGGCCATGGCTGCATTTCCCTCCGATTTCAACTTGTCGGATTCGGGTGTGGGTGCACCAGCCTTGGGCTGCTGGGCCTCTGTGCTCTGGGCTTGCGCGCCGGCACCGGCGGGTTCTGTCGAAGGCTTCTTACGGAGCTTCTCGTAGACGCTGAAGATGCTCGCCAGAGATTGTCCGCCAAGAGCGTCCTTGACGGCGGCCTCATCGGAGGGGTCGACCTTGAAAGTGTCCGCAATGCACGATTGAGCGATCTCAATGGATTCAGCGTCATCCGCAGTCAGAGTGCCATCCTTCAGGCTGGAGTCTAAAAAGTCAATAATCGCAAGCGACAGGCGCTTCTGAGACTCGGTGGGAGCCTAGATGGAACAGGAGTCGGTAAGTCACTGATCTGCCATGAATACGGTGTAGTGGAGAGCCGGACCATCTTACCATTTTGTGAACTGGCTGAATATCACACCAAAAGGTCGGATTGTGTCAAAAGTCAAAAAAAAAAATAAAAGACAGATAAGCAAGCGGAAGACTGGAGAATCAATCGAATGCTCGTGAAGCTGAACGAATGCGGGGGCCTGCCCGCGGTGTTTGCTTTGTTTGTTCAGTTTGTCAGGGAAGCTCCGTTGCACGTGACGATGGTATCATCATCAACATATCGGCTCGAATACAATCGTACACATCAGATATTCCTTTGATTTGATGGCTAAGGCGTGGAGGACTTTGATAATCACGGCAGGTCTCTCTGGGATTGGAATGTCCCGAGTTTGACCCCTCACACTCCACCCTAGAGCAGTCGAAGATGACTCGATGTGAGCTCCTTCTCCTGTTTGTAACTATCGCACCCAAGTCGAGCCATGTACTGGCCAAATGGAGTTCCGCGGGTCTATGCGATCAATGGCCCAGGGATTCCAATTACTTCACATATCGAGCCCGAGGCGAAGGAGCGTGAGATTGCTGAAGAGGAGAGATCTGCAACGGATCGCAATGTTAAGGGAGAAGGGCCCGAAGCCGAGTCAGCCTGGGCCAATGAGGCCATCACTGGTCTGTGTATTTCTCGGAGCGGTCACATATTTGCGACGATGACCGACTCCTCGATAGCTGTTTGGCAGACTAGAGTATGACCTTGCGAGCCTCTTGGGCGTCATGGAGTGTGAATTGATCTGCTGACTTGCCGTTAGCCTACCGCAGTTGTTGCTGCGATTGCCCGCTCCGCCTCATCCATGAAGACATATGGGTCGAATGTCACTGTTCTGATGCATCCGGACTCGACGATACTTGCTGTGCAGACACTTGGTGGATATCTGCTTACTTATACGATTGCAACTGACCCCACCAGTCGCGTATATCAGCAACATTTCGATCAATCGAGTCAGAACCGTCGTCAGCAACTCGCCCGACTGTCCGCTGAGGACGATGCGAATGCGGTGCGTGATATCAGCCTCCGCTTTCGGATGGCGATCAAGATTGAATCTGGTATTGTCAAAGCTCTGGCTCTTGACCGGGAGCTGGTTGTAGCCACCGTCAAACCAGCGGCTGTCCAATGCATTCGGTGGGCTCCGGACGCAAGCGGAGCCCAGACCACATCAGAGCTACTCAGTCGTATTCTGAATGTTTCGAAGCGCACCTCTATCGCGGATATGGTCTACGATCGCGCAATCAATCTATTAGTGTGGATTACCAGCGAGGGACAAGCGTATGCCGTACAACGACTGCCGGAGAGCAGCAGCACGGCAGAATCTCCAAGGAAACTTTTCCAAGGCCACTGCTTCCACGATCCGAAGCATGATGGCGAACAAGCAGTCAAGGTCGCGATCAATGCCCGGTTTTCGTTGCTCACAGTGAACTGCGCCAATGGTGAGATCCTCGTCTATACAGCAAAAGACTATCTGGGGAATGTTCCATTCTCACACAAGCTCCAACTACCCGCTTCTCCTACTACTATTGGCAGGTTGAATTTTATGTCCTACTCTCCGGATGGATATTGTCTTTTTGCAGGCTATGATCATGGCTGGACAACATGGAGCGTATTTGGCAAACCGGGTGGAAACAGCTTCTCGGTGGATAGATCACTCGCTGCAAACAATTCTGAAGACTGGTTGACTGGGGTATCCAATGGATGCTGGGTAGGCGGAGGGTCAGACATACTATTGACAGGGCGGAACGACCGTCGCATATGGATCCTTGAAACAGCCCGAAGCGCTCTTACGGGCTGCTTTTCTTCAGCTAATCTAGCCAGAGGCTTGTTACAGACTGGCACCGAAGTCATTCTATATCGCGGCCATGATTTACCCGATCTTATGACAATCTCAGGCAAGGATTCACTGTGGCATCATGCACAGTATCCTCCAGCATACCTCCATTCCCAGTGGCCGATCCGCTCGAGCGTCGTCTCGCAAGATGGGCGATACATAGCCATTGCAGGTAGACGGGGACTGGCGCATTACAGCGTCAACAGTGGTCGCTGGAAAGTCTTTGAAGATTCGAAGACAGAAAATTCATTTGCCGTCCGCGGCGGCATGTGCTGGTATGGGCACATTCTGATTGCCGCTGTCGAAAGCGATGGCTCCTACGAGGTTGGTCTTTTGAGTACCGCTAAGCTGTTTTGAAGCAACAGAAGGTTGATGGCTTTTTACAGCTGCGTCTATATTCCCGAGAACTGGCTTTGAATAAACATTCAATATTGCACACAGAACACCTTCCCTCGCCGGTAGTGTTCATAGGGCCTTCTGGCGAAGATTCCCTTCTCGTTTACACTTATGATAACGTTTTATACCATTATATCATCAACTCGATGCAGCAACGGATAACCCTTGTCCCTGTTGGCCAGATTGCGTTTAATGGTATTGTGCGGGCACCTACCCGAGTTCGGGCGATTAGCTGGGTACTGCCGGAGGACCAGATGCGTAAGTATCACTCTCATGGGTTAGTGAAATGTGGCAATTTCTAACGTCTGGCAGGAAACGGTGACCCGTCTCAGGATGTAAAGGTGGCATCGGTGCTGCTCTTGGTTGACGGAAACATGGTTCTGTTACAACCCTCCTTGGCAGAATCTGGCGAACTTAAATATGATATGCGGGTGATTTCTCACGACGTTGAGTATTATATCTTGATGCGAGATCAATTCTCCTTCAATTTTGCACCGCCGGTGGATGAGTCTATTCCAGCCAGCCCCTCGGCTGAGGCGGCATTGAGTGCGTACCACCATAGTGATCAATCACTCCGGGACTCCCTCTGGGTGTTCTGTGGCAAGGAATTGCTCGTCTGGGGGGATGTTCATGACGTTCTGCAACGAGAGGAAGTGCCAAAGCCCATACAAGTGCCTTTGGACTTCTACCCACTGTCAGTGCTGTTGAACAAGGGCATAGTTTTGGGTGTCGAGTCGGAAATGATACAAAGACGTGATGTCACATTTGCCGCTCTGAAATTCGCTATAAGGGTATGATCTTCCCTTTTTTTTCCCCTTATACAAGTCATCCATGTTGCCATATGTACTGACATTGAACAGACTCATTTATTCCTACCATACGTCCTACAACATGATCTTATCCGTGGAGACATCGCGGCAGCACTCACACTATGCCAACGTTTCTCCCACCTCTCATACTTCCCTCATGCCTTAGAAATGCTTTTGCACCACGTCCTGGATGACGAGGTTGATAACGAGAGGAAAGAAAGCAAGACAGATGATCCCTCGCAAAGACACGAGCCACTATTGCCATCCGTCATTTCATTCCTTCAAGCATCACTGCCGATTAAAGTGTTTTTGGACATTGTTGTCCAGTGCACGAGAAAGACCGAGCTTCGCTCATGGCGCACACTGTTCAACCACTTGCCTCCTCCGAAGGATCTTTTTGAACAGGCCCTGAGGCTCAACTCTCTCAAGACGGCAGTGGGGTATCTGCTCGTCTTACAAGCCATGGAGGACGAAGGCGAGGGTGGTCACGAGGCTCCAATTGAGGACTATGTTGTCCGTCTCATTGGTCTTGCATCGCAAAATAGTGATTGGGAGCTCTGTGGTGAACTGGCGCGGTTCCTAATTGCTCTCGATGCATCTGGCGATATGCTTCGACGCGCTATCTCGCGGGTCGGGCTGAGAAACGCAGTTCAATCAGGAGGCGGGTTGAACTCGAACGGCTCGGGAATCAGTGCCAAAGGATTAGGCTTGGGCATTTATTCACCACCGTGGCCAACATTATCGCCAACATCGTCCGTCTCCCCACACTCGCGACAACGGATTACTCCAGACGACCAAGGGTCCCCTGTGGACAGCATGGCAGACGATCAGAGCACATTCTCTGCGATCAGTCACTGAGCATGTACAAGAGCGTGTCACAGATTCTCTTCTACAATTGTATTCAATTGAAATTTTATCCTTATATAGACGATTCCTAAGCCTGTCAGGCTCAACCGTCGGGATATCTCTTCATGATCGTCATCTTCATTGACTAGACAGGATCGTCTCTATTCTTCTGCGACAGCAGTTTCATCAGCCATGACACATATGTGCTGCTTCCATGTAAAGCATAACCAGTAGGCAACCCAAGCAAGAAACAAGAACCTCAAATCATTTGTCATTTACAGAAGAGAACCAACTCAATCCAAATGCATCTTCCACAAGCCGTCACCTAGATAATGCCCCTCGTCCATGACCACACCCTTCTTCTTCTCCTTCATCTCCTCCGTTCCGACCTTCAACGGCCCAACCATACACGCATGCTCCTTCCCTTCAGCCATGACCGCAACCACCTGCCCCTTCTCCAACGCATGCTCCGCATCAGGTAACCGCCCACCAGGCGACGTCAACCCAGGCGCCATGAGCGTCGCGCCCGAAAGCACAAACCGGATCGCACCCCGATCGATCTGAACCGTCGGTAAGGCATCAGGGTACGAATGGAGCAGCTTGAGATGCGGGATCGGCGGCCCATCCATGGGCTGGTAGAACAGAGGGGTCGATTCGATGGTGTATAATGTCGCTCTATCCGGTCTATAGCGTCCCATCATTAGCCTCCGTCCCCAACCTTCAATCGATAAATCCCTGGCTCCAAAGGGATCTGGGGTGGGGAGATTACAATTTCACCGCATCGAGCTGGGATTTCTTGGGGAGGATCTCATCGATATACGGCTCGAAGCCGGGATATGTGTCGAGCAATTTCTGGCGGAGGCCGCGCTGCACCGAGGACTTGACTTTTGAGCGGCCGCTTGGGGGGATACTTTATTTTCATCTTCTATTAGCATGCGTCATTGATTTGCTTGAGTCGATATGCAGTAATGCAGCAATGCAGTGATTTGTCTTGGAGCAGATTCGACATTTGTTGTTTGCGGAGGGGTAACAGATAACTGGTTGGCTTGCTGGCTCACGAGGTTCTCACAGACCCAACGGGTCCCAGGACACAAACTTGGACTCGCAGGTACTTACTCTTTCTTGAACATTTTGTGGTATGCGATGGAGAGGTCAACAGGTCGATCGCTGGGCTTTTCTCAGCGTCAAACCAGTCTGCTATTTCCTTCACGACCTCCGATGGATTGCGCCAATGGTATGACGCGCTTAACGCGGGGAGGGGCGGTAGCTGTCACGTGCTGATTGAAGCTCTCTCTTATGCCTGATCCGTAAGGCACATTCTCAAGTTACGATCTACATTGAAGTAGTACGCTGTTCAATCTATCTCTGGTGACACTACAAGAACGGAACTTTGGGTTTCAACTTTCTGATATTGGGTTCTTCTACCATGCCTAGGTGGGAATCACAAATAAACCCAAGCAAGGTATCAGCCTATATGAGCTATATCCAAATTTTGGTTGATCAATTTAGCCCTTGGCAGCACCGGCCTTGATGAGGAGGATGTCACCATCTTCCACAACGTAGTCCTTGCCCTTGGTCATGATCTTGCCGGCCGCCTTGACAGCGGCTTCGTCGCCATACTCCCGCAGGGTGGTGTAGTTGTACACAATGACCTGAATGAAGGTCTTCTCAAAGTCAGTGTGAATCACGCCAGCGGCCGCGGGAGCCTTGGTGCCCTTGCGGATAGTCCATTGACGGACTTCGTCTGCACCAGTGGTGAAGAAACTGGCCAAGTTGAGAACTTGGCGCATAGTAACAATAACCTTTGGCAGAGCGGACTTGGTGTTCAAAGCCTTGCACTCCTCAGCGGCCTTGGCGTCATCGCCGAAGGCAGCCAGGCGCTCCTCGAAGGATACGGAGATGGGGATCAGAGGATCACCGGGAGAGTTCTTCTGGATCCACTCGAACACCTTGGGCAGGTACTTGTTCTTCTGACGGATGTAGTCCTTCTCGCTGAGGTTGACCAGATAAACAACGGGTTTGGCCGTGAGCAGGAAGAGAGGGTTGATAACCTCAACCTATTGATTGACCAATTAGTATCTGAAGCACAGACAGACGGCATAAACAGAGCATAATGGTTTGCAAATTAAATCAGATAGGACATGATCTCATAACAGCCTCTGCGTTGTAATTAAAATGAGGCTGTTCGACGAGCTGGGTTATATCGAGCAAAGCTCTTATTCATCATATGAAAGGGCGATACAGAAACGATTGAAGAAAAAGAAAGGGAAAAAAAACATACCTCTTTGGGAGCCCAGTCACCCTTGCGGACGTCGTTTCCATCTTTCAGGAATTGAAGCACCTTGGCGACGGTGGCCTCCTCCTCACGCAGCTTCTTCATCTCAAGAGACTGTCCGCCGCGCTTTGTCTGCTTGTTCAAGCTCTCGAGTGCCTTCTCAACAAACTCGATATCCTTGATCCGCAACTCCTCGCTGATGATGGTCAGATCACGAACGGGATCGACATCACCCTCGACGTGGATGATCTCAGCATCGTCGAAGCATCGGACGACCTGGAAGATAGCATCGACAGCACGAATGTGGGAAAGGAAAGCATTTCCCAGACCAGCACCAGTGGAGGCACCACGAGTCAGACCGGCGATATCATACACGGTCAAGTTGGCGGGAACCTGAGACTTGGGCTTGTAGTGTTCGCAAAGCCAGTCGAATCGCTCATCAGGGACGATGACACGAGCCTCTTCGGGGTCAATGGTGGCATAGGGGAAGTTGGCCGGGTTACCCAGAGACGACTTGGTGATGGCCTGGAAGAGCGTCGACTTGCCGACGTTGGCCAGACCGACCTAATTAAAAGCCATTGTTAATTGGATGTTGGTTTCTTCACATATGTGTGAGTAGAGCAGATGAAAGCTACATGGTAGAGGACGAGGAGGATGTGAATGAAGGAAATTGTTGCAGAATGGGAATTGTGATTTAAATAGGTGAGGGAAAAAAAGCAAAAGGCTGGGAAATAGGGCAGAAAAAATAGTACGGTGGGGTCAATGCTCACATACGATACCACTCTTCAAGTTGTTTCCTGGACGGCCCAGCAGGACCTTCTCCTGGACAACGGCCTTCTTGGGAGGCATCTTTTTCTTCTTCTTGCTGGAGTAGTTTCGGCGGGAGAAGGCAGAAAAATAAGGAGAAGAAGAAAACGGGGAGAAGAAAGGAGAGGACTGATGGAGGCGTGAGGCAAAAGCAGAACCAGCTGCGGATCGTTCTAAACGGAGGGGTAGAGAAAGGAAGAGAAAGATGGCGGGCGGTGCGGGAGACGTGATGAAGAGCGCCCACCGACAGTGGGCAGAAGAAAAGACTGGGAAAGAAGAAGAGAAGGGAGGAGGGGTCAATTGAGGGGAAGATAGCTTAGGCTGTCACAGTAATCTTTGTTATGCAGTCGGACGATAATTGGAAGAGCAATTGAGATGAGGATGATTTCCTTTCCTACTTGTACAGGATTCGTCTAATCTCTCCTCTATTATGGTAATGTTCGTGCTTTTCGCGTTCCTCCGAAATTTTGCAATTTTTCTGCCAGTTAATATCTCACCGCCCACATGACTGCAGAACCCTGATCATGCACGTGACATTGACCTACTCTGTGTACGGAGGTAGTCAGGAATAATCAGGCGATGGTCGCAAAAGCACTTTGTGACACAGTTCATGCCCTTCAGAAGGTCATATGTTGAAGCAAGAATATAGCATAAAAAATATCTTACATCCGGATATATGAAGTGGAAGCGAAGACAAAACCCTGAATCCGTAGCTCCTTGACAATAGAAGAAATGGCTACTGCTCAATCAAGCCGGCCGTAAGGAACCCGAATCATCAACGCCGTATAGAAAGATCATGCACGGAAGAATGAGACCGTCAACTGTTCTTCTCTGATTATGTTTCCATTGCGTCATCGTCTTCGGACTCATTGTCTACTACGCCCAGCAGCTTGGCATAGGGGACAGTCACTCGCTGAAGATCTCGGTGTTTACCTGATGACAGAAAGAAAAGAAAAAGTTAGCGACATATGTCCATCAAGTGCAGAAGAAAGAATGTCACTGCAACTTACCCAAGGCTAGAATCACCTCCTTCAACAGCACCTCCCGTGGCCAGCCACAGAGGGTCTCGGAGCTCTCCTGCCAGTTTCGATCCTCCTTTTCGTTCGCTTGTAACCGGCGGACTGTGCCTGTCTCGTCCTCCTCCTCAAATAGACCGCCAATCAGGCCCTTCAGCAGCTCCTCAACCTTCATCTTGAGGCCTTCCGCCCCGAGACGCTTGGCATACATAGACAAATAGAGGCGGAACTCTTCTTTAGCTCCCAGCGATAAGGCTGCGGCGAGTCGGTTCTCCATATGGGCTATAGACACACTTGACTCGAAGCTCTCGTAGCCCTCGCGAGATAAGAGGACTTTAATCAGCCGCTGCAGGAAGTACGCTCGTCCGCGGAGAAGCGTCTCATGTGTCGTATTGCGTTCCAGGAACGGAATGATACCGGCTGAGACGGCGGCCTTAGTTTCCTTGTCTTGCTGCGGTCCCGCAGACTGCAGGTTGCCCACCGGAGCTTCTGTGGAGTTCCAGTACTGACTGCCGACGGCCCACCACGCCTCGGAGACGCGCTGCCAGGTGTACATGGAAGGTGAGTAGGAGTAACCTTCGCCATTGGACAATGCGACCACCACCCGGCCTTCCGAGTTGATTCGCGCATTGGTAATTGCTGGAGCGGCGGACGGATGCGCACCCAGCGTGTGAATTGCTGCATCGAGCACGGGTTGGAGGGAGATGGGAGGGTGAGGGGAAGAAAGATGCTTGACGTTCCAGACATAGCACATGCCCGCAGCTGATATACACAGGATCCATGGGCCATTGCATTCCAAAATCACTGGTTGCGCTTCAAGCACGAGAGCGCTGACAAGTCGCCGGCCTGCGGGCGACCAGATGTAGACCGATCCATCTTCGCAGGCGGCAGCCCACATGCTCTGGTTACCAGTCACCAGAAGCACAGTCCGTGGGAGGAAATCCTGCCACAGTGGCTGTTCGCCGCGAGACAGCGTGAGGCGTACAGGCTCGCGATCTACAGCTCTACCTGTCAAGCTTGCAGGCGAAGGATTACGAGCCTCGAAGACAACGTCAGCCCGCGATTTCCCCGGCTCTCCTGTAGCGCTAGGCGGTTCCGTCGGCCTGCCGTTGGAATCGATGGCTCGCACGATCTGGCTGCGGACCTTTGGTACTGCGAGACGGAGCTGGCTGATCGCCATGCAGGGATTCGTTACAGCAGGCCTTATGAACTCCGGCGTTGGCTGCTGTCCCGTCGGTGCAGGTTGAGGCTGCGCCGGAAGAAGTCCATCCGGCGTATTTGCGAGGATCGGTGTCGCGCCGTTCTGACTTGCCAGTGCGACCCGTTTCTCCACATGTCCATCTTCATCGCCCTCGAGTTGCGCGAGCTTTCGCTTATTTCCGAAAAGCAACGCAGCAAGTCCACCCTTAGGTAACCCATCAAAAGGTTTCGAAAGATCAACAATCGACTGTGGCGCATCGGCCTTCACTTGGCTACTAACCGAAGCCATGAGCCGTGCCTGAGGGAGAGATGACTCTGCCGCGCCCGCTCCTGATACCAGAAGAGGCGCAATTCGCTTTTTGCCCTCCTTTGTGTACGTCGGGCGCTGCTTCAACCTCTCCAACTTCGCCTGATACGGATCTGGCTTCTCCGATTCTGGAGCTGCTGGTGTTGCTGCGGTGCCGTTGGGTTGAGCCTTCTGCGCATCTGGGGCGGGCGAGGGACCTCGTGCAGGCGTTGCACCGTTTGACGGAAGCGGTGCTGCCTTGCCATTGACCATACTTTCCGCCGTGGCATGGCCATCGCCCATTAGAGCACCCATTCGCCCCTCGACATCTTTGATCTCTCCCGCTTTACTCTTCTCCTCAAGCAGTAACCCGTCCGTAGTCTCAGCGATGCCAGCGCCTCTTCTATTCGTGCCGAATTTTGTAAGTGACTTCTCGTTCTCCTCCATGGCCATTGGGTAGCCTAGCTCCCCCTCCTCAAAGCGAACGGCAAGAATCGTACCATCGAGAGCAGTCGCAAAGAGGCATTTTCCATCGGGGCTCCAGGCTAGATCTGAGATTGACTTGGCAGCCATCTCCTGGGCGACCACAATGGGTCTGGGGTTACTGGTAATCCAAATGCTCAGTGACTTGTCTCCGCCGGCGCATGCGATGACTGTGACGTTCTGCATCGCATGATTCTGATTATCAACAGCCGATTTGCTGACCGGTTGACTTGAATACAATCGTGGGGAGAAAGCGCACACCTCCACCGGTGCTTCGTGGCCGATGAGGTTGATGTCACCATCCCACGAACCTCGGTTGATAATTGCAACGGAACTAACAGGCCCGTTCACTGCGTTGGCAGCCGCAATGTGCATTCCATCCGGAGACCACGAGCAGCGACGGAAATAGGCAGTAAGTGGTGAGTTTTGGAAAGGCGCGGATATAGTGTGTTCGAGCACGAAGTTGTTCATCTGATCATGAGCCGTAGAATTCGGCGAAGGCGACGTAAATCGAAAGATACGGACTGTGCGGTCGTCACTCGCCGTGGCGAAGTATTTATTTGCCGGGTCGAATGTAATTCCCTTGACATGGCTCTGGTGGATGGACAACGTCTTCAATTTTTCGAAGGTATGCCCTGACCAGACCACGACCTTGGAATCCAGTCCAACAGATACCAAAATTGAGGAATCGTACGACCATCCTAGATCTTGAACATCATTGTCATGGCCGATCAACCTCCGTATCGTGCGCCAATTCTCCACAGGCGGCGCCTCGTTCGACCCTAGCATTTTCGAAGTTAACACCGGTTAGCCAACTCCCTCCCCACGGTCAACATAAGCCAGCACCTACCGAACGTCGACGCATGTGAAGGAGGATTCGCATCCAATGTATAAATACAGACTATCTTATCGTCCGCACCCGACGCCAGGTACTTCCCATTGGGCGAGAATCGAACCGTATGAATCGTACCCGAGTGGTTACTCATCGATGCCAGCTGCTTGGGCTTGTTCGCATACTCGGGGTTTCCCGTGTTATAGATCGCTTCCGTAGACCATATTCGAACGTATCCATCTGCACCCAGGGCAAAAGCGCTTATATCAGCAACTATCCCAAAATCGTGTTCCATACGGCTTAGCCCATAGATTCGTCTGGGGATTTCTCACCTCCCGCTGCTGTGACCAAACGGCTTCCGTCTGGGGAGATGTCGCAAGCGTAAACCTCGAAGTCTTTTCTCTCCCCTATCCAAGTATTAGCACAGGTTTAATAGCCAGGTCGAGATTTTTGAAGTAAAGAAGTGTGGTTCATGGTATCACAAATCGCCAACAAAAAAAGGAAGAGAAAATGCACCTCCATGGGTCAGCCAAACCGGCTTAAAAATATGCATCGCAACAGCTGTGGTTTCGCTCGCAGGCTTCAATGATGTTTCGATTCCCGCGTAGGACCGCTATGTTCGGGCTGGGCTCCTAGTAGGCTGACGTGGATGCAGGACTGTGGTTTATCTGGAGCATCGCAGAGAGACGGCGCTGCGGCTCACCCGATGATGAATTATTATTATTATTGAACGAATGACAGAAGAGAAAAATACCCGGAAGTATTTGCTGACTGGAATAAAGCTTCAGGTTGAACAAAAGGGATGCGCCAGTCAGTTGACGTGAAATTTGTCTGGAGATTAATCTAAGAATACGCCAACGCGAACAAAGGAGGACCGATCAGCCAAGTCGCGATCTCCAGGCGCGGGAGTCGGATGGTCCGAGCTTCCTCATATTCTCCGCCTGCAGGGACTATTCCGCATATTTATCTTGACAACGGACTGCATATCCTGCGTTGATGGCATTGATGGCGAAATATAAGAGGCTAATGTTATTTTCGCCTCCACCTTAATACTGGGGTACTGTACATTATACACAGGAGGAGAGAAAGGATAAGTGTAAAGAAAATCAGCTAAAGCCAACCAACACTTGCCGACGACAACTTTTGTTCTCCGCCACGGTGGCTCCCTGCCTGCACTCCTGAGTATATGCTAGATAGTGTTGAGAAGTAGGATCTTGGTTGCAAAAGATGAAAGGTCGTAAGGTACAAGTTGCCACGAGATATTATCGTACACCAATAAATCATTTCAGCTGGACGGAGTCATGGAGGGAGATGCCTTCAGCGGAAGGAAACACCCGAAGTCTGGAGAATTATGCCAAGTGGTTAACGAAAAGAGTCATCTTCACTTAGAATCCTCTATCTTCTCTGTTGGCTCGCTTGGTCAAATCCTTCCAAGACACTATCAGCGACATTCTCAACCTTGTCGGTCTCAGACTCAGCCTGACGCTCCGGCCCAGAAGTATGCTTTGCTGCCTTTTGTTGATGTGAGGACTCAATCTGAGCAGGCTCCTGCACTCCAAGGGCCTTCGCGGCAATGGAGCGCGCCTGGCTCGCGTTGACCTTGCCATAAACGGCCATGGCATTCGCAATCATTCCACCAAGGTCGCCAACATTGCCAGGAACAACGACAGCAGTTCCTTCACGCGCAAGATTCGAGAAGGCCTCGACGTACTTCTCTGCGACACTGAGGCTGACGGCACTGTGCGCGTTCTCACTGCCCTCTGCAATCGCCTTAGCCACGGCCTCGATACCTCTGGCAGTCGCCTGCGCCTTGAGCATAATCGCCTCTGCCTCACCAGAAGCACGGTTGATCTGCTCAGACCGCAGAGCCTCGGACGCAAGAATGACGGACTGCTTCCGACCTTCCGCGATGTTGATCGCACTCTGTCGCTGACCCTCAGATTCGAGGATCTCCGCACGCTTTGACCGCTCTGCCGTCACCTGACGGTGCATCGCTGCAACGACGCCTTCCGGAGCATGGATATCCCGAATCTCATAACGTAGACAGACCACACCCCAGTCCTGAGCTGCCTCGTTGATAGCCTGCGTAATATTGGTGTTTAACGTGGCACGCTCCTTCAACACGTGGTCTAGCGTGAGCTGACCAATCTCCGAGCGCATAGTTGTCTGTGCTAGTTGGGAAATGGCATATTCGGCATCCTCAACGCCGTAACTGATCGACAATTGAAACGAGTCAGCTTGCTTGTCTTAGGTATCAGGTCTGCTCGCGCGACCTGCTGCCTCCGTCCGCCTCAAAGACTCACCTTGCCTTGTAGGCATCAAATACCCTCGTATATAACACACCATCCAGCTCCAACGTAACATTATCGGCGGTAATGGCATTCTGGCTCGGTATCTCAATGGCAGACTCCTTCAAGCTCTTGACATATGCGATCCGATCAATGAAAGGGATCAGAATTGCCAATCCAGGCTCTAAAATTCGATGGAACTTGCCCATTCGCTCAACGATCCATGCGGTCTGCTGAGGGACGAATCGAATGACAGTGTTCATGGGAAGCGCGGAGCGACTTGAGAAGTATGTCGCGGGTGCACCGCCGGGTAACGAACCGGGTCCGAAGCCTAGCAGTGACGATTCTGGCGCGGTCCGTCGAGATGTTGAGGAGACATTCCGCCGTCGAATGGTACTCAGGGTGTTGGAAGATATGATGCGAGGACCAGAAAGACAAGGGTTCTGAAGGGCCACGCGGTTAGAACCGCGAATGGAAGACCGAAGCAGTCTCGATGACTGCCTGGACGTCACTTCCATCATGAGGGATTAATTACGAGAAATAGCCGAGGGAGGTGTGGGAGTATTTGGGACGAGTTTGACCTGACAAGCTCTCGTGGGAAGAAGCTCGGGTGCAGCTGGCTATTGCGATCGTCATTTGCCGATTTGACGGCCTGAGGCAGAAAGTCATGCTTGAGTCACCGCCTATCTCCTACCATTTCCTGTTTAGGAAATTAATCGAACTTCCACCTCATTTGAGGTTGAGCATGTTGTTCATGACTTCAATAGTAATGACGAGGTGAGCACGAGCAAGGATCTTACTTATCATAATCACATTTTGGAGTTTCCCATCAGACACTTCGGCTGACTCTTTGAGAAGCCCGATGAGAACTCAGAGTAGTGCTCCTGGAAGCAATTCACTAATACGGAAACCTACTCATAACACGATTGAACACATGGTCAGGAAATTCGTCTATTTCACTTCTGAAAAGATTTTCCCTTTTCCAAGGAAAAATGAACACGTTCCGAGAAACAAAAATCGAACAATTACCCATATTATGCATGCCGCATTACTCTCACAATAAGAGACCCATTTTATGCAAAATAGAAGAAAGGATGAGAGGGTAAGAGGAAGTTGGAGAGAAGATGTAGCACCGCAGAAGGCACCATGAAAGCAGAGGGAGAGATCACCTCTTAGAGTCGTCCTAGGGTGCTTGGAAGGAGAATCCGTATGGCGCTTCCCCGGTTTCTCCTGTGCGCAGTCGATTATTGCTCGTTTCGAAGTTGAGGTTTCTTTTTTGCATTTTCCTTTCCATTCGTACAGAGACTCACATGCAGGACAAGTGACAGGTTACCGCAGTGGATAGAGAAAGCAGAGAGAAAAAGAAAAAGAAAAAGGACAGGTTGCCGAAGTGAACTCTATGGCCGTGGGAAATCGCTTAGGCTCGGCGCACCGCAGAAGCAAGCATCAGAGACAGGCGATATTGCCCAGTAAATCATGCCCGGACTCCGAAAAGATTTTTTAACCCTTCCCATGACTGAAGCAAAAAGAACGGGAGCGTCGAAATAAGAAAGACAAAGTGACGAGAGGCCGAATAATATGTATCCATCTCGTCTTGGGAATTGATTAGCGGGAACTCGCCACAAAAAAACGTAAATGCAGAAGCTGAGATGTAGTGATGCAAGTCATGATAGAGAAGCACGAAAAAAAGTTAAGGACGGGAGAAGCAAAAGGAAGAATAACAAAATCACTTTTCCAGCTCGGCTCTCAAGCTAGCATCGAGAAGGCTGTCGATTTTCAGGCGATTTCCTGCGTCGCAAGCTTGACTATGCCAGGCCGAACGTAGAGTGTCGAAAGCCATGTGCCCACTCAGGTGGCTAGACAATTCCGTCCTACATAAAACAAGGAGGTCTTCGATCACCTCATCAGGGAGGATCTTTTGCTCGACAAAAAAGCACCATAAAACCGGACGAGCCTGTTGAACCCGCTGCTGGCGTTTCGGAAAGAGAGATCATCAAGCGCTAGACTGTTAAATTCATTGTACATTTGTGCATTGAAATTTGGAACCAAGAAATGTGACCAGAATTGGTACAGGACATCCATCTCGTGGTCATCATCTTGATCGGGCGTTAGTTTTTGTTCGTAAAGAACTCGTTTTCGAAAAAATACTGTAAGGTTCGTGGACTAAATCATCGGAGGACAGCAGGAGACTGGGTTGAATATCTTGTTTACCATCCCAGAGCGTCGACGAAGGATCTTTGTGAAGACTATCGTGTGCCGCATCACTCACGAGTTGACTGCTTCACTATTAGTACGACGAGGAGCGGGAGGAGACGCCACTGGAAGCACGAAAGGTGAAGCATACCTAATGTCATTTGCCGTCGAGACTGTGGGATGAGGGAAGGATAATTCTCTAGAGGGAGCTAGTCCGTCCGCTGTCCTAGAAGTGTCAACAGATCTGTTGAAAAAGGGGAAGGGGGGGGAGGTGGAGGGGAATTGTCAAGAAGCTGAGGCCGTGCTGCGCAAGAGAGCTTTGGCCTGCGCACGACGACCATCAGCTTCTCAACTTTATCATCTGAGAAGGGACGGTCATCAATGGGGATCCCTACATTTGTGATTTCAGCCTGGGGAATTACTGGGTTCGACGGCGAGAATTCCGGCGCGGTAGAAGATAGTGAGGTCTTCAAGACCTGAGGCTCGGTGCTACCGTTCGGCAGACCATTTGTTGTTTCCTCGACGTGGTTCTGCTCATCAAACTTTCCGGCATCGGCTAAGAGAGATGGGCCCTCATTCTGAGCCGAAGGATCGCGCTGCTCGACGGGAAGAACCCATTGCTCCCATTTGTCTCTTGGTCGCAACCGATCAATGCCATCCTCGCCGGTCTGATACTCAACGTTTCTCACTTGGCGGCAGGCATGGCGCAGCATTTCGAAATCCTCGGTGAGTGTCTTGACGCGTTTGAAACTTGCAATGACGGACAGTGGCACGAAGCCCTGAGAGTCCATTTGCTTGCGAAGGAATAGGTCTTTGCAAAGATTGTCGACAGAAAAGTAATATTCCCTGCCAGGATCAACTTCTGCCGCGAATCACAAGAGAAAGGCACAACTTACAATTGCATCGAGATCATGCTCATGAGAGAGAACGGTTCCATGTACGGTTGATAAGGAACAGCAGTCATTGGACCAGCCGGTATCGGTTGATAACCGTACATAGTGTTGATATCGGCGGGGAAAGGATAAACGCCATACATAGAAGCAGAGTTCGGCAGAGAAGGCGATCTCAGAGACATTCTATGTCCTTGTTGAGAGCCGTTGGGAAGGCCATGATGAGATCGTTGACGCTCATTAAATCCGAAGGACTTGGGATGGACGAAAGAGTGGTGCCCCATATGATTGTTAGGGAACTGCGAGTTTTGTGAGCCGGTAAAGCCAGAATGTCCTCCACGGCCGCGGTGGGAGCCCCGGCCTCTGTCAGCACGGGATTCGCGAGAGAAGTCCTTCTCTTTGCGATCCCCGGGAAAACCTGCCAGGTCCGCTGGCTTCGGTCCATTCTCGAAGCGGCGGTCGTGAGTTGAGCTAGCGCGAGGGCCAGTGTGCGCGTCGGCCGAGGGATGTGAGCTCTTCAAGGTGCTATCACCGCCCTTGTGGGCTGCATCGTGGTTTCTCGCGAAAGGCTTGGCATCGCCGCGGTGTCGCGGTGGGAGATTCTCATTCCCACCACCTTGTCTTCCAGCCGGCAATCCATTCACGTTTTCGGCTCCCTTAGGCACACGGTTTCGGTCAGCAGCTTGGGTGCCTTTGCGGAAATCAGGCAGTCCAGCGTCAACGCTGTTAGAGCGCTTCGAAGGGGCGGGTAGAGAGTTAGCGCGAGCGGAGTTGGGCTCATTTCTTCCTCTGTCTCCAACGCCATTCTGTTTAGCGGTAGAACTTTGAGCTGCCTGTCCAGAGGTTGCCTTGTCAGCACCAGGCGCACCATGAGTGGCATTGCGAGCTCCATCCCTTCCGACTCGCCCCGCTCTTCCACCCCTGCGCGCAGATGATGGCAAGGGCGTATTGAAGACAGCGGTTGGTACATAAGGAACAGGCATCCATTTCTCCTTTCCGTGCGGCCGAATGACAGGGCTCTTTTCAGTCTTCTCAGTCTTCTCCTGAGCTTTTCTCTTCTCTTCCCCTTGTGCAACTTGAGGTGTAGGCCACGAAGAGGCATCGCCCACAGGTGGGATGGAAACATCTACAGAACCACGATTAGCTTGCCGATTTTGGACGAAAGCGGGCTCCCCTCTCCAGAAATTCAGAATCCCATAGCGATTACATTCGTGATGAATAACCACGAATGACCGGATTTAAACTTACTCTCATTCCGTCCCTTGCCTCCGTCGGCCCTCTTCTTGTCCTTGGGACCATCGGATGTAGCGTCGGCTCCCTTCTTCTTAAGTGCGGTTTTCGGCAACTCCTGATGGTTATCTCCTGATGTCGAGGAGGCGACGGACGCGGTTTTCGATGCACTGGGTTTAGCAGATGGAGCGGACTTGAGTGCCGCGGTGGCTTTGGCCTTAGCTTCCTGGGCTTCCTTTCGTTGCTGCCAAACGTTAACTGCAGGTAAGGGTGCTGCTTTCAGCTCCTTCAGAGGGACTTTCTTGTCCTTCTCGGACGAAGCATTAGATTTATCCTTGGCGTCCTGAGCGTTGCCCTGCTTATCTGTTCCTGAAGCTTGGGACTGCTTATCCCAGTTGGACTCGGAAGTGCCGTTGGGTGTATTCGGCCCCTCCTCTTCCTTTGATACTGTGGATGTGGAAGAAGCACCCACGCTAGGCGAGGACGTCCCGGAAACATTGGTCTTAGAAGGAGCAGTTGCAGTGCTCTCCGAGTCCTTGTCGGTACTGGCAGCGGCCTTCTCCGCTTCCTGAGATGTCTCTGCCGTGGGAGCCGTGGTCTCTGGCTCCATCTGCACACTCGAGTTTGTGCTCTGCTCATCTGCCTTGACAGCTGGCTTATTCGGCTCTGTAGAGGCCGGGTTTGCCGCCGATGGCGTCGCAATGACACCCTTGGCTGCTTGAGCGTAAGAAAATGTAGTAGCCATTTCTACTTTCGAAATTCGAAAGGCAAGTGAAGGATAAGAAATAGAGGTCGGAAGAATGGCAGACTATTTCTTTGCGCTGTGATAGAATGTGAAGGATTCCTCTTGTGTTCTGCCAGAGAACAGGTTCCTTCTTTGGGAAACTCCGATGAAAGAGAAAGTGTGTGCGCCGATTCAAGGCGAGAACGCTTCAACACGGACAACAGTCAGGATATTCAGACTTCTGCCCTCTTGCTACCCCGTCGAACTGCAACTTCCCGGTACTGGAATCACTCCAACCTCGGCTGCAGCCTGTAGACGTTGTCCGGTAAACAGATCTCGGTGAGACACCCCGTAGCCGGCGATAGTATAGAACGTTATTCTCAGTAGAAAGAATTTATCACGCGAGGACCATCGATGGAGTCGTCGAGAGCGGTTTCGTTGCGGTGATAGCTAAACCAACGTCCTATTAAGAATGATGGATGTTGAAATTGTCTTGATGACAAGGACGCGAAAGGAACCTTGACGACGAATTCAAAAATATCCCA